CATCTACTGGGAATACTGGCATAGTACAACAGAACCTACATGAATAATTTGAAAATAATGACAAAAAATCCACAATGTTTTGAATTAATAAAAGCTATAGTGCCTGAAGGCATATTTGTAATTCAGCATGAAAGTAGCAGTAGTAATATAAAGCAGGAATGGGTCATTTTTGTATGACTTGTATTTTCACTTAAAAACATGCAGTATAAGCACAAGCAGATTCAATATTGGTATCAGATATCTGTGCCCATATTGAAAATTTAGGCTTCCAGCAGAACTGTTGAAACTTGTATTTTTACCTTATACTGCTTGTGTCTAAAGAAAATAAATAATGTTTCTGTTTGCCCTAGTAAACTGTTGATATTGGTTGACGAGTTAAAGTATCGACATCAGAATAGGAACAGCATTTAAGCAGGAGGCTGGTTTCTGTACTTGCCAATGTGAATAACTGGAGATAAAGCGTGCAATATTATGTTAGAGATATTTTATTCCTTTCGAGCCGCCTTGCTAAACGTATCACCGTGCAGTCACTGATGTGCACTGGAGCTGAAGTTGTCCCTCACTTGATTGACATGTGAGATTTCTCGGATGGTACGCCCGCTGCCTTTCCCCTCACTGTGGGAAACGTCCAGTCTCTTTCTGTTTGTCCCATCTCCCCCAGGGCCCTCGTGTTCATTGTTGTGAGGGGGGCAGACGAGACCGAGGCCTGACATTTGAGGCTGGCCGATAGGTGAAGGGACTAGAGCGGAGCAGGCGCACAGATAACAGTAACAGCGGGACATGACTGCTTTGCTAATGAGAGATCTTTCACCTCTTGTACAATCCACTGTAAAGTTAAAGCCAAACCTATTCCTCCCGGATTGGGTGTATTAGATCAGGTTTTATATAGGTATGACTGTGGAGTTCGTCAAGTGCACCAATTCCTTGTCGGCAAGCTGGTGTTTTCTTTCAGCTGTGAAGGTATATTTCCCTGTGGAGGTTGGCTGTTCACAGTCTAAAGAGCCGAAAAAGAACTGAAGAACTGAAGAAAGAAACTGTTGCTTTAGATTTCATTTGTTCATTTACAGTTTGAAGTATTGTGTTTTTCTTTCAAATGGAAATAGATGAGCAAGGGAGCTAAAGAGTGGCTGTACGTTTACACAGTCATGCAAAAATTATAGGGTTGTTCCGATACCGATACTGGCATTGGTAAAAACTCCTATAACGCTTTTTTTTTTTCAGGTATTAGTATTAGTGAGTACTCAGACCACATCAACAATCCAATACCACTCTGTATTTTCCTGAATGAAAACCTGTAGATGCGAGCAGCCTTTTATTTTTGGCTCTTGTGCTGTACTATGGTTTTGTGCTGTGCCTCAGTCTACCTCTTCCCCCTATGCTGTATCACACTGGTATCAATAACGGTGAGTACAATAAGGCCAAGTATCAGTATCTGATCAAATCCCCAAATATATCTGCAAAAATACATTTGAATAACTTTCTCCATAAAGGGAAATTGATTACAGTTGTTACCTTTTAAAAACTGTATTCAATTTGTCAGCCTTGCCATGGATTTTTAAATAATGTTAAATATATAGTAAGTATTGGTTATCAGTCACAGCAGGAAGACACATATCAGATCTCTGTATCAGCTGAAAAAAATGAGGAGAACCACACGACTAATTCTAATTCCAGCTTCTTCACTGACCTCAGAGTCTGGACACTTGTTTCTAATCAGGAGTGGCTTTAGTGGGGTCCTAACACATTTCACATCTGTTGCAACTTGGCCCATAGTTTTAGGGTTATCCAGCAAGCAAACCAGCAGGAAATAATTTTATTGGCCAAGTCTTGAGTCTATGAAAATGGCTCTTAATATGTGAAGTGCTGCTCTAAGTAGCACTGTCATAGCCAAACTGAACTGAGTTAGAATCCAAATAAAAATATAAAATTCATAACACTTGTTGCTGTAATATCAGAGGAACAACTTAGACAACACATATTGATGTATATTTTTATTTTAGCGCAATGCCTTTAGTATTTGCAGACATGGCAAAACTGACTGTAAATGATCCACACACGCCCAGACTAAAGTTTTGTGCCGAAGACCTTAACCCAAAACTCTCATAAATGTATACTCTGCCTGGATTTTACCACCCCATTGTGAATCTTTATATAGTGCAACAATATATAGTCCCTAATTACTGACCAGCAGCGTGTGTTTGTCTTCCTATACGCGAGATGCCACATCATTAAATCTCCTCAGCAGGATTCTCATGTTTTTCCCAAGGATGGATTTATGTATATTTGTACCTTGTGCGTTTGTGTGTGTGTAAAATGTGTGTTTCTTCCATGTTTTGGCTTGGTACCGTCCTACCTCACTGCCCTGACACTAAGCAGCTTTTGCTTGATCACCATCTGTTCAACGGTCTCCATTTGTGCTCCGAAGATGGCTCGGGCTCCTCCTCACCCACTCAGGCATACACACAGAGAAATACATACACTAATCCCGTCGGCTGTAGCCAGGGGTGCTGCTGTCTTTAGCTGTGAAGTGGGTGCACAAACATTATGGTTATGGCGGAGGTTGTTCTGGCTCTAATTTGCTGTGGGATGGTAATTCACACTAAAGCTGCAGGTGATGTCTGTGTTGTGTTTATATTTAGTGTGTGGGGTTTCTCACTGGGTTTATAGGGTGCTTTTGAACTGCAGAGATCCACAAAGGAATGCAATGGAAAAGGCGTGGAACAAAGCTGCGCCCTACAAGGAGCACTTCACTTTTTATTGTTATTGTACATAAAATGTAACAACAATTACTCAGCTTCAATACAACGTGAACTCGCACACAATACAAACAGAAAACAAACGAAACAGATTGTTAAAGGTGACCTGTGAAACTTTTCTGCTGCAGAGTTACTGTTTTACTCAGAATTTCACACAGTATGGCATGAAATCTGCATGAAGATAAACAGATGTCACCATGTCATTAAACTAAGTTACAGGTCAGATCTGTGGAGAGGTTCTCACTCACAGTAAAAATTTATGTTTTGGTCAGTAAAACACTTACATTACAAATTAATTACATAAGATGGATATGTTTAATGCCATACAGTGGAACATTTCAGGAAAAGCAATAATATCTTCAGGGAGTAAGAGAACTTGGGCATTCTCCACTAAAAAGAAGGAGCTTTTGATTACTATTAAATTGTAGAATAGACAGATTTTTAATAAAATGCCATAAGGCATTTTTATACAGAAAAAACTTGAAATGTGGGATGTGACTTTCATTTACTGATATGTACTGATTGTGTTGGCGGCTACCTTGGCCTTGGTCTCATTCTCTAAACTGAGTGTTATCATGACTCAGAAACATGTACAATGTCTATCAACATATACTAAGACCTTTCTCTTTTGAATTTGATCTGCAGCATATAGTAACCTGAACAGATTATGTAAACTGTAACTCTTGCCTTTGTAGTTTTTTTGTACTTTACTTCCGATCTATCTTTTGTTGTTTGGCTTTGACCTGCCTCCTGATGCTACACCCCATCATCCTCATACCACAAATATTCTTCAGCTCATGAGCACATTATGCATTAGCAGAGCACAGGTCAGTTCAAACCCATTAGCCTTATGTGGTAGATGCGAAACAGTATCCCTCCTCTGTTTTGCGTTGCCATGACCTGCTATCTTGTGGAGTCGTACCCCCAACCTCCAACAACCCGCCCTATTTATCCCACTGTATGAACATGATAATAAACTTTCCCCCTAAGAACCATGATCCACTGCTGTGTGTGTGAACTCTTCAACCTCCGAAATGAGAGTCTGGGAGCAGCCATGCCCTCTGTAAATGAAGCGGCCTGCTGTTACACTGAGGAGGAGAGGAGAGCACCAAAAGCAAGAATAGCCCCGCGCTCTGACGCTGTGTGTACTTTGAGCTCATGCCTCCTGGGTGTACATCTTAACTTTAACTTTTAAGCTTTAAGTAGTTCAAGGATGTGCTGCAGGGAGGAAAAGCACCAGTGGAATAACTTGATATTTCAGGACTCTGTGACTGGCTCTAGGGCTATTGTGAAGTGATTGTGATCATAATATGAGCAAGCACATTTTCACATTAGGGAGATTTAAACTGTCTGTATTGTCTTTTATGAAATGGTTTTGTGAAATTAAAGGTGCGCTTTTCTGGTAGATGGTCCGCCACCAGCCAGTTGGAACGCAGAGATGTTATTGCTTTGCCCTTTAATGTTCCACAGTGTGATAATAAAGTTATCTGCCGTGCATTTATTCAATTACAGGTGTTTTTATTGCTAAGAACTAGTTTAAAAACAAGAATTCTAACCATTTTCTACCTCTAACATGGGCTGGTGGCTTCATTGCTTGTCTTCAAGGAAATATGTGCTTTGCAATATTGTGGGAAAAGCAGTAAAAACCCTCCAACCAAAAACTTGTGTGGTGCACCTTTTAATGCCACTTTTTTCAATATAGTCCTTATTTAGCCTTATATAATCATCCAGGTTTTGTCTTTTTAAAGCGGCACTGTGTAACTTTTCTGGTGGAGGGTCTTCCACCTGCTTGTCACCATGGAGATATTACTGTTATACTTTGATGATTGCGCAGTGTGGAAATAAACTTGATAATCACAATTGAGGTTAATAGTCAAATCTATGGACAAGCAACCCTGCGCATTATAAGAATTAATGTTTTTTTAAGATATATTTGAGCTCTACAACACATGTAACTGAACAAATGCAAGGGAGATTTTAATGTCCTACTGCAGAACAAAGAAATAACATCTTTATCGAACCCTCCATCTTAGAAGTTACGGAGTGCACTTCAAGAATTATTCAAATACTATGTCAGATTCACATCTTGCTTATGGCTTTTAATATTGTACGGTTCTAATAAGCAAAACCATCTTCCCCAATTCTTCACTTCCCCTTCTCACTCACATCTCAGTCTGACAGCCCCTACAATGCCTCCCGACAGAGTGGTAATCAAATGTGTGCTGTTCCCTGTGTGTCCTGCAGGGGGCCGTTCAGCGTGGTGCGACGATGTATCAACAGAGACACGGGACAGCAGTTTGCCGTCAAAATAGTGGACGTGGCCCAGTTCACCTCCAGCCCGGGACTCAGCACGGAGGGTAAGCTGCTGTCTATACACTTAATGTTGTTTGTGCTTCTGTCTGGACTGGCTCTGGGGTTTGCTCGTGCTAATATTTATGCAGGTTCTATTAATACTTTGCAGCTGATGTCTTCAACATTCCCTGGGGGTGTGAAGCTAACTGAAAGCACTACTCTGTTAGAAGCTCTGTTACTCAAATTAGACTTAATCTGACTCACTCTCTCACACATAAAATTACAGTCCAACCGTTTTTTTCCGTTAGTCACTCTCACAATGTTGGAAATCAAACACATAAACAGGACACTCGTATTGATCTTGAGTCTTCAGACGATCTTAAAACAGTTTTTCCTGTGTTTGCTAATGTGTGCTTTGTGTCACCATGGTAACTGCTGAACATTCTTCCAATAGAGGTACATGTAGTGCAATGTCACGGCAAAGTATCAATATCACAACACAAGACAATGCAATAAAAACTTAATAGTAAAATGTTAATGTTACGTTGAAACTAGTGTGTTACAGTTTTAACGCACAAACCCAAATCTGTAACACCACAAAGACACTTAACGTAACACTTAAAGTCGTAATGGCAGTTCCCTTTTTACAATTTGCCTATGATGCACACAGCTTATACACATTCATGGGTTTCAGTTTTCTTTTATAGGTGATATTTTGAGGACTTTTGGCCTTTCAAAAGATAGAATATGCAGTTGTGAATTATTAATTGCTATGACAACAGTGCAAACTTTCCGTCATTCTGAAACCTACGGGAAAAAAGAAGTGGGTAATTGTTTCCAAAATACTTGTAGGGTTAAACAGGAAATACTGACTGCAGTTAGCATTAAAACTGTCACGAAAACGAAACTTTTTATGATTGACTTGTCAAGTATAAATATATTGCCCAAACCTTTATCTCTAAGGCTTAAGGACTTTTATTATCAGGCAGATGCCTAGCACAATATAATAGCTTTTTGCCATTCACCTCTGATCTTCTAAATAATCACTCTTTTATATTTCATAACTGTACAATGGCTCCATATTTGTTACGGCATCGCTTTACTGCAGTACAGTGGCTAAGTTACAATAAACCGGTCAGGATTCTTACTTTGTCTTTTTCTTTCCATTTACTTTTGTCACAGTGGAAAATCTCTGGGTGCAGCTGTAATCCTTTGTTTAACTACGGGCTGTTTGATCAGTGAAGTTATTTATTAAACCATGCCTGCAGTGTTTTCTCTTTGTTGTTAAGCACCTGATATTAACACCTTAACTACAGGAATCCTTGCAAATACCTCAAGCAGGTGTTAAAATACTACTAAATGTTAAATTGATTTTTTTTGTTGCAAATGCTTAGTTAAATTATAGACTGCAATTATAATCACAGATATAGTGACTATTAAGGCCATTTACAAGACAAGCAATAAAATGTGATGCTATATGAGATCAAGTGAATATGCCCACCAGGTCGATTAAACAAGCGCTCCTCTCATCGCTGTGATATATTTTCCTTTTATTGCACTGGCTTTAATTACACTGGGGGCGTTTGTTTCTGTAACATCGGTAAAGCAGCCACGCTGTCTAGACTGACTCTTAATCTCTCAATAATCAGCAAACAAGATAGATTGAATTACAGATATTAATAGTGAATGAGGTGGCGGCCTGTGATTCTGGCCTATTAAATCAATGCAAAGAATAAAGTTAAAGTTCTACGTGCTGCTATGTTATTGTTTTGCTTAGAATGTTCCACAGTATGACATTTATTACTCAAAAAAGCACTGAAAGTATTCTTACTGTGCGCAGGCTCGCCTCAGCCAGATCTGACCTGCTCCTTGGCCTAGTGACATTTCCATGGAAATAGAAAAGTTGCCATACTGTGGGACATTCTTGGCAAAGCAATAACGTATCCATGGAGACGAGCAGGTGGCAGAAAAATGACATAATGCACCTTTTGTGATAAGCACAGGTCTTATCACAAAAGCTAATATATCCGTGTGTAAAGATGACAACCCTCTTCTGGCTGTTTGACCACTATCTTATCTGCACTGGCTCTGTTCACTTGAGTATGAAGCTTTATTAGTGTCCATCGCACCTCCCTGCTCATTTACCCCAGCTCCCGCAGTCCTCCCTGCATCGCTCACATACTCTATTTCCCTGTAGTCCCTGACCGACTGCTCTCATTGTACATTTGTTTTCCTGTTGCACCTTTTGTCGGCCATAGAAAACAGAACAGTTTCACTTGAGTGGGCAGCTGTAACATTGCACCACCATAATAAAAGCGGCGTGCACACAGAGCCAGGCGCAGAGAAGTGGGTCAAATGGTCAGTGTCTTGGCAGTGAACTGGCCGACAGGAGCGTGATACAAAGACATACACAGATATCTGTCTGATGAATAGGTCAGGACTCCAAGGGGAGGAGGGGCCAGCAGCATTATTCAAAAGGCCAGTGCATTATGGGAAAACACATGCAATATGTGATAACTACACAGATCCAACACAACATCAACAGATCAGCCATCAAATATGCATCAACATTTGCATTGTATCACGTAGGGTTGGGCGGTAATACGGTATTACGGTATCTCACGATATCAATAGCAATGGTATCAGTTTCATTACTGTCATTAAATAATCTGCAGCGCTTAAAGACCTAATACATTATTATAATTTATTGATACCTAAATTTGTTTGCTCAGCACAAATGAATGTTTGGTTGTATTTTCAATTTAATACTATCATGATTTAAAACTAATAGTATCTATAATGTTTCTTTTAATTGCATGGGGAGATGACATTTGCTTAATTTAATTTCGTTGTCACACGACAACTCATAAGAGAGACCAAGACAAGATGACAAGTCAGGCCGCAATTGAGTTGGTCCCCCCCAAAAAATACCAGTACTTCTGCAATTTGGCAGCATTTTGGATTCAGGCGCACATTTGTTTACATTTTACAGAAATGAAACTTAAAACCACATGGCTCATTTGCATAAACTATAAAGCACTGATAATAACAGCTCGCTCCTGGTGCGCTGATGAGGTTCAGCTTCTGTCAGCCTAAAGGACATGTGGATTATATGTGTTCTTTCTGTGACAGAGGATGTGTGGCTGACGGTGAGTCTGTTCTGTGTGTGTAATACTGTATACCCCAGTAAAATCCTGAGAAGGTTTAACGGTATCAAAATTTGGATACCACCCAACCCTAGTATCACAATGAACACTCATCAGAACAAACTGTAAAGGAGCACTAAGTAACTTTCTGGTGGAGTTTAATAACATCTCCATGGAGACAAGTGGGTAAACTGTTTACTACAAAAGTTAGTAGTTACTACTATAGTAAGTTTTCTCTTTGATGGACCCAATCTGGCCAGGCTCACTACCCTTGTGCATCACCAGCTGTAGGGCCATGGCTGTTCCTTTTGTTTCTCTTTTGGCAGGTGTTGACATAACCTTGGCATAATTGTAATATTAAACTCACATTCAAAAACTGTAATGTGAGAACATCTTTTTTTAGTGGTAGCTACTTTGAGAATACTTTTAGATTCCCTAATCCATTTGTCATCATTCTGTCCTTGTCTAGCTCCTCCAACAGTGAATTTGCATATTATTGGGTTTGGCTTCACAAACTCCATTCACTTACACGTATTTTCTCCAGGCTCATTCGTATTGCCTGTTGTGGACCCATAAAAGCTTCGGCTCTGATTGCTCTTGTGGTTTGTGGCTTTGGCTGTAGACGCCGTGCTCTGGCTGTGTGTGGCTCCTCTACATTAGCTCAGTGCTAGTATCAGTTAGCGTGCTGTGGAGAAGCAGCAGGAGGAGCAGGCTCACTGCAGAGAGCACATCTGTCGCACCCACTCCCCTCCTCTGGCTTTAGGGCCTCTTCTACTCTGCCTCTGCGATATGATTGGAAACCTTGTAATGGATGTAATAAAAAAGCTGCCTTCAACAGGAGACCGTGCTAATGTTTGTATAGCACACATATTAATGAATAAGGTAATATAACTCAAATCTGTTACTTCTATTTCTGACCTTTCCATCATTCACTAATGCTAATAATATTTGAAAAACTAATCTAACAAAACTTCTTATCTGACTTCCATTATGTGATAATTGATAATGGGGTCATAGTGTTCTGAAAAATAGATCAAATCACATTGGCTCTATCTAAATTCGTAATGTGTCAGAATTGTTAAAAGGCATTTTTCCTTGTATTAGCCTAATGTTTTCACAGACTGTTCTGTTCTACTCCAGCAATTAACAACAGTACATGAGAGTAAAATGCATATTACAGAAAGTTCTGCCAAAAGCGCACATGGAAGTTTTGAAAAATGTCATAAAATTGTACTAGCGCTGACGAGACCTGCGCTAATCCTGTGTGAGCTGTGAGGCGACCACCATAAGCCCGGCGATGTACTGTAAATAAACAGATGGAAGGAGACGCATTTGGCACAAACTCAGGAAACGTATTATCAACAGAAATAGATGCCTGGATTTCCCCTCAGCAGTGATTTATCTTGTCATATGTGCTTTAATGAGGCAAATGGCTTCTATAAACACACTTTTACCTGCCAAGGACACAGGGATTTTTTGTGTGTGTGATTGTGGTTTTAAAAAATAAATAAAATAAGATGGCAGCTTTAAATGTAATGTTTTTATCAGAATTTTTTGATTAGTGTGCAGTTGTGTAACACTGATACAAGAAAAAAAATGGGATTTCAAGACACAAGGAGTTCATAGTTTCACATTTAACAGGGCCACTGTTTTGAGAGGAAGGCACGGAGCAATTAAATACAAATTACACACTCAACCCAGAAGTGAGCCCAGCTGTTTTCTTACAAGCTTTACAGAAACCAACCTTCCCGTCATGCATTGCACTTTCATTTTATAGCCTTCCTTATTATCATGAATTCTCACTTTCTATAGTATCACGGACTTGGGTGTTAAAAGCAACAGTCTCAACAGATGACATTAAACGCCGCTCACTACAATGCCCTTAAGGTAGCCACTTATCCTGGCTTTAGCGACATTAGCTTATGTTGTAGCTGGCCCCTGCCTCATACGAGTCCACCGAGGATAAGCTTAATGTTAGCAAGACAGCTCGCAGCAGCACAAGAGGCGCGCGGTTTCTTCTGTAAGCTTAATTAAATGTCATTGGAGACAAAGCAGAACAACACCACGCTAACTCAACGCGTGGCTGTGTGCTGATGTAATTACATGTACCAACTGGAGTCTATATCATAACAGAAACATACAATTCTGGTCTAAAGGTCTTTTGTGTATGTGTAATCAGCATTCACCCAACACACGCCTGGGTCTTTACAGTGGGAAGAAGAGTCTGTATGTTTACTCTGGCTACACATCACTCATACGCGCACATGATTGGAGCTGATTAGAGTTTACCGTGGGATGTTTTTAACCAGGAAAATATGTTCACTGAAATGTTTTGACAATGATTGATTACACAACCTTGACATTGTCCTTTATTTTAACAAGCTACCCTTTCTAAAGAGTTTGTGGCAGCACCTGTGCACATTATAGTCATTAAAGGGAAAAAATAAACAATTTCAACTTTATTACGCTCAAAAAGAAAAACAAAGCAATTCCCGAAACACTAGATTTAAAGGTCTATAATAGGCAAACATTACTCTTTTGAACTTTTAGCCATGTTAGAATACTGTTACCTTGTCAAAACATACCTGGAGTTGTGTTTTGTGTCATGCACACACATTTGAGTAACCTTTTATTATTCATTTGTCTACATTTACAAAGCTCAAAATCCTCTGTTACCTTGTGATGTCATCTAGTGGTAGGTTTCAAGTTAATAGCTACCTCTTTCCATTTGTTCAGTAGAGATTGGCAATTCAAGGGCTGACATTATTCAAATGTTTAGGGTAAGGTGTATGGAGTTTAAAAACACAGTGGAGCACTTCCTGTATTAGTGTATGACATCACAAGGTGGAAAAGAGTGTTTTCTGTTTTCTAAATGTGCAGGGTTTGTGTGTTAAACATGTGTCTTGAAACAAAACACAGCTCCAAGTATGTTTTTTGATGAAGAAACTTCATAACATAGAAATAGTAGTAATATTGACCCTTTAACACTGAAAATGTTTATGCATGAGCTACTTTAAGTAATTGAATATTTTTGTTATGGTATCACAAATTTGTACAACTATTTGTAGTTGTTTTACTACTAGTGCACTACAGCTTATCCATGGTTTTCAGAGTAATGAAGAATTTTGACTGTTGCTATGGCAATTAACAATTCAAAACAACTAAGGATTCAAAACCAAAGATCCAAAAATCTATCTGCTTATACTGCTGCTTCTCTTTCCCAATGCATACTTCATTTGATTAGCAAAAAGGCTATAAGTAACACGTACTATCAATCTTATCAAACTCATTAGTGTTTCTTTGGTATTTCCTTACTCACAGGACATATTTCATAACACTTCCACGTTGAAAGCTTGGTAAATGATCCACTCTTAACATTAATTGGACTTCCTGTTTTGCTGGCAGCACTCTGTCTGTCATCTCTCCCCTGCGGATCCTCCCCGTGTCTGGACCACATCGCTCTTTTCAGCTTCACCACCCGCTACATTAACCTCCTCTTCATTAGCAGCTTATTTAAAGAGGCCGATGCTCATTGGCAGGCTGCAGTCTCAGGGCCCAAAATATGAGAGATATAAAAAGATTGGCAGTTTTTGGGTGACAATTTGAATAATATGGCACCCACTGACGAGTATGGGTCCCTGTCATGGCAGTTTTCGGCAGTAGACCTCCTGATCCGACTCGGAGCGGTGAAAGTTAAGCTGCAGAAAACCCGCATGTGGATCATCGCAAATGTCGAGAAGTGCTGGAGCTGAGAGCTGAAGGGTTCAAGTGCAGAGGCGAGAGGAAAAGAGCTATAGAAGAGAATTACCTTCTACATGACAGATTTGTTTGGGATCAACTGGATGAAGTAGGACCTAATGACTCTGCTAGCCATACTGTGTCAGGAAACTTATAATGTGATTTTTTTTTTTTCTTTACAGGAATCCAGCAAATCTTTATTTCTATATTTCACTATGTTATGTTATTTCAACGAATTATTACTTACTCGGTCTAGCACACAGCCTTGACAATACCCTTAACAGACAATACAGTTCCATTACCAACCAACAATATAGGCACGTATTTCAGCTGCATATTAGTTATCATTCTGTATAGGCTGTTCAGGCTCTTGATCTACTGGCAAATGGGTAAAAAAAGAAAAATTTAAATTACTATGAAAACCTAAGAATCCAATCATTTTTATTTGTGTATAGGTCTATCATTACACCATACCGCACCAGAAATCTGAATATTAGGATCTGTGAAATTTTGCTCGTATGTATTAAAAATGAAGTGCTTTATCTTTTTTAAATGCCTCTGCCCCATTTCTACCACATAGGCCTATCTTGTGATGCCATCTGAAATCCAGCAATGGGTCCTAGTCTATACAAGTCTCTCCCAAACTTTAATACAAACTACATAACATCTTAAAAGTCCTTTATTAGGCAAAATAGATTCTCGTGAGCTTTAAGCTGTATTATAATGTTACCTCATCAAAAACATACCTGGACTTATTATATTTCATTCACATGTTTGGTTAATCCTTATATCTCCAAAGCCCTGTTTCACTTTGTAATATCATGAAGAGGTAATTTTCAAGCTAACTTTACCTTTTCTTCAGTAGAGATCCATTCCAGAGCTGAAATCATCTAAATGATTCTAATGGTCATGTCTAGAGTCTAAAAACTGTCTAAAACTATCTAAAACAGTCTCCTGAACTTCCTGTATTATTACATGACATCATAAGGTGGAACAGAATGTTTTGCTGTTTGAGAGAGGAAATCAGCCTAAATATGCAGGATTTGTGTGTTAAACATGTGTGAATGAAACAAAACACAACACCAAGTATGTTTTTGATCCATAAACAACATTATATCAGAATAATATATATACGAGTAATATGGGCCCTTTAAAGTTCTGTTTTATCAACTCAAACAAGTAACAGCACTACTTTTTGATTATGTTCCTATGTAGAAGATAAAATGGCAATGCATCTTGCGAATTCTGTTGTATCTTCAGCTGTGCTTGTGCCTGTTGTGTCTCACTGCATGTTTTCCTCTCTGTGTGTTTTCCAGATTTGAAGAGGGAGGCCAGCATCTGTCACATGCTCAAACACCCCCACATCGTGGAGCTGCTGGAGACCTACAGCTCAGATGGGATGCTTTACATGGTCTTTGAGTTGTAAGTTTCCCCCGTGCCCGCCCAGCCCCATGTGTTGATACAGCCTGCAATGGGAGGGTGTGGGCGTCAGGAAAAGGTTGCGAATCTGGTAGAAGTGCGAAAGAAGCTAGCGGATGTAGGTTTTGTGCCCGAGGTAGTTTTATATAATCCACGAGGACTCTTGTTATAATGGGGGTGGGGTGAGAAAATGTGCACGCCGCTTCAGTGCGCACGTGACTTGTATGAATAGATAAGATTACGATTTCACACTTAGGGCAACCCCCATCTCTGAGCTTCTGTATCTGCATCCCTTTCCGTATCCAATTCCTTGATCGTCTTATTCTCTTATCTCTGGCATAGTTAACACGGCTTAACGTAAAGGGTAAAAAGGTGCTTTCAGGAAAATACCCAAGGGATTTTTGAAGCAAAAAATACAAGTATGATTGCTCAGGTAGATCAAGTGAACAGCCTTGTAGCATATCATCCGTAAATGCACTCATGTGTCTCTTTGAGCTGCTACTTGATAATGAAGGTGGTTAAGTGTATGAACTGATGGAGCTGTAGATAATGTAGCCTACATTAGTGCAGGGTTTAATTGGAGCACTGAAGAAAGGCTACACTAATTGGCCTAACAATTAGCGCAAATTGAAGTGTGAATTTGAAGGGAAAAAAGCCCTAATGTGGTTGTCAGGGGAGCCAGCCGCAGTAGACTACTTTAGTATTTGTAAATAGTTTAACACTGTGTTTAAAAACATTTAATATAAGGTATAAAACAGTACATTTAATACCAATAGGGATTTTAAAGGGCCTATACTATTTTTTAATCTATGTTATAATGTTGTTTCCTCATCACAAATACCTGGAGTTTTGTTTTGTTTCATTCACACAGACCCTGCATATTTAGAGTTTAGAGTTCCTCTCTCAATCAGAAACCACCACCTCTCTGTATTTCTATTTTCATGTGGAAATACAGGAAGTGCTCCACTGTGTTTTTATACTCCATACACCTCCACTAGAATAATTTGGATCATTTCATTTCACTACATGACATCACAAGGTAGAACAGAGCATTTTGAGCTTTGGAGATATAGACAGACTAATAATAATAAAGCATTACTTAAACATGTGTTAATGAAACAAAACACACCTCTAGGTCTGTTTTTGAGAAGGTAACAACGTTCTAACATATCTTAAAGCTCAGAAGAAAAAAATTTGCATAATATCCTTTATTTATACCTTTACTGTTTTTAGACCTTCAACAACATCAAATTTTTTATCATGATAATCTGTTATTTCATTGTCCAATTGATCAGCATTCCAATGTAAAGTTAATCTGACATAAAAAGACTACTTTCCATTTAGGTTTGGAGTCTGGATTGAACTGAAATGACTTAATTTGCCTTCTGAAATGGTAACAATTATAATTTGGTTCTTATGATTACATTGTGATCTGTGTAACCACAATTATCAATTCACAACTAACCTTGACATCCCTAAATATCAGGGTAGCTGTCCAAAATATCAGGTCTTCATTGTCTTCTCCCTTTTACAACACATGCAGGAATGATGCAGTTCAATGAATTCAAATAAATGGGCTGTAAAAATTAAACAAAAGCTTGATCAAACTGATAAAATATGGAGAATTATGATAGGGCTAATTTAACCAAATTTTGAGAGAATAATTTAATTAATCACATTATGACCAAGTATTATAAAAAAAAACAAAAAAACACAGGTACAGGTTCTGAATTGATTATCTCCCTTACAAAATGATTACGTCACTTGTGAAAGAGTCTACAGCAGACATTCGCAGGGCTGGTTGCTAAGGACACTAATCACGTCTTTTCAATCCATCTGCTGCAAACTATTGAGCGTCTGCACCCTCTCTGAAACACAACGGCTCCTCTGGCTGTTATTTAACTGGCCTAAATTGCTGTCATTGTCAGAGCTCTATCTTTACCATAAATGACACCCCAGGGATATTTCAAATGTATAATAAATCACTAACTCTCACTATTGGAGGATAAGAAATGGTGTGGAAAGCCTTTGCATAATATCTCTCAAATCAGAAATATTCTAGTATAAAATGCGCAACTCTACTTTGTTTGACACAAGCACTTACTGGGTTTACCGATACGTGATCAAATTTTAAACTGTATTTTATGAAATCCTTGAAAGTTGTTCAAGAAGACGAGTGCGCTGTTATCTCTCCCCTGCCTCTGCCGTCTGCACTTTTAAATTAAATTCCCGACAAATCCAAGATGGCTCATACGTTTTCACAGATGTAATTCTTCACTGTGGATTTAAATGTCAGAAATATAAAAGTTAACTGCAATAAAGTAGATCCAGTTCTTGCTTATGAAGACAGCACATGAAATAACTCTAAGGAATTAGTGCAGTGAATGATGGAGCAAGCTGTATTTACAGTGGGATTTGACATTATTCATTCAAAACAACCTGTATACATACGTAAATAACACAAGTTTGGTTCAATGTAGTGGTGGGCTTTAATGGCAAAAAGCTTGATATATAATATTAAGCTATTTTCTGATCTGGAGTTGTGTTTTGTTTCATTCACACATGTTTAACACACACGGTTTGTGCATTTAGGCTGTGTTCTTCTCTCAGACATAAAATTCTCTGTTCCACCTTGTGATGTCATGTGCTAATACAGGAATTGCACCTCTGTGTTTTTAAAATCCATACACTTGCACTAGAATCATTTGGATAATTTCAGATCTGGAGTTGCCAATCTCTACTTAAGAGAGAATAAAAGGTAACTTTTAACTTGAAAACTAGAGCTACAAGGTTTGGAACAGAGCATTTTGAGCTTTGGAGATATAGACAGAGTAATACACAAGGATTACCCAAACACAATTAAACACTCCAGTTATGTTTGATGAAGTACCGACATTATAAACATGGCTTAGAAGCTCACAAAAGTCAATTTTGCATAACTATTGAAGTGAATCAGATAATAATTTTTGCAGTCCATCAAAAATAATGCTAAAAAGATCCTGTAAAAGTTTTAGTTGAAGTTTAAGTATCATACAAAAAGTGTATTGTCAATTACATTTCTTATTTTTGTATCATCATAGACCATATACTTGATTTTCTAATTTGTCAAAACAAGATTTTTTGATTCTGTCTTATGGAATGATACAAGTGATATGTGGCCAGAAAAGATGAGATATTTAAACACACTTCCCAATATCTTCTACACAGTATTTTCCCAATTGTTTACAAAATATGGTATTGTAGATGATCAACAAACATCCTCTGTAAGTCTGTAATAAACATATGGTGAATAAAAGCACACATAAATGGACTTATTCTATTCTATATAAATCTTATTCTCGTGTGAAGTCCCTAGAACATCTCCATCCCTCTGAGACATTGATACATCGCAGTCAGTCTCGACAGCTCCTCTCCGCTGACCCACTCCTCTCCACCTCAGTGGCCTATCACATAGCAAACTCCGTTGGAGTTTTAATAAGGATGCCCTTTCGTCTGCTCCTAGAAACCTTCCATGACCTTTATGCCAAACTTTCCTTCTTCTCTTTTCTCTCCTTGTGTCTGTGTTAGTATGGACGGAGCAGACCTGTGTTTCGAGATTGTAAAACGGGCAGATGCTGGCTTTGTTTACAGTGAAGCAGTGGCAAGGTAAGACATGTTTAAACCTGAAATACACACTATTGTTGGAAAGTAACTGGATACTCTTACTAACATTTATAACTCTAAATGAAAAGCTAATGCATTTTAATTTAAGTTTAATAATACTGTTGGAAACAAAGGTAAGCTGCGTGACTTTTCTGTTTATCACTTTGCCAGGATTGTTCATAACTATGGCAGTAAACATGCCCAACAAGCATTTGCAAACAGTGTCAAATATTATTACTGCACAAATAAAATACCTTGCTTGTTCCCATGGAGATAGTTCAATCCCGTACTGTGGAACATTCCAGGCAAAGTAATAACATCTTAATGGACTATGCTTGATGAGGCTAAACCATAGACTGTGTAAAGAAGTGCACTAAGGGAGTGTAACATCACCCATTGTGTTCAACTCCAGTCAAATCAAGCTCACAATCCTAGCAGTTATATGAGCTAATTTGGAGTTCCATAATAGGAACAGAAATTTATTTACAGAAAAATAATAAAATAAAAACACCAGGATCGTATAGCGTGGGTTAATACGAACATTTTAAGACCAAAATGACAAGGCTCACTGCAGCAGTTATTAAGAGAGGGACCACAATTTTTCAACATAAAGTCAATTGGAGCCAGAGTCCATGGAGCCGGAAGTGCACCCATGCTCACTTCCTATTTTCAATACGGTTGCTAGCAGGTTAGCTATGTCCATTTGTACATACTGTCTATGGCCTAAACGCAACACAACTCCTTATTTCCTAGTAATGTTAAACGGATGCGACTTTGTCTTTTATTTATGTGCAGATTTTACCCCTGTAGAATCTTGTCTGCTGACCTGTAAAACAAAACAATTTATTTCCATAGTCACTACATGAGACAGATCCTGGAGGCGCTGCGCTATTGCCACGACAACAACATCATCCATAGAGACGTCAAGGTATTTGTCGTTTAAACTTTAATACATTTCTATTCACTACACGGGCTTCTCTTGTTCAGTGTTTGAAAGACATTGTATGAGGCTTCCCTGCTGCGTGTGTGTATCATTCAAAGAGGATTTTTGGAAAAGGCTTGACAAGTCCTCGCCGAAATTCACATGTGTAAATGTTAAAAATTAATGGAAGTAGAGTTTATTTTAAATCCTGGGATCTCCAACTGCAACTTGAGTGTCTTGCTGTGAAAAGCTAGTGGTTTGTAAAAATGTAGTGGTAGCATTTTCAAAAAAAAGTATAGTAGTTGTAGCTGAAAACAGTTTGTGGTGGCACATGGCATAGTTTTCCATTCCTGTTCTTTCCGTAATATGTCTGGTTTTGTTTCTCTGGGTGGTGCTGCTAAAGCTAACCCTCAAAAACCACACTTGACTATTTTTGCCCTTTTGGTGAGCGGGAAAAACAGCTTTACATTCAGCAAGAGTTATAAGTCTAAATACACAAGGGTATATATATGAATGTATATATATGAAAGCACTCATTTTGTTGAATTCATGTTTAAAATGTGTTTCTAGAATGTAAATTGTGCTAAACCTTTGTATAGAATTCTCCTTAGTATGATCATCAGCTGTTTACTTCCTGTAATTTTCAACAGATTTTTACATTTTTCTTCACAAATTGCATCTTGATTGGTTGGTAAAACTATGATTTATATTTACAACATTTATCATCCTTCCAAAGAAAGTCAAAATTAGGGAATTATAAAAATCTGTCATATGCACTTTAAATAACTGTTGCATTACAAAGTAAATGTGTTACAGTTGTGACAAATGCAAATGACACAATTTTGTAATGTTACAATATGTATTTAACTGTAGAAAATATCAGTACATTTTCTAATTCCACCTGTGATATTTAGATGTAAGCCTCTTCACCAGTTTTCCTTGCATGCTGTTATTTGGATGACGTACTTCTTGGATAAAGCATGCTGTTTGTGCCCTTTTACACTATGTTAGTCTAAACTAGCTCATAATACGCACAGCCAGTCTTGTAGAGAAAACAACATTTTATGCAAACTAAGGCTTCACATTTAAAGCAGATCTCTTTACTTCTGTATCACACTCTTGGCATTCACAAACAAGCTACAATCCCCCTGGCAGCCTCCCTGTTGTGAATTTAATGGTTTATATGTGATTTTCAGTGCACTCTGTTGCAGTACTTTCTTTATGTGTAGACTAGCCGCTTCCCAGACACACATAATGCATATTTTATAGCCTCTGTCAGCTCTGCACTCTTTGTGTATTACTGTGTCAGTCTGCAGTATACCCAGGAACTATATTTTCCCAATTTAAGTGTGCATGATGCTACTACTGCCTTAAAGGTGCATTGTGGAACTTTTCTGGCAGAGGTCCGTCGCCTGTTTATCTCCATGAAGATGTGAAAGAATGTTCCACAGTATGACCATAAAATTATGAATCACTTTGGAGACTTACAAACCAAATTCCAAGTTAGATTTGTGTCGACGTGACTCTACTCACTGTAGAAATTAATGTTGTTAAGATATTTTGGAGCACGTAAACTCCTGTTATTGAATAAATGCAAGACAGATTAATTTAATACCGTACTCTGGACAATTTAAACCAAAGCATTAACATCTCCATGGAGACAGCAAAGGCTGTGGACTTCCTCCAGAAAAGTTACAGAGTACATCTTTAAATAAGAGCACTTTGTTATTTTAACTTGAGGTTATGCTTTCTCTGACATGGGCAAATGTTGTCCATAAGGGGGCAGTAAAAGAACAAGTCATCAATATTGTTGGATTCAGTGTGCTTGTCAGGCCTATTAATTATCAAAATTACAATTTCATTAATTCATTCAGAAAGTCATGGAAACAACTGGACTAAACAAGGACCACATAAACAACCAGGATGAACTTTGGTGTAAATGAAGACTACTACTGACTCTTAGTTGCAACTTCTAGCAAACAAAGGCACTTGAACCACATGCTAAAAACTACTGTCCACAGTGTATAAATGTGGTATGAAACTGTGTCGTGGTGTAGTTGTATTGAAGCATGTGACTGACAGTCAGACTGACATCCCTTTTGTATGGTGGGTCTGAAATTTGTATAAACACTGTATTTTTCATTTATAGCCAATTTGTGGAACTGTATTATCTTATTTTATTATTTAATTTTGCACATAGTTCTCGTAACACCTGTACAACGTTTTACCTAATATAACCGGAATATGCTAAATCAGGGATCTCAAACTTGCTCCTCGCAGGCATCGATGCAGCATCTGAGATCATTTCCACTGGCCCATGAGACAATTTCTAATTTATTGGTTGTGGGCCTCCGATAAAATAATTAGAACTACGGTTCCCATAATGCATTGCCTCTTGTAGCTTCAATTCGGCCTCTTTACAGACACAAAACATGTGGAGTGTGAGAACAGAAGTGTCAGGGACGGGCAGTATTGACTGTCAAAGCCAGAGGAGTAGCCTCATGAGTTAAGGCTACAGTAGATGAGAAGTAGTTTACCATTGCACTGTAATGTACTACTGTGGTGGCATTATATTGAGGAAATGTACTGGTTCTGCTCAGTTAAACCAAAGTATTTCCATAGCATGTGGTTTTGTTTTCTCCTTACAACACACATGCACTAAATGTAGGAATGCCTTCTTCAAATACAGCTTTGACATTGCTCAAGGTTTGACAGCATTTTAAATAGGATGCGTGTTCACCTCTGCCTTATCAGATGTACTTTTAGCAGAAATCATCATGCCTCTGACTGTACTGCCCTGTAAAGGGGGGCGGTATGTGTGTGTGCTGGTGTGAAAGTCACTGACTTCATTTACACTCTGAAATTATATAAATCATCATGTTGTAGTAGTTTTTATCTTGCTTCTAAATTTAAAGAAATACCTCTACAGTTGTTTTTATTTGTATATGCAATAATTTTTGTGAGTTATTAGTTATTTCTCTTTTTTTAAAAAATGCTGTTTAGATTGATGCTTGGTGTTTGTGGGAGAGGTAAATCAACTGTTTTGAACTACAGTATATCAGGCATTGGGACACTGTGCAGTCACTGATACATTTATAAATGCAGTGAGATTTTTGATGTAAACATCAATGGACACATGGGCACTAGGACTGCACAAATTTGGGAACAAATCAAATTGCGATACTAGAGAAAACAGACAAAACATTCTATTAGGAATAAACTGAAGCCTTTTTTTATTTGGTAATTGCAGTAACTCAAATTGCAATTAAGATCTTTGCTTGATTAATTCATAATTATATAATTAATAATGCCAGGAGTTAAATTCAAGGTGAACACTTCATAAACTAATCACAAATATTACATTCACTGTTATTACTGTATCATAGTCAGCCAAATGAAAAGCAGCTTTCTGTCAGTATAAACCACAACTTGACATTTTAAGTAGTAATAGTTCCTCTTTTGATTATAATTTGGTTTTATTTACTTTAGTTCATTTGAGATCATGCATGTTTTACATTGCCACATTAAATTAGCTACACATAAATGTAGAATTTTAATAAAATATAATATAACCAAGATCAGTAACTAACATAATAATTTTCCCTACAAACAAATGAACAGCATCAACGAACATGATAAATTTAGCCATCTGGAAATGGAGTGAGAAGAAGTAAGACTTATTTACTCCCACCCACTCATCTTATTTGATTTAGGTTCTATTTATACATAAATTACAATTACACACAAGGCGGTATCTAGGTAAATTAAGTTAAAACTACATAAACACATGCCTATACACCTACCCTCATACATATAAATATATATTTGATGATTCAACATGTACAATATTGTTACTATATATGGACAATTGTAAGTCTGGTAATAAAAGCAGTTAGCGAGCAGTTTCAAGTAGCATTGTTCAAGGTGTACCCTCAAATCATTCCAAATCTGAATCCCACATACAGAATCCCACATGCCCTAGTAGTCTTTGTAAATTAAAGTTACCACATACTCTAGTCACCTGCATCCCTTTCTATGAGGAGTTTTTTTTTTTTTTTTTTTTTTTTTTCCCCCCCTGCTAGACATCAGCATTTTTTACTTGCTTTATAAAGGAGTTATGCACTATGACAGTCCACTAAATCAAAACATTTATAATTTTAGATTGTAGAAGTTTATATGTTCAAAATATCTAAACTTACACATAGCTCTTTCAACTTGCTTTTGAAGTATTAAGGAGATGCAGTGATCTTTTGTCATTATTACACCATATTTCTAAACCATATATTAAAGGGCCTATAGTATGCAAAATTGTTTCTTTAGGCCATGTTATAACGTTGTTACTTCCTCAAAAACAGAAAATGGCGTAATATGGGCTCTTTAAATAAGATAAAACAAACTTATATACAGCATGTGTAGTTTTGCGCTGATATGGAAACGTTATATGCCTTTGAGCATTTTCAGCGTCAAGAAGTTGAAAATGCTGAACTTTTCGCGTCAGACGCGCCGCGTCAACAAATCAGGGACGAGTATTCAGTGACGCAGCGACGTTATTATTAGGAAGCAAGACCGGAGAACCAGAACGAGAACCACAAACACGAGCGGAGAATAAATATATACACCACAATCACCGAGCCGATCGCGAGGACTACACCAGGACTAGACCAGGACCAAACTAGGACTAGACCGGGACTGATCCAGTGTCATTAGTGGAGTATAAATATATATACGACCCAGTCGTCGACCCGATCTCCTCCGTTCATGTTTTATGTCATAAAAACACTCTCTCAGTCTGGTCTGACATTGTTTCGGGAAAAGAGCGGGACCGGGCTTTTGTTTCCAGGGCAACGGACGCGCGTCAAGTATTTTTGTCCCGTTCGTCCACGGCGTCAACTCAAATGCAATGGCGTCCAAATAGAGGCGTTTTTTGACGCTTTTGGTGTGAACTGCCCTTAATGCTGCTGGTCAGATGGTTTCCAAAGAAGTGAAAACAGCTTATGAATCAGGCTACTGTTTTGGTCCCATCAATGTTTTCTTTTACTGACCATTTAAGAATGATTTCCTAAGAAATTATTACTTTTAATTATTAGTTTTTCTAATGTTTTGGAGAACTCGAGGCAGTTTTCATGCTGCTATTTGCTATTTTCATTATTTTTCATTCTCATAGGTTTGATATAGTTTCAGTTTTTAAAATATGAAATTAATTTTTACATTTATTAACAATTGTTCTGATTTAGGATTCCTTTCTTTTAGAGAATGCTTTTATTTATTTTTTTCTCTCCTGCTCATACTATAACTTTCACTTTTATCAGTAAAATAATCTGGGTATGTTTTTTATTGATTCATGTTTTAAAGTAAACTATTTAGTATATTCCAGACTTCTTTTTGATTTTACTTTTTAATAAATTATTTGAATGCACTGAGATACATATATTATATTTTGCATTTATTTAATTCATTCCAGCCATATAGTTCATTTCATTTCACACTGTAACTGAACCTAAGGAAATAGATGTCCCGTGATAGGAAATGAAAGTGCTTCATATCAGCTCACTTTACAGTAACTGGGTTACAGTTAACACACTGTAGTTGTTCATACTAATAGAAAATAATGACAAGAAGGACTATTCTGAACAATAACTTCCTTGTTTACATTGTCCTTACATTCTTTTGCATTTGTAATATACATGGAATGGAACCTTAATATAATCTATTATTGACCAGTGCTGGAAGAAGTTTCATTAATCATTACAGTTTCATTATATAAATCTCAATTTCATTACTTGGGTAGAAAAAAACTCAAGCAAAAGTCTCACAGAAGTCAAAGCCTTGAAGTGTACTATACCTGTTTAAAATCTTCTTTTATAGATTAGGAAAGTAAAGCATTTCACAGAATGAAAAGGAAACAGTAGTCCTTTTTCTACCTGTTTTTATTTGTATATTTTTGTTTTCCAAACTCTGGACGTCAATTCACCCTATGAACCTTAAAAGAAGTGCTTTTTAGTCCAGTTCAAAAATGGACTAGAACTGAAAGTACAGATAAACACTCTCAAATGTAGTTAAGCAAAAGTAAGAAGTATCCACTGAGAAATGATGTACATAAAAATGTGTTTTTACTTCTTTTCTTTACTTTCTACCACTGCTACTGACCACATTGAAATCATATATATACATATGCATACAGCATATAATATATATGCCATTATGCTCTTTTCTTAGGAAGTAAAATGGCTGTTAAACCAATCTGCTTCTCTGTTTAGTTTTGTTTCAGATGTTTTTACATGTTTTGAAATTTCTGGGCAGTCTTGTTGTGGTAATTTGTTACTCAATATTAGGCACAGTCATGGCAGAGAGAAATTACCTTTTTAGCTTTAGTATAAGAATGTGGGACGGAAATATACATGCAATAAACAAATGCTATATACAGTATTTAAAGATGTATTGTAAATATTTGTGTTTATTTGTGGCATTGCATTTAAGCAAAAGTTGCTTGACAAGTCACTCCCTGCTGCTGCTTACAACACTTTAGAAAGCACTTTCATGACTGGAGTTTGCAGGGGTCCTGGTGCTATCTCCAAGTTGTCCGGGTTTAGCAGTCCCACTCACGGTCCATAACCATATCCCTGAAGTGCTCTGCTTCTTTCCAAACAGTTTGAGAGTCTGCTGTCGAAATGTTTTGTCCAGAAGGAAATACATCACAGGGTCAGTGGATCCTCTCAGTGCTGCCAGAAGGAGCAGGCTGTTCTTTACCTACAACATTTACATTTTAGCGTTTGGTAAATAAATCCATGTAGTTGCAGATGTAGTTGTCATACTTACATACACCATAAGGAATAACAATATGACCAGCTGTCATAGCTTTCATACACCCACATATCATATTCATGCTGATTCCTTCCTGATTTGAGGCACTTTTCCCCATTCAAAAAAATCTATAGTCATATTTTGAATTTAATTTCAAGTGCTTAATTGCTATGCCCACATATGATTGTTGGCATAGCTTGAAACCCATGAATAGGCTGTAATACATATCTATGTCTGTAAGTTTCCATATGAATTAGCATGGGCAACATAATGATCAAACCTGCTTATACAGCTACTTTAAGGACCGTATATTATTCGAATTGCCTTATTGATGTTTGCAGATAACAATCTAAATTACATTACACAAGAATAATTAAATGTAATCACCTCAACCAGGCCAGAGAGTGGATGGCAGTCATGACCAGGCATTAGCTGAGCTTGTTTAGAGGCCAGAGAAATGAAGATGGGTTTGAAGATGTGATAAGGGAGTAAACACACAGAAAGGACAATCTGAAAACAGATCAGAGAATACAGATAACATGTGAGTGTTAGCTGGCTAAAACATGTAAACTTTGTAAAATTAAATATGCAAGGCTTAAATTAGGTCATACAAATTAATACCAGTTGATACTAAAATTAGTATAGTATTGAAACTATATACTAATTTGAACAATACTGATAATGAGAAAAAGAAATTCACAAAAATATAATAAAACCAAACTGGATTTTTTTTTTTAAACAACATCCTATATTGTCTTTTAACACTGATTTTTATAAAAATCAGTATCCATTATTGAACTTTTCCACAATCCAAATTGAGTGACAACACTAGTTTCAAGTCACATTCCAGACGCGTTTGTTGTTGCTATGGTTACAAAGAATCTGTGCTTTCTATGAATGATACTGAATGTCTGTAGGTTTTTGTCCTTGTACTGTACCTGGACGACCACAATATTCCTCAGCACTCTTCCCAGCAAGCTTTGCGACGTGGCGATATGAGCACTTTTCCGTGAGCGCCTAATGTGTCTGAGCACAGTCATGTAGGACAATAGCACCAGAGCATAGCAGACATAGAAAATAGTTATAGCCGCTAAATTGCACGCTGCTGACGTATTGGCTCCAATTTCTACTGTGGGGTTGTAGCAAACCTCCTTGTCAGATTTTGTCTCATTTGCACTTATTGCTTCTTTGACACTGTAAAATACAGTTACAGGTACAATGGCACCTACATTTATTAACCACACTGCAATACACACTCCCCGTGCGAATGAAACTTTTTTGAGACAATGAGTTAATCTGGTCGGCATCAGAGCTAGACACGCACTTGGTCTGGCTGCGTGAGTATGCTGCAGAAGAGAGACCAAGCGACTAACTGCCACCCAAGTTAAGATCATAACGCCAATGTAGATGTTAATGTGTAAAATTGGGGTAGCGCCGTGCAATACAAGCTGGCATAGGACGCCCCGAAATGTCCATGTGATGCCCCAAGCGTAGTAAGCACCAAGAAAAGGCGTAGTGAGTGAGAGGATAAGGTTGGACAGGCTGAGGTGTGATAGGTAAATGTTAATGGGGGATACATTGGAGATGCGGTGATGGAAGATCCAAAGGGAAAGAATGTTGCCAGGGACAGCAGTGAGGAAGAGGAGGGTGTACACCAAAGGAAGGAAGATGAGAGTAGCAGGGGTAGGGCAAAGAGAGACAGAGGAAGAAGCATGCATGCTGTTAACCGATGGTGAAGAGCTGTAATCCATTTGCTCTATGAAAGATAAAGAAGAAACAGCATAAAATATGAAATACTAATAGTGAGATTGTTGCTTTTTATGTGGGCGTTTATCATAATTAGTCTCAGCAGTCAGTGGTAAGATATATTTGCGGTCTGGGAAGTACCTGTGTAAATAGGTGACGACTTTTCAAAACACAGTTAATTAATATTACATTAAAAAGAACACTATTTCACTGACTATATGTGTGGTAAGTTAAGATAGATTAATATGTAAATGGTGTGTGTGTATGATAGGTCATTGCTCAGCCTGTGATGTTCCACAGTATGGCATTAAACAGCTCTACCTTACATTTATTCAATTACCCCTTGGCTTTATAGCTCAAAGAAAAACCTAGAAAAGCCTAGAAAAATGGGCATTCTAATTGTGATTGTGATTGCTTCTCCACAGATCTGTTGGTCTGGTTTGGTCTCCATGGAGATAGAAATGTTTAGTACCATACAATGAAACATTCCAGACAAAACAATAACATTTCCATGGAGAAAAGCATTTAATGAGCCCTCCATCATTAAACTTATACAATTTACATTAAACATATAGTAATTTTTGTAAATTTTCAAAATACATGTTTGAAATAAAAAGTGAAAACTTACTTTTAAATATATGTACAGTTGGTCACTACAAACCACTCATTTTCACGAAGTCCTTCATGTGGTCTGTGTGTTACCGTTAGCTCTTCCTTAAATGAAATGCCTACTCAGATCAAGTGCATGTTCCTCTTATGTGAGCGAAATTGTCTTGATTTGTCCATCTGGTGGCGCTGTAGTCCCACTTGTGCAAAAGAGAGTAGTTCGCTTCAGTGTAAAGACACATATTGTACAATCTGAATAGAACAAATGATATGGCATATGTTAAAATGATAGCTGTATTTTGTTGACAATGTGCTCCTCTGTCAAAAGCTTTCATCTCTGTAATATTCCCCCTGTGTGCTCTGTAACAGCTCATGTCAGGATCACAGCCGTCATGAGATCTGCTTTGAAGTTAACAATACACGTCTTCTCTGTTTGGACTTTTACGACCATATTATATCAGTTGACAGTCTGACTACATTATCTAGAATACAGGTTGTCAAAAATATCCAAATACCAGTAAATTCAAAAATTAGTATATATATATTAGTTTGTTTTTTTTTGTTTTTTTTTGCAGGTATCAATATACTGAAAAAAATTGCCCTTTGATGGAACTTTAATTTCAATGTTCTGAATTGCTATCTAAGCCAGATACTTCAAACTGAACTAGATCAGTACCATTAGACACAAGGTTGTTACGTATTTAAAAAGTCATAACATGAAAGCGTATTTATATTTAAGAGCATATACAGATGATTGCAATAAAATTGTTACAAAGATTCACAATGTGAACTAAAAGCATGCATTTTTATTTATTACACTTCGCTCAGACTACACCAGAGATCCATAGCTCCTCCAGACAGTACGGACCACTTTTCCTCATACGGAATACTCGTGACCACCGGACCAGAGCGTTGTGTGCAGTCTGAGCCCTGGGTTAAACTTACTTATTAGATTAAATATTTTATTCAATCTAATAAGATTTTATTGTTACCAAAGGAAAAGGAAAGGAAAGGTAACATTTAGTGAGCATGATGCTCTGTTTAGTGCTCCATCAATCGGCTGCAGATCATCACAGATTATCACTGGCCCATCACAGAAAGCCAGTCATTTTTTCTACAAATAAATTGTTTGTCAGTGTGATCAGTATCTGCCAATCCAAAATTAAATATGCATGTTGTAACTTTTCTATCATCTGCTTGTCATTTTTGCTTTGCCTGGAATGTTCCACAGTATTACTCATTAAGGGAGCTACCTTGAAAACATGCATTCTTACTGTCATTTGAATTCTTACTTGGCCTGATGATTATCTGGATTAAATTAATTCCATACTGTGTAACATTCTTGGCAAAGCAATAACATCTCCATGGAGACAAGCTAGAAGCGGATACGAAACCTGTAAGGTTGCATAGTGCTCATTTAAGATGACTGATAATAGCCTCAAAACAAATTCTGATCACAGCACCTCTAGACCGTTCATTCAGTCCACACATAGTATTAGGCCTGTAACGATAATCAATAAATCGATTAATCGTACGATAACGAGCTCGATCACTTTTCCAGCCACGATAAATTTTAGTTGCATGCTTGTTTGTTCTCTCTCGCTCTTTCTCGCTCTCAAAGAGGGTGAATGTTAGAAGGATTCTATCGCTCTCTGACTCCTCTCGTTTAACAAATGTAATGACGCTTGAACCAACGTGCGCTGTGTTTATCAACACAGTGGATGCGCGCGTAGTCTGCGCGCTTTCTGCAAATCCAAATTCTGCAAATGCAGAAAGCCGCTGTCTGTGCGGTGCGCTAGCAACACAAGCTAGCGCCGCTGTCAGAGTGACAAAACTGTTCATCTCCGTTCATCGCCAAAACAAGTCACGATGCCGAATCAACACTGGTGAGCGGGACACGTCTCAACAGCCGCGTGCGTCAAATGCAGCGAGCGCAAACGAGAAGAAATGTCCCAAACCCCAACAGCCGACATAAACCCAAACCCGAGCGACACAACTAGCATAGCGCCCGGGAGAACCCGAAATCCCGAAACCGAACCGACATGACACCAGCCAGGACAGAGGCTCCCTCATAGAGAAACAGGATCCTGTGTTAATATGAACACTTAAAGACCAAAATGACGAGGCTCACAGCAGCAGCCAGAGAGAGACGAGACACAATATTCCAATGTAAGTCAGTAACTAAAATCACAATTTTGTTACGGAGACTTAATAATCCATTTTATTTATTGCTTTGGTTGTATTTGGTTCAACAGTGGTTTATTTAAGTGCATTTTTGTTAACAAGTCCTTGCTGTGAGCCAGACACATTAGGCTAGTTCTGTGTTAAGTCTGTTTTATTTAGACCTGTTGTTTTTTTGTTTGGTTTTTTTTGTCTTACAGTTCCTGTGTTAAATGTTCTTTAGAAAGTAAGGTTTATTGATCATTGAGAGGATGTATTTGCATTTTTATTCCATGGTCATTATATTAGTTGAAATTGGTCTCAAAATGTCAATATTATCGTTTATCACAATAAATTCTTGGTAAATTAATCGTCCAGCAAAATTTGTTATCGTTACAGGCCTACATAGTACATGTATTTCTGTATGTACCCTGCTCAGCTCTTGTGGTTGTCTATGACTACTGAGCTGATTCTTAACTGTCCTTTGTTGGACACTGGCTCTCGTTCCATTTCCAGAGTAGAGCTGTTAACACGATTCACAACCACCTCTCTCAAGTATAGCACCCTGCCCGCCAGACGCAGCACCTCCCTCCTCACTGACGAAGACAACAGGAAGTACATGACAGGGTCCAGGCAGCTGTTAAAGGCCGAAAACACCAATGCGATCTCATTGGCTCGATCAGCCATGCCCCTCAGGAAACAGGAAGTGTCCGTAATCTGCGTTTTAATGTAAAAGATCCTGACCAGGTGATAGGGCACAAAGCAGACAGTGAAAAGGAACAGGATAAAAAATGACTTCTTGGCGCTGCGTTTGTAGTGGGACGCACTGGGGAAGTCTGGATTCTCCAGGGATTTCTTTCGAAGATAGTATCCGATCTTCACATAAGACGTCATTAAAATGATAAAAACAAGAAAAAAAATCACGACGACTGCAATGTTAATATAGGCCTTCCATTTGTCTTCGAGGAGCTGTCTGTAAAAAAAACATCTGCAAAACAACACATTCTGTTAGTTTGCACTTCTATACCCTTGAAAAACAATAATAACTACATTCATTTCCATAAACATTTAAAACTGATCGCAAGGAAATTTGGTAATTTTGTGTTTTGTCACTATGTTAAATTTTTGCAATTATTCTGACTTCCAGATGTTCACCCAAAACCACAGTTTCATTATGCTTTAGAACAGCATAATGTATTTCTTTTGAATAAAGACTTTGTAAATTAAATTAAGAGATTGTATTTCTATATTCAGTAATCTAACACATATTACTTCTTATAAATAGACTAAGAAGAAACTCCAGCATGTCCTCACCCACCTGTCGGTTTGTGTGCGATTCTTGGACATCATTATAGGCATGATGAATGCCATAGCTCCTGCCCATGTTACTGCACAGGCAACAATGCTCCCTCTAGTGGTGATCCTTCCATCCATGCCTACACCACGATAGATCTTCAGATACCTGTCCACACTGATCATGCCCAGCAGTGTGATGCTCATGTACATGTTCATATAGAAGAGATTGCCCACCACTGAACACAGCGTCGGGCCCAGTCTCCATCTGTTGCCTTGGCTGTGATAGATCATTCTGAACGGCAAACATACCATGAGTAGCAGATCGGCTAATGCTATGTTAATGAGAAATACACGCACAGAGTTCTTCTTGGAGTGTACAAAAAAAAATACCCACAAAGCCACCAGATTTCCAAAAAGTCCAGGTATAAAAATGATGGTATACAGCACAGCCAATGATGTTTGTAGCTCTTCCTGTGCCTCACAGTGTCTGCTCTCATTGGAGGCTGGGGTCGTGGTTAGGTTAGTCTGAGCCATGTTGCTGATGCTCTTCTTCAGAGAGTGAAAAATACTTGCTGCTGTGGTGGTTTTGATTTCCGTTGAGGTTTCCTGGTGTTGTTTCAACACTGCAACAAAACGGTGTAGGTTAGCAATAGCTTCACTAATGCATTTAGCTAAGGTCTCGGCCTTGAATCATCTGCTCATCAAATTAGCAGTTCAGGCAGCTTTTTAATTACCCTGGCCTCGGTTAAGCTTTTGACTTTATAATCTACCCCTTTTTATGAAGTAAGATTTTATGAACTGCATCATGACGAGCACAAATTTACCCTCATGTTATATTTGACTGTAAGACTTGACCTTAAAGGTTGTATGGAGGATTTTTTTTTGTTTCAAATTGTCAATGATAGCATTATAGAGGTGCAGTAGCCTTGTAATTATGATGACCAAAAAAAAGAGAATAAAAATTCATCAACTCTGGACGTGGTGGGGCCAGCTAAACATTTGCCAATAGATAACGACACTGCCTCGTTATCTGTTAGCTGACAGGCTGTCAATCAATCTCCCTACGTTTCTAGCGTAACTGACTTGCCTGCGCGCCGCCGGTACGTGGTTTACGTACGCCTGTCACGCAGTCCACAGACGCAAGCCGCACAGACGCTGTTTACTCCACCAACGCAACAGTTCTTAGCGGCTTTTTTTGACCTATATCTTCCTCGCAGTTAGCACAAAGTTTGTTGCAATGGCAGACAAGAATCCAGGAGCAGTTAGCCGCAAAAGAAAGTCCGTTTTTGAGGTCGCTGAAAGAAGAAGACAAGGGGAAAAGCAGCGAAGCCAAACTAAGGTGATTCTTGAAGATTCATTCCAGCGATGGCGCGACTGAAGCAGACGCAGGGTCTAAAGACTGACGCATTGGTCGCCAAATTACTCCTGGACAGGTCACTTCTGCTTATTATGAAAACGTACTTTATTTCCAAGAGCTAGTCAAACGTTTTTCAGGACACGAAAGCGATATCCTATGTCTGAAAACGTAATTTTCAAGGCAAAGAAAGAGTCCGCTTGCTGCTGCGTGTTGTAGCTAGTTCATTCGCACGGAATCTCCGCGCAACCTTCTCTGCACCCCTTTCCTGCTCCTGTCCCCGCTGCCCGTTCCGCTCTTCCCCCTGCTCCTCACTTCTCCGGGCACGGAATCTCCGCGCACCGCTCCCCTCTCCTCTCTCCTCTCTCCCTGCTCCGCTCTTCTCCCTGCTCCTCACTTCTCGTCCGCGAACGAAATGTCCGCACACCCGCTCCCCCCGCTCCTCACTTCTCCGCCTTGCCTAACCAACACTGTAGTTAGTTGTTTACAAGTCATGTGCAGCGCACCGGCTGTAAACAAACCTGTTTCTGGCGTAAAGAGGAGGCGGGAGAAGGCGTTTCTATGTAGGGAGCTGTAGGGGAGGGGGGGTGTTTTCACGCATGCGCAACATTTGAAAAAGGACAAACAGTCGCTGGATTTCTCGTTCCTTGGAAAATCCTCTATACAACCTTTAAGATACCTCATAGTACTAAATTGAATTACTAGATGGAAGTGGCTACATGTGGGGCCACAGTGTTACAGTGGTTTTACTCTGACCAGAGCACCAGAGAGAGTGGCAGACTGTGAGAGAGGTCACGGTAGCTCCCGGAAATACACATTTATAGAATTATGCGTTATTTGATACCCATCCCTTGCTAGTTTTGATACTTATTTTGAATGTATTATTACCATTTTTTTTTTTTTTTTTTTTTTTTTTTTTTGCTCTTTGTTATTATATTTATTGTGATGTGTGAGCTACTGAGTCCAAATACTTTTCCTTGTGGATCAATAAAGTTTGTCTAAGTCAAAGTGTTGGATACTCTCAGATGTGTCCTTGGCATATTTCCCAAACGTTCAACTGCCCAAACTGGTTTTCTTGAGAGTATATCATATTTCAAATCAGTATTACAGAGAATTTCTCATGCATTTTGAGATATTATGGATGAGACCAGAAATTGAGAATCTGAACATTTCTGACATACAAAGAATACAAGACACACAGACAAATGCTATTATATATATATATATATATATATATATATATATATATATATATATATATATATATATATATACATACATACATACACATATATATGTGTGTGTGTATGTATATATATATATATATATATATATATATATATATATATATATATATATATATATATATGTATATATATTATATATATATATATATATATATATATTATATGTGATACTGTACTACCACAGTATGCTCACTATACCTGATGGTAAGTGCAAAAAATGGCAATAAAAATAGAATAAGAATAGTACTCATGCATTCCTATAACACTAAGATTTCACTTGAGTCTGTGAAAATGAAGTAGGATACTTACCTAGTTGTGAAATTCGTCAAAACAAACCCTCTCAAACACCGTGCGTAAACATATTTTCTGTTCCCATATTTTCTGAGACACTCCTCATCTTGAGCAAGAATCCAAACTGCAGTCCATGATCTCCTTCTACTGTCACTCTTCATACACACTTTGTCCCATTGACCACAAAATCGGAGTTTCAGTGATTCAAGATTTTCTGTCCGTGTTATTCCATCCTTGTTAAGTTGAGCCACTTCCCTTCCTCACGCGTCTGCTGCTGTCTAAAATAATTGTTGAGAAAAGTTAGTGCTGTGGGCGCCTGTGTCTTTTTAACCACAGTGAAAATCTCCAGCAGAGACAGTGAGTGAAAGGGTTGGGCCAAATGCAGTGAGATCATAGAGCAGCCACTCTCTGTGTATACAGCACTGCCAAGTTTTGTGCGCTCGGAGTGGAAAGACAATCAAAATATGTCCTTAAATGTCCACAAGTTGAAAGCCTAGACTCATTAAGGTAAACCTGATAACTTTGTAAAGCAGGTATTACAATATATTAATATTATTTCAGTGTTGAATAGGTCAATGCTATTAACCATTTGATTCTTGTCCAGTTAAAAACTGTTGACCATGTGGAAGAATCAAGAATAAATTGGTACCAGAGCACATTACTGATAAATTCATTGATCACTGATAGCAACAGCATAGTCTCTGTTAAAGGTGCACCAACGCTTGCTTGTTTCTATGGATATGTCATTTCTCTGTCTGGAAGGTTCCACAGTATGACACTGGACAAAAATACTATAAAAAATAGTTAGAAAAACAGACATTCTGACTGTGAGCTTGGTTGCCTCACCACAGATCTGACCTGTAACTTGGTCTGGTGTGGTCTCTGAAGGTAGAAAAGTTTAATACCATACTGTGAAACATTCCAGACAAAGCAATAACATCCCCATGAAGAAAAGGATTTGACGGATATTTACATTTGCCTAGATGTTTTTTAATATGCTTTTTTCTTAAATAAATACATACATAAATACAATAAATGAGGAGCACTAAAACAAAGAGACCTTGTTATTGTGAAATTGTGGAACTCTTTAGACAATGTATTAAAAACTTCCCATTCAATTGTTCAGAAAAGGACAAAAATGTAAAAGTATAGAATGATTTAAAGTACAAATGTAAATGATGGGTATGCTGTTTTGTCATTTTGTCTAGAAATTATTGTGACAGATGGTTGGCTAATTGTTATTGCATGTGACTTTCTTGGTTAAGGGACAGCTCTACGTTTTCGTTATGGTCCCATTCTGACATGTAGCGAAGACTGATACATGTTCAGAATAAAAACAGATTGATTTACATTTCACTATGTTAGTATATATGTGAGAAATAATATTTTGTTTGATGAAATTACTCAAGAAAACTTTGCTAATTGTTGGTAACTATCAGTCTGGTGATGTTTCATTGAGCAGTTTTAGACTTAAATCTTGATATCTTCAATATATTGTAAAAAAGGTTTTAAACACAACACACGTTTAGATAAAATGGCAAACAGCAGTAAATAGTGCCCAGAGTAGACCTCTCGCAAACTCAACAGTTTTGCAACACTTTTTCTGTGTATTTTTAGTGTGTTTTCCGGTAACTATTTTTGGCACTAGTATGTTAAACCGCTCACAATTAGTGAATATTTACACACCTCACAAACTCCTTTACAATCGATGCAAAAGCCACAAGAACCTGTTGACCCATTGTTAACTACAGTTTTATATGTTGGATTCTGCTGGTTCCAGTGATCTGGAGCTTCCCTGTGATCCTCCCTGTGTGGGTGACTGTGTGGTGGGACTGGGTGCTGCTGCTTTGGGTGTGCAGTGCATATGTGGCTTGTCTGTCATTTATAGCAGGGTGTAGCGCTTTAATTAACACAAAATTCATTAAACTCTTGATGTGTGCTCTTGTTCCCAGCCTCACTGTGTGCTGCTGGCCTCCAAAGAGAACTCTGCCCCGGTCAAACTGGGCGGCTTCGGAGTGGCCATTCAGCTCGGAGAGTCCGGACTTGTGGCTGGAGGTAATCAGTGACTGTACAAGAAATAAACATATCAAAATACCATAATATAAAAAATAACAATTGTATTATTATTTCTAAATATGCCATGAAATGTTCTCTGTACACTAGTTTGCATCTTATTTCAGCATTTTGCACACTTACCTTTGTTTGTATATTTGCATTGTACATTTGCATAGAGCTGATGGTGCAAAGTAACAAATCCTGAGAACTGGACTTCGACTATCCAGCTTGTATCCTCCCATCATGATGATTTGATCTATATATGCCACTATTTCTAATGACGACAACCTTTTCTCATAAAAATGTAAATGGAAAAAAAAAAGTAGCAGTCCCTTACTCCTTCATCTATGCATGCTTACATTAATATTCTATTATTTATCATGGGCAACCTTATTTTTCAAGTAATTTCACATGAAACAAATAAGAATTAAATTTGACTTCTTTGCTTTTGTCACTTCCTGAGATTGGTTCGTGACTAAAACCTTTCAGAACAGCTCAAAATAACCTACTTCCTCTTTCCTGTTGAAAACGGAAATCAGATATCAGATCATGACTTTTGATATTTGCAAATATTACAAAAACATGCAAGGTCCAGTTCATAATTGGAATAGCCAACTACAGCAACTATGTGAAAGTTAAATTATAAGTAAACTGTCCATAATTACCTCCGCCAAGGAGGTTATGTTTTTGCCGGCGTTTGTTTGTTTGTTTGTTTGTCTGTTAGCAACATAACTCAAAAAGTTATGGACCGATTTTGATGAAATTTTCAGTATTTGTTGGAAATGTGAAAAGGAAGAACTGATTTCATTTTGGGGGTGATCCGGAAGACATCCTGGATTCTGGATCACTTTGAAATTTTAGTTAACATTGTGGTAAATGGGGCCAAAAAATTGTTTCTCAATATCTCGGTTAATTATTGACCAAACCCCATGAAATTTGACTCAGGGATGGACAATGGGATCCTCTTTCATATTCCAAAGGCTGATCCAGATCTGATCCAGAAGACTGATTTTATCGCAATTTATATAAAAAATGGGGGTAGTCCTTGGCGGAGGTCTGCGCTCTCTGAGTGCTTTTCTAGTTAGTTCATGGCGTCTCCTTATGTGCAGTCATATATGAACATTTCCTTTTAATTGGTTTTATTTTTAGTGCTTTTTCTACATGTATCTAGGCATACGTAGTGTATCCATCTGCCTGTATTACAACAACAAAACAACACAGTGTCTGTATTGAAATATATTTACAGTGAGTTAAATTCATGTCATAGTCCTGAGTCGTGCTTTTGTCGTATTCTCCCAGGTCGAGTAGGGACCCCCCACTTCATGGCCCCTGAGGTGGTGAAGCGAGAGCCTTATGGTAAACCTGTGGACGTGTGGGGCTGCGGAGTCATCCTCTTCATCCTTCTCTCGGGATGTCTGCCTTTCTACGGCACCAAGGACCGCCTGTTCGAAGCCATCTGCAAAGGCAAATATAAGGTCAGACAACTCAAATCCTCAGTGCGTTCTTTTAGTTTTGTTTTAATTTCTATGTAATCAATATATGTAAGCTTATGTATTGTATTTTATTTTATGTATTGTATTATTTTATTGAATTTTATTTTGACTTATACATATACATTTGTATAATTATGCCTCTTGCTATCTTTTTGCTTCTTATTTAGAATGTGTTATTACCATTAATATTTTTTACTCTGTTATTATAATATATTGTGATGTGTGAGCTACTCTATCCAAGTAATGTCCGAGTAATTTGACTTCTACACTGGATCAATAAAGTCTATTGTCTGTGTGTATGTGTTTTTAAATGCAGATGAATCCAAGGCAGTGGGCGCAAATCTCAGAAAGTGCCAAGGATCTGGTGAGGAGAATGCTGATGCTGGACCCCGCAGAGAGGATCACAGTCTACGAGGCCCTCAACCACCCCTGGCTCAAGGTTTGTCAAGCAACTCTTCCAAGAACAAAAAGAATCACTTTATGTATTTATTATTATGAAAGCATATTACCAATAACAGGCAGTAGAAAAGGCCAATAAGATAGTAAATTTGGCCAGTTTTAAATGTAATAAGCCCATAATGTAATAACTAGAGATGGGCATGATTAGTCGATTAATCGATAATTGATCATTAAGAATTTCATTGATTACGTTCATTTTAATCGACAAACCAAATGTAGGTTGCTGTGCGTAGCGTAGGGTGACCAAACATCCATGTCCGGGGACAAACGGAGGTCCGTACATGTAGCTCTCTGCACTCAGAAGGAGCGAGACACAAATAGATGGTCAGCCTGCAACGTGCTGAAGTGCAAATGCGTATTTAACGATGATTTGTGCAAGAAATTCCACGCTTTCCGTTGCAGTCGGGACAAGTGGGAGGCCATGTGCACAGTGTACAAAGCAAGAACATATGTTTCGGTGTCCAGTGGGAAAAAGCTCACCAGGACACTGAAAACATGAAAAAGCTTTGCCAGGTGAGAGTAGCGCAATGTCGATGGCGAGTCCCCACCTCCCACCTCCCGTACGCTGTCCTGGTTTTGACAAACACAAATATGGTCACACTAACCTGTATTCCACTGAGTCATGTCCTTTAATCTGACAGAAGTTGACCGCATCAGCGCGGTTAGTTTATGCAAATTAGCCATGTGGTTTAAGTTTTGTTTCTGCGCAAAGCTGCATTGAACACAATCTCAAACAGGCTGATGTGGCTCTAGAGTGGTTACGGTTTATATCTCGTAAAGTTGAATTTATTTATGCAGATTAGTAGTGCAGATAGTAATAATAATGATGATAATTTTAATATAAAAATTTTAATGATTAATCAATAATCGATCGTTAATTCTGCAGACGATCGATTAAGAAAATTTAATCAAATGCTCATCCCTAGTAATAACTGGTCAATAATGTAACTTGAGTGAGCTGATAATGTAATAACACTCCGTAATAGCCAATAATGTAATACTTTACTACATTATTGGCTGAAGTTATTACATCATGACATGTTTTTCCTTTACCCAGCCAATAATGTAATAAAGTCTTACATTATTACGTTATCGGCTCACTCATGTTATTAGAATATTGGCTGGTTATTACATTATGGGCTTATTCCATTTAAAATTTGCTATGTTTATTACATTAGCTGTTAGATAATACAAGGTGATAGTGTATATAGCAGGCAGGTCTGAATAAGTTGTTTACTTATTTAGTTAAAATAAATGATTTGATTCAACATTTTACATATTTTAAAATTTCTATCAAATCATGCTCTTGCAGAAAGAAAAACACACACAGTGATGATGCAACAGGATGCAATAAAATAGGGGGCAGAAAGGGAAGAATCTTCTTTTTTTATTGATTGACAGCATTTTTGTTTATCTGCACTGTGCAAGTAGATTGTTGGGGCTAAACAGTTGAAGGTTTTGTGTCATCAATATTTCTTTAACTTTGACGTCAAGTATGAAAACTTTGCACTGTTTAATATCCAACTTTTGTTTGTATGTTTCAGGAGAGAGATCGGTACGCCTACAAAATCCATCTGCCAGAAACGGTGGAGCAGCTGAGAAAATTCAATGCCAGGCGGAAACTCAAGGTCAGTAACAAATGAGATCTTGCACATTCAGGTTTTAGGTTTTATATGTTACTTTTTAGGATGATGAATGTATTTGTATGATTTTCAGGGGGCCGTCCTGGCTGCAGTGTCCAGTCACAAGTTCAATTCATTTTACGGAGACCCTCCTGAAGAGCTCCATGATTTCACGGATGACCCCACTTCCTCAGGTAAACCAAAATAAATAGTAGATCTAAATTATTATACTTTCACTTCACCTCTCTCACATCCTGCCTTTGATGTTTTTTTTGCACTAAAATCATGATCACAAGATTAGCTGTCAGCACAAAGACACAAATCCAAACTGCACAGTACTGTAAATGAAGTTTAGCAGTAATTTATGCCCAAAATGTAATGGTCTCTGCAAGTTTTAATCAAACATGGATTTTGGAACGTGGAACATACAGCATATTTTCTCACAAAATTTATCACCACTTTTTTTTTTTTTTTCTTTCCTATTGTTAATTCTTTTTATTTTATTTTTGTCTTATAATATGACAAACCAGCATTTACCCCGGTGAACTCAGTAAAAAAAACACACACAAAACAATAATACTAATATGAGTATAAAATATAATAAAGGTTAGGTAATAAAAGTAAATGGACTTCTTATTCTTTCAGTTGTGGAAAAACAGCATTATCAAATGTACCCATTTGAAACTTTAGCACAATTTTTTTCTTTCTTCTTATTATTTTTATTATATTTTTCACTTAACACTTTTCACATAATATGACCAACAAACATTTACCACTGGAGATCTCAGCAAAAGCAAACAAAATAACAGTAACAGTAATATGTTTATAAATGAAAATACAGGTTATGTAATAAATCTATATTAAATAGATTCTTTATCCGTTCAATTGTGGAAAAAAGCATTATCAAATGGGTAGCTGCAACATATTTTGTCACAAAACTTCAGCATTTCTTTCAGTTTATAGAAGAGCATTCTGCAGATCTCAAACAGGGCATAGCATTCGTCACTGACTCATTTCCCTAAAATAACCAAGTGCTATGCTAAAATATGCTAATGCAAGATGTGTATTTCTGTTAATGCTCCCCTCCTCCTAGGACTACTGGCAGCAGAACGTAGGTATCACTGGCTAAATGCATGTAGCAGTGCATGCTCTGTCACTGAGATTTGCCTGCTCCAGTGACCAGTTATTCTTTTGTTTTAATTCACTTTGGATCACATAACTTTTCTTGTGGGAGGTCTTATGTCTACTAGCTCCATTCAGATGTTCTTGCTTTGCCTAGAATATTCCACAGTGTGACAATAAAATTATCTTGTGGGGTATAGATTTCCTAGCTCTTACATAACTAGTATTCACGTGATACTCTACGCACAATTAGTTTGCAAGTGAAAAAAAGTTTTTTATAATTGGATAAAAACAGCGTGCAGCAGTCTTTTTTTGTAGTATGAGTTCTGCTTTTACGATGCACTTGCTAGAGAGGAAAATTTTTATATTACACTTTTTGGGGAGGAAAATTACACTCATTTCTACAAGGAAAGTAATGCTGCTTTAAATTACAGTTTTTTTTCTTGTTCTTAAAATATTTTTTTTTAAACATGCATTATTTATTACTGTATCCTGGGTTGCCTGTCCACAGATCTGACCTGTAACTTCATCAAAATAAATACATTTAAAGTTATACTGTGGAACATTAAAATACAAGATCAGCCTCTTACTATCATGGCAGTTTTGACAGGCTTGAATAAAATGTCCAAAGCACACTGATCACAAAAATCTTACAAATGGGACGCCTTATCTTAGTTATACTGTGGAACGTTCCATGAAATGTATTAACACCCCAGTGGAAATAAGCAGATGGTGGCAGTCCCTCCACTAAAAAAGTTACAAAATGCCTCTTTGAATTATATATGAATGAGTGATCACGTGTAACTTGTAGAAGTTGGGGTAATTTTGGGGTCTGTGTCTGTGTCCAGGGGCTGTTTCTCAGGTGTTGGACAGTTTAGAGGAGATCCACGCGCTCACAGACTGCAGTGAGAAGGACCTGGATTTCCTCCACAGCGTTTTTCAAGACCAGCATCTGCACACGCTACTTGATGTAAGTGATACCATTACCCACCGCAATATCAGATTAAGAAGATGATTTAAGATTTAGAAGACTTACGCGTTGGTTGGTAGTTTTGTATGTGTAAGAATGATGGAAAGATTTCAAGTAAGAAAATTAAAGAAAATTCTCAGATTCTAATGTGATTAAAAAACAGGACGATATGTCGATGCATTTACTTTTTACATTTTTGCTTTCTATTCATGGATTTCAGCTTCCTGTTCATTTTGAGGACTCTTGACCATTCAAAAGATATAATATTTAGTTTATGGTAAATGGTCATATTTTATATAGACTCTTAAAGCACTTTACATCAAAGAACCACTCACCCATTCATACACCAGTGTAGACAGACACTTGCGGTGAGGTGGGTTAAGTGTGCTCCCCAAGGACACAACAACACAACAAGTTCAGACCAGGAAGTAAAATGTCAACTCTGCAGGTCTTTTTTTTCTTATAGAGATCTAATGATATATTACATACATTTAGTTTAATTTGTGTATATTTTAGAGCTGTGATTTGTGCATTTTCACAGTCAAACATCTTCTAATTGTTTGAGAAAGTTCTGTGTTCTTTGCCTGGGGCTTAACAGAAGTTTGTTTTGGACAGGAATTGTCAGGAGTCCTATTAAAATATTCACTTGTGTTGAAGAGTAAAGCGAAAACACTGGTTGACTTGTTTGAATAATAATACTTTGAAAGAGCAAGTTCTACTGTTCACACATGGATGGTTGGCCTATTTGGGACTCAGGTGTACCTTCTATCTGTCTCATATTAATAGTCTAATGTGATTCTTAACAGTGAAGTCTGCATTAGTTTGAATATCTTTGTCTTTTCTTCATAAGTCCCAGTGACTTATTTCAAACCATGAGTCAGGAACATGGTTTTAGTTTGACCTTTTAGCCCCACCTACTTAGTTATTTCTGGCTCTGTGATAAGGCACCATGACACAGAAACAGCTTGCTGGGATAGTGTCATGTCATTTTTTCGTCATCATTTTTCAAATCTCTGCATACTATTTGCGATTTTGTCCCTTGAAAATTCACCATAACAGATTTTAGAGTCTGGGGTAGCATCCAGGGGTTGGTTTGTGTGCCTGATTGGATGAAAAATTGTGAGCCTGTTTGGAACCTCTGTACATGTGTGTAGGTTTGGGCCTGTTGAATACTATATCGACTTATCGTTCAGTATATGAAAGATGGAACGATATATTGTGGCCGTCAATGTTTATCTTATGTACTTTTCTTAGCACTACTTGGAAATTTTGGTTATTTTTCGGCTACACGATAAGACTTAAGTTGTCAGAGGTTGAATGGATAACTTCTGTGACTCATTACAGATGCAAACAAAATATGTAAGGTTTCATTCTGCTGTTTATTTATCACAGTTCATGATTTTTTAACTGTTTTGTTGATTTAAATAGTTTTTGTGGTTAAAATCTGCTTTTTTATTTTTGTGTCAGGGGCATAAATTTGTTTCAGTAGTATCGTTTATTGTCTTTATTTACTTCAGCAATGTATCGAACTTCAAAATTTGTTATCATGACAGGTCTAAATAGAATATATTATGCATATTTTTCTTATTTACCAGCTATTACCAAACAAAAGCAGTTACAAATCACAGAGAGCTAGCCTATTGTTTCTATTTCTTGCCACGTTGTTACTACAGTTTTGTCAGATAGAAGAAAATGCCAAGTCCTTCTGAGCTTGTCAACTCTTTCTCAAGTTGCCATGGCGCCTGTGGAAACTTCACAGTGTCAGTAGACAGTTTATCACCCTCATCTCGGGTGAAAGTTGCTCATTTCTGAAAGCTAAATATAAGTGTATGAAGTTGATGAAGCTAGTAATACATGTTGCTATTTGTATATGATTTAATGGGCTCTAGAAGACTGAAAAAAATTGGTGTTGCCAGATTTGGGGCCACAGCTGTCCCATTTTCAGAGTTTTACACCCCAAGGGGAGGGTCAAACCAATACAAAGAAGTGCGTAGCCCTCCCTCAAATCACTAGAACAATGGCTTCAATTGTAAAGTCCAAGACCCTGCATTCAAAACCAGTCGAGCCTTCTGCATCCAAACACAACAAACTTCAGTTCTCCGCTGCTCTGGCAAAGATAAACCTCTCTCCTCTGCTCGGCTGGCTGCGTTTTTCTCACAAACTACTTTCTGTCTCTTGGGTGAGTGTGTTTTCATCCTCTATTTGCTTCAGATCTACACGAAGGAAAAATCGTTTTATCACAACACGCAGCTCGGAAATTTGATCTCGGTGAAGCATCCCGCATGTGTGTGTTTTTAGAGTTTCACGAGTATAATGAGGCGCTGCAGACAAATGCCTTGTGTTTGTATTCTCTATTGGGATTTGTGCTTAAAAAGGGTCTCCTAAAGCAAATTATGCCTTTATTTCCTTACAGCCATACTGAATTAACAAAAGTTGTTTTTTGATTGCTTCAATCTGCATATTTACAGTAATTTCATGTTCTTTATTGCCTTATAACAATCAAAGTATAATACCTTTGTTATAGTTCTATGTATATTTGTTTATTACAACTTTTTGGTGTGTTGTCATGAAAAACAAGCTTTGCTGAGTGCCAGGAACATGTAAAAAGTACAGCACTTGTTTGGAGGGTGGGTAAAAAGGAGAATGTCTAGATGCTGTAGAAAATACACATTTTATTATTTGATTGTCTGTTAGATAGGCAGTTAAAATGTATGTGTGATTGTTGTGGTATTTTTTGTTATTGGTTAAGGAAGATTACAGTTTTGTTGAGTTGTGTGATTGATAATACATTCATTGCTGAGCTAGTATGCTAAAATGCATACATTGGACTTACATGTATCTCATTTTGCAGAGGGTCTGATCTCATGGCAGAGGTCTGTGCCTTCTTTTTCAGCCATACAGTACCTAACATTTATTACTTTTCATTTTGTTTTGAAACGGAAAACTCAAAGAACACACCACTTCCAGCTTGTCTTGTTTGCTTTTTGATAACTGACCCCGCTCTCCTCCACTAGACTGGCTGTCACATGTCTTTTTTAGATCTCAGCACTGCATTGAACTGTCTGGTACTGAAGAGCTCCTGTCTCCAGCCTCTGCGTCTCTTTCGCGCTCCTTCTCTTTCTCTCTTTCTCTCTCTCTCTCTTTCTTTCTTTCTCTCTCTTCTCTCTCTTCCTCTGCTCCATCTCTGCCCTGACGAACTGTGAGCTGCCCTGTGTGTGCACTCTGCAAGTTCCCACTGAAAAAATGATCAAACACAAGACACCATGTTTGCAATAGGTAGCAATAATATTTGAATAGAGCTTGTTGTTGTGTTATGAGAACACAGCTGCCCTCTTTGTTTGCAGCATACAGTCTCTTAAATACAGCCTCACAACCCCTGACTGGGCTCACACAAGCTGCAGCCGTGAGGGACTTTATGGGTCAGCTGGGACTTAAATGAAACATGGCTCTTGTGTCGAACATCCTCCGGTCACAGAGAGCACATTTTGTTTTGTCAATACACGTTCAACACCAGGCACTGTAATGATGCAGTGTTTTTGTATGGTGCTGTTATTTAGCTAATTTTACTATATGTTTGCATGTTATCTGCTGATAATTTGACATGTTGTCCAAAAGCAGGGTTAGGCATGAAGGTTTCCAGGTCCTTTTGCTTTTTTATTTTTTATTTTATTTTTTGTGCTTTTTTGCTTCCTTGGCTAGTCTAAAATATATATAATTGTCTTCAAATGGGTGTATTCCATTTATTCAGTTGTGCCAGCTTGCTTGTTGTGGTTAAATTAAAAAATACCAAATATTTTAGCAGGTAATATATGAACTGAAACTTGATGTTAAATTATTTATTGTTATGGATAATGTATATAAAAAATTTACTTTCTTGTAACCAAAGAGCAAATGGTTCTACTTGGGCTCAGAGTGAGTAGTGATTGACTTGTTTGTGTTGCAGCTCTATGATAAGATCAACAGCAGGTCCTCCCCGCTGATCCGAAACCCTCCCAGTGATGGAGTGCAGAGAGCCAAAGAGGTGAGTGGCACCTTAAATTTAAGATAACTGTTTCATACCCCTCTTTCCTCTTGTTTGTGTGTGTACTGGTAATAAAACTAATTTACAAATGTGTCTGTAGCTCTTGAAAACTAACTGCTTAAACTTTATCTTCACTCTTTAACTTGAATTTCTGCTGTCTGCATTGTCCATTCTTGTATACTTATTTTGAGAATAAATAAAACATAGAAGGAAAAAGGGGATTAGCCAAACAAATAATAAGTCTACATTCACATGCATAATTTATTTCATTTGTGAAATATTCATTGGATTGTCACTGGACAAAAGGGTTTTGATTGCCATCTAAGAACTTTTTTTTTCTAGCATATTATGTGGACTAGAGATGCACCAATACGATACTGGTATTAGATATCGGTTCAGTCAATATCCAATCGAGCATAAAAATGGTGTAATAAGACGATTTACTTACCAATATTGACCCAAAACACTTTGTAATATTGAACTTGTATTTTTTCAGACCTGTTCTGTACTTACTGTATACAACACTTAACTTACAAAAGACATTTGTATAATGGTTTCCCATATGCCATTTGTGTTTAAGGGAAATAAATAATATTTTCAGTCTCTGTCCTAGTATCCACTGATATCGGGTATCACAGATACTTAAAGCCATGGCATTGACATCGGTATTGGAACGTATAAAGCTGGATCAGTGCCTCCATAATGTGGACAATAATACCGTCTTAAAAATATCCGAAGAGTTGTCATCTTTCTTTATCACTTAACATCACATGTCATCATTTAAAAAAACTGTTTGACTCAGTGTTGGTGTTGGGCAAATGGTGATTGTTGACGTAGTTACTGATTAGACGGAGCAGAACACATTTTTGGTTTCCTGGGTTTGGCTGCAGCTATTTGAGTATTTTCCTGCTGTTTACCTCTCACTAAAACTGCGGCATGACGAGTCCATGTTTGTAGTGGTGTTGAGTGCAGAGCTTTGTTAGTCGCCACAAGAGCATTTACTGTGTGCTGTGTTGGTTTCGGGAGCAATTAAATCGTCTTAAGGGCTGGTGAGAAGTGGCGTCTTGATTTTAAGACAAAAGCTTGTTGTTAGTGGTTTTGGTGTCAGACAGACCTGGTTAATTAACCCAGATTTGACCTAATGTCCACTGCAGAAAAAATACAACTACTGAAATGTTTTTGTGCTTAAATAGAAGTGAATGGATTAAAAGTTAAGGTCTAAGCCATTTATTAAACGAGTTGTCAGGGCACTTCTGAATTTGCTGTGTGAGCTTTAGTTTGCCACTATAATAAACTTTAATAAACAGCATTGCATTCAAGCCTAATCAAAACAGTGAAGCGTTTTTATATATAAAACTGTTGCTAAGCCATAAATTGGGGACATAAGTGTTGAATGTGTGCAAGTAGAGTGGGCAAAAGTGGTGAAAATCAGATACTAAACAACATTAAAACTACTATCAAAACTAGATACTCATTTAAGTATCGATGCTGAAAACAAACCACATAACTATATAAATAAATACATACATAATAAATAGATACAATTTGACAGTTCTGAACATTTCATCTGGAGTTTTATCAGAACGAGAGGAGTAAGTAAGAGTAAGAGTAGAGTAAGACCATATGGTATAATAAACAAATGCTATAATTTTGTATTTACAATTTCATCTAAAAAGCTTTTAAAATTGATCATTTAAGTGTCAAAATTGGTTGTAATTGATTATCAAGTCTAATCTTTACTATCGAAGTTGAGTTTGAAAATTTCATATCAGGAAACACTAATGTGCAGTCACCTAATTGTACTTGACAGAAAGAAATGCACCAGTGCACTAAAGTTTACATTTCAATACATTAAGAAAGCACAAACCTTTTACGTATTATTATTGTATTGTGTATTTACGATAGTTAACTTCTGAATTTCAAAGTAGATATTGAAGATTTTGTCACCATTAATCCAAACATTAGGATCAAATATTATAAATAAAATGCAATTAAAATGTATGTGTTATCCTTTCTCTTTCCTCTTGCATTGTCCCACACTATTTTTCCTTACCTTGTTACTAAACTTAAGCTGATGTTATGTCTCCTGCTGCTTACTGTGAGGTTTTGAGCTCATTTAAACTTGTGTGTCAAAGCGCTTAAAACTTCTCTCTGCACTAATTCAATTTCTAATCTTTGAGACTAAATCTTGTATTCTTGGCTAATGGCTATAAATACTAATCCTACTCCCCCACTAATACACTGATTAAATTTGAGGGTGGAGTCTCCCCTCCTCTGTCACCTTTGACCTTTCCCCTCCGAGTCAAAAGCTTGAATAATCATTGTTCCTGTGTCTTCCTCCATTTGAAGAGGCCCTCCCAAGATGGAGCAAGTGGCGCTTTGAAACATCTGGAATATGTAAGAGCCAAGACCTCATCATCACACCATGTTTACAGTAATGACAGGATTACGTGGCTGGAATGAGATTTAGTGTGGGAATGTTTGCAATGTGACCAAGATGATATAAAAAGCTAAAATTATGCAAATATATACCTTTGTTTTGGTTACATGTAATAATACTTTTAACATGTTAACTATCCATAAGTGCAATAATTATGTATGTTTTGAAGCTTGCATAAAAACTAAAATGTTTATGCTAAAAGACAATAAACTCTATGAATGAGGGTTTCACATGGAAGGAACATAATAATACACCAGGGGATAATATTGTTGTAGCTTAGACATGATTTTCAAAGGAAATAACCTAACTGTGGGTCTCAGCCTTCCAGTATTTATTTTCAAACTTTTGCTTCACATTTTATTATGCATATTTTATATCACTGATAAATGGTGCTTTAATCCATTTTTGTTACACTGATAGCCTCAACAATTGTGTAGATATTATCTATTTATATCACTATCAATATCAAAGCATGAAAAGATCAGTAGTACACTGCAGTGCAAAAAGTAATATCTAAGTAAGTTCAAATGACTCAAATTAAGAAGTTGATACGAGTAGATTTCACTGCAAGAATAATTATCTACCAGTGGAGTATTTTTTTTCTTAATTCAACCAATATTCGATTTAGTTTCTTATTTTAAGTATAAAGTGTTTTGTTTTTCTTATTTTAAGTGTAACTTGGTGTATAATTTTTCCATGTGAGATTTACTCAAGTCAATATAACATGTTCTTAATTCAAATCATTCAAGGTAACTTGGCAAGATTTTAGTTTTTGTAGTGTGACTCTTAACAGGGAGCCATGTGAGAAAATGTTGGCAGGGAACAGTAATCACCTGAGCTTTAATCTTAGAGGTAGACTGAATATTTGAAAAAGGTTTTGCATCAACAAATGTATGAACTATCTTTAATATGGTTGAAATGCATTGACAGACAGGTGAACTTGAGTAAATCCCCCTGAGAGGCCCTAATCTCCACAATGCCACATTCAGCATCGAGGCTCCACATAACTGAAGCGGACATGAGCCGCTGTGTCCGACTGAGAACAGGGAGGGGCTCACACTTGACCAGATTCTTGAGTTCCTGACCTGCGTCCAGTGGTGATTTCACATTGGCCACTGAGGCAAGGGAGGCGGTTTAGGGCGAGTTAAGAGCGCAGGGCACAGAGGTGGTTGGAGTGGTCTGGGGCAGGTACAGGGGCAGGTACAGAGACAGGAGAGGGCATTTGGGCAGAATAACTGACCAAACTTTGGTTCTGTCTCAGGTCTTGGAGGAGATTTCGTGTTACCCAGAGAACCACGAAGCCAAGGAGTTAAGGAGGATACTGACACAACCGCATTTTATGGTGAGTTCAACTTTTGGAATGATTGTAATCTGATTTATAGTGAATCAGTATACTGTATAACTGCACTATGTAAATTTCTGGTGAAGGGTTTGTTGCTTGTCTCCATGGTTTTGCTTTGCTACAATGTTCCAGAGTAAAGCATTGACCTCAGTGGAGACAAACAGGTGACTTCACCAGGCCAAGAGACAGGTTAGATCTGTGGAGAGGTGAGCCCACACAGAGTATGAATGCAAGTTACACAGTGTAGGTTTAGCTCTGAGAACATCAGCATTGATGATAGAAACTGAAATTAACTGTTCAAATTTTAAGTAGCCCATCTCCTTTGCTACATTGTCGTATATGGCGTCACCAGTACACATTATTTACCCATTTTATTTTTAAAAAGAAGAAAAGAAATCCTAATAAATACAAAAATTTCAAATCTGTAGTAATTAATGCATTCATCAATCAGTTATGCTAATCACATCACATGAACATACTCCTGATCAATGGCTCATTTTCACCTCAACAGGCAAAAGACAAAAGAGGAGAAGATTGTATCACAAACAAATAACAATGGTAATAAAATTGTAAAGGCAGTGAAATTCCTATGGCGCAGGCAGGGGGAGGTATGGTCCCAGCAGGTTGTGTGTTGAGCACTAAATCATGTTTAATATGACTGGATCCTTGGGTGCCAGAGCCGTGTAAACTCACACAGGGTCGAGAGAGGCACTGTCCCGCCCACATTCCTCTGAGTTCAGGCCAGAGTCAACACCAGAAGACTCCTGAGAATATCACATTTGTTTACAGGAATATTAGTGGGTTTTAAAAGGTGTAAGACTCTCATAGCACCAGGGAATATAAATTATACAGGAGTGAACATTTAGCCTTGAGGAAGAGTGTATCATGTTTGAAAGCAAGGAGCAAAACAAATCAAAAGAAAGAAGTTGAAGTGAATATTGTGTAATTCAGGGTTAAATGCTCTATTGCCCCTCACAGCCCTTATGTCAGACTATTGTAGAAAAAATAGGACAACAGCCTCACTAAAAACACAATGAAACTATAAAACTAAATTCCCAACTTTCATATTGAGTTAGAGCAGCGTCATTGGTGCAGCATTATTCATTTTTACATTTAATTACATAAACATAGTGAAGGAATAAAACTAAAATGCATTGCTCATTAATTATATCAAATAAAATGGTTTTCGGTGTAAGACAGAAATTGTTTTGGATTATTTGTAGTATTCATGGGTACTAGTGTAATTTAGGCAATTAGCTAACCAATTGGACATTGGACATTACATAATTGTCACTTTTACCAGCACAGTATCTCACCACCTTGACTAACCAATTTTCTGTGGGAAACACTGCATTTCCTGTATGTTTTTTGCATATTTTGATTATTACCTTGACAGAATCATGACTTTCTATTTGAATTTTATTAGTAACTCATTGTTTTGATAACACAGCACATTCATTTTCAAAGCCTTTTATGAATTGACCTTAAAAGCTGATTATGGCATCATCCACATTTTGGCCTCAGCGCTTCTTTTCTTCCGTACCTTAATTTAACTCAGAGCTGCCGGTTGCTGGGAGGATTAGTTGCCCTTTCACCCTGCTCTCATTAGGGTACAGTATCTCCACATGCACTCCTGTTAGTTCACACAGCCGTGACTTCCTGGTGTCTGTGCGCATCACCTCTCTTTGGTGCTAGATGGAGACTGACGTGGGAGTTGAGAGAGTGCTGCTGCCTTCATGTCTCTGCCCCTCTGATGTGCGCTCTACCTCTAGATGAATGGGGTGGGCAGGTGGGGGTGGTTGAGGGTGGTGGGGAGCGTAGGTGGCACCCTTGGGACAGGCTGACAGGCGCCTTTACTGAAGGGTTGATTGTTGTCCTGTGAAGTTCAGAGCAGTTTGTTAAATTGCCATTCAAGTGTTATTGGTGGGCTCCGCTGCACCGTGAAGACTGGTGCTTATCATTTTAAGGCCAGGCCAGAAGAGACGGGTAGTATAAAGTATAAAGACTTTCTGTTTCTTTTTTAAATCTGTTTTTGTTGAACTTTTAAGGAAAAAGGCATCACTTCCCAAATAACCAGTGGTGGAATGTAACAAAGTAGTAAAGCACTGTACTTAAGTAAAAATTTCAGGTAGCTGTACTTCACTTTACTTTACATTTTAAAGTGGACACTTTTTACTTTATTTCACTACATCTGAAAGCATGTATTTGTACTTTCTACTCCACTACATTTTTGAACAGGACTGAAAAGTAAAAGTATTTTTTATCATAGTTTGAGACCTGTTGGAAAGGCTAAGGCTAAGGCAAAATTCAATACAAATCTACTTTTTGAAGCCTTAATCTGCACAAAAGCTAAATACTAAAATAATACTTTGTACTCTTTAAGTACATTTTTAAACTGCTATATTTTTTTGTGTGATACTTTTACTTGAGCATTTATTTGCTCCAGTATATGCATTGTTTTACTAATATTTAGTACTTCTTTCATCACTCCAAATCACATCAAATAACAGTATAATTTATAAAATGAAGAATGGGTGACTGCAGCTTTTAACTTTGCCACTCCACTCAGTTAAGTCTTGTAATACTCAACGTAGTACAAGTGCAAGATTCTTAATAAGCAAAATGGTTGTGCAGTTATTCAGTTCAAGTTTGTATAATCCTTTTATATGTGTGATCTTTCTGGCTTCTCCCAGTACAGAGTTATGCATTTACTGCTAAATAAATATGTGGCTTTTCTCTAGCACTGAACATGTAAATGGCTCTGTCAGGAAATGGTTAACACATCCCACTAATGCTAGTCCACAATGTACCCCTGATGACCTCTGACACAATACAAGTGTTAATTATTGGAGTCCACCTTGCATTTTTTACTACAACTGAGTAATAATTATTGTTTTGGTCTAACTTCTTACTGCTTACTTAGGCTTTGCTACAGGCTCACGACGTCGTTGCCCATGAGGTGTACAGTGACGAGGCTCTGAGGGTGACCCCGCCCCCCACCTCGCCGTACCTGAACGGAGACTCGCCCGAGAGCACCAACGGAGACATGGACCTGGAGAACGTGACCCGAGTGCGGCTGGTGCAGTTCCAGAAGAACACAGATGAGCCAATGGTAGAATGTCCCATACGATTGTACTATAGATGTGCAGGATTGGGAAGTAACTGAATACATGTACTGAAAATACGTGTCCTGAATACTAATTTTGAGCAACTTTATTCCAGTACAGATACTTTTTCATTTTGTGGAATTCAGAATAATTACTTTTCTAAAATCAAAGGGATACATGGCAGTACTTGATCTTGATCTACTTTGGGCTTCAATCAGTGAGAAAAATAGAAAACAGAGCTCTTGTCGTGAGTGCAAGTGTAATATTTCCATCTCCAGTTAGTGATAGAAAGTGCAGAACAAATGGTGAAACAAATATAACACTGTTTTTAATACTATGTTGTGTCTTTACACTATAATTAAAACAAAACTTGATTTAAAAGTATGTTAAATATTCAGAATACATGAGCCATGTATCAGAATATGTTACAAAATACACTGTAACGCATATTCAGTATTCAGTATTCTATAACTAAATACATTTTCAAAGTATTCTTGCCATCACTGAGTCTAACATAGAGGACACTAGTCTGACTGTGTCTATGTGTGTATGTGTGTTTGTGTGTTTGTGTGTTTGTGTAGGGCATTACGCTCAAGATGAATGACTCCAATCACTGCATCGTGGCCAGGATCATGCACGGAGGAATGATCCACCGACAAGGTACTGTCTCTCTCTTCATAAGTGGAGTTTTTTAGTCTTTTTTAGTCTTTTGCCAAACATAAAATTAGATGTTTGTTGTCCCCTAGCTGCATCAGTTATTTACTCCAAAAGCAATTCATTTTGGTTTAAAATTACCGAAGCATTCATTAGCAATACGGAAATGCTTATGAAACGGCAATATGCAGCATTCACATTGAGCAGTAATTGTAATTCTCCTAATTAGAAAAATGAAGTGCTTTCATTTGAGTAAAGTATTATATTTAGATTGTTGAAACGTTTTGGATTCTGTGCCAACAACTGCAATAATTTAACTTTCCTACAGTTCTATTTAACAGCCGATCAGTTTTCATTTGGGTTGTATAAATGAATAGTCACTGGTTGGTGTAGTGGTAAAGCATTTGGTAGTTTGCTCCTCGGTGTAATCAAACAGAGGCACCCGAGGAGAGAAGAAAGCGAGAGGAAGGAAGAAGTGTTTTGTCAGGCTTTCATTTATCAGTGTCTCTTTATTTCAGGAACGTTGCATGTAGGAGATGAGATCAGGGAGATCAATGGTATCAGTGTGGCCAATCAGACGGTTGAGCAGCTGCAAAAGATGCTGGTAAGTTTGTTATGTCTGAGTTGTATTGTTTCATTCAATCTTGCTCACCCTTTCTTTTTAGTACAAGTTTAGATTTAGTTTTTTGCCTCTTTGGATTCTAAAGTACATGTGCTAATCAGTTATCAGTTAAGTTACACATTAAAGCTACACAATTCTTTCCATGTGCATTTTATGTGCATTTAACACATTAACTTATGCTATCAGTCAAAAGTTTAGACACACCATCTGATACAATGTTTTTTTTTCTATATGTTTACTATGTTTGATATATAGACAAATATATGAAGTAAGATCTATGGAATTATGTAGAAAAAATGTAAAATATATATATATAATTTATAGCCAAATCCTCAAATTATCCATCCTTTGCTCTGTCAAAAAATATTTAGTAGAGTTGTTTAGCTTCTTTTTTCTTTGCTACCTAATTCCATATATATAACTTAATATATTTTATGTCTTATTTATGTATCTAAAATGTTGAAAGTAGTAAACACATAGAAAAAACATTGAATGAGAGGGGGAAATCAAATTTCAGTTCAATTCAGTCTTTATTAAGAACACATAATGTCTGGTGCATAGTAAGTATATAAAAATAATAAGAATAAAAAATTAAATGTACAATGCATGTTGTAATGTATAGAGAGAAGACCACCAGTGTCTCCACAGCTTAGAAGTGACTCTGACAGAGCTCCTCACACGATACACTAGAACTTGAATGATTTGATTGTTTAGATTCATGGCTCTACACATAAATGAATAAATACAACAGCTAATCATGACAACTTTTGACTGATAGTGTACATCCTGTCCACTATCAGATATGAAATGTGAAGATACCAAACAGTGGTCATAAAACTACTAGATATATTGATATAATTCCCTTTGAAATCATTAGAAATCAAACTCTTCTGTTACAAAATAATTCAGTAACTTTTGTTCACAGAGGGAGATGAGAGGAAGCATCACTTTTAAAATTGTGCCAAGTTACCGGAGTCAAGGCTCATGCGAGGTACTGTATGTTCTTTGGTGCCTTGTTTCTTCTGCTGATCTTGTCACTAACAAACTGCTGGCCACAGCGTGTGTGTATGTGTGTGTGTGTATAACCCAGGTTTGTGGTGTGTGTATGTGGGGCCTGATACTTGCTGTGTTTCGCTGGTGCCGGGTCGGACCCTCAGCACACCAATTTAAAAACCAAGATACCGGAACACCCCTCCCCCCTCCGCTCCAGGAATAAGCCACCCCTCTCTGTGTGATCCTGCCCCTGCCCTCTGTCCACCGAACCTGCCACAAAACATGTCTCCCTTTCTACTCAGATAGCACTTTTGAATATTATGAACGTGATGAAGAGAGTGCGTTTGAAGAGAGTATATTTAGTTTAGAGAGGTTACCTGCTCTCTTTAGACAAAAATAAACAAACCTATACCAAATTCATGTGCAAATGGTGGTATGTTTATAAGGCAGGTGACGAGCAAAAAGAAAAGTTAACTTACTTAATTGATTCCCAAGTGAAATCATTTGGTCAGCTTAAATATACAGTAGCTTAAATACATACTTGATTTTTTTCTGAATAAATTGTTTCACTCCGCATTTTTTTTTTTTTTATGTGAGGGCAATTATAATAAAGAGACATTTGAATTATATACTGGCTTCTACATAGTATGAGCTCAGACTAATTAAATCCAGATAGTTCTTGCATTGAGCCACTGCACTGGCAGCGATGACCTCATGGAGTCATCTGGTCCTACGCCAGTCTGCTGCCCCCCTGTGGCCATACGAAGACCTGGGGGCTGGGTGCAGATGTTGCCCTCTTAAACACATTACATCAGTGCAGCTGTGTGAATGAGAGTGTGTGTGTGTTCTGCTGACCTGTATGTCTTATTACAGAAAGAGTCCCCCAACACCTCCAGGCAGTCCCCCGCTAATGGCCACTCCAGCATTAACAGTTCAATATTGGTAAGGACCCCCCGAAATCCGAAATACGCCCCCACCATTCCTATAGATTGGACCTGAAACATCCACGCTTTCACAATATTGCTTTGTGGTATATTTTGTCTGTGGTTTTATTTAATTAATATTTAGTTATAAAAGTGGATTTTTGAGTTGTATTAGAAGTTGCAACAGTTGTGTCCAAACAAGTCTAAAAATTGCTTAGTCTGGTCTGTGTCAGGCTAGCCCACAAGGAAAAGCAAAAGTTTACCAAGTTTGTATTGAAATTACAAGTATTATAGAAATGTTTCTTTTAATTCTGACTGGCATTGGTGACAGATTTGACTAAGGCTCTATTAACAATTTCACACACCACATGGAGCCAGGAATTAAATACTGCACTAAATCAAGACCAAACCAAGTCTACGTAAGAACTAAACTGATCTTAATGTATGCATAGTCTTGGATTTTGTTCAGATTTTTTAAGAGATTTGGATTTGGACACACCTGTATTATTATTATTAGAATAGATTGTTTGAAAGTTGGTCCCTCCCATTGATCTTTTGAGTCAAAACCACTGTGTCCGATATCTCTGTTAAATTGGTGTGCACTTTTGCCTGCTGTACCAGACCAGTGGTGCAGGGGGCGCTGTAGCTGTACACTTTCTCTATCTTAGATTCTGCTTGAGCTTTAGCCGCTTGCTTTGCTCTTTGACGCTTGGTTTGCTTTAACACATTAGAGGAAAACTATTTGGTGCTATCATTTCAACCCTCTTGTTTATGTAGTTATTTTTGATTTTTGATTTATGTATGTATTTATTATTGCTTAAACCCTTTAAGTCGGCAATGAGAGAATGTTAAATGATTCAAATTTGTGTTTATGCATAATTTTGCTTAATGGCACATCATTTTTTATATATCACATAACTAAATTATATTTCTTTGTTATGAATGGTTTACTTCCACAGGACCTGCCTTCCACCATTCAGCCCAAGGGTCGGCAGGTAAATATTACTTAACTCTTCTCACTTCCCTTTGTTTAAAAAGATGTGTGTGTTTTGTCTGTCTTTGACCCGTTTCTGATCTTTACTTTTACTAACCAAAAGCACTTAATTAGACCAACATAATTATAGCCCTAGCGCCTGTATTAAACATCAAAACCACAAAATAACTTCTAAATAAACAAACAAAATGAACTCATTAATTTTGTTTGGCATCCAATCCACATTTGATCCATTTTAGAACATTTAGGAAACTCTCATTTCTAAACAAACAGGCATTAATGGCACAGGTATTGTATGTCAAATAAGTATAACACTATAACCACAAATATTAAGGTCAAAAACAGAAGTAGTTTTGTTCCCTGTCTGTTTCACCCCGTTGTTTTATGCATGTATTACATTCATTTGTGTCAAAATAAATGTTACCCAGTTAACACCTGCCACTAGAGGGCACTGCAGTACAGCAGACGTTCCTCTATGCCCCTATCCTACCATTATCACTCCTGTATTTCCTACCCCACCAACCTCACCCATTGGAGTGCTGTGTAGAGGATGCATATCGCTGCATGATGTGTGTGATGCTTTCAAATCCTAGATTGTTGCCAGACCTCCAATCAAGGACAAAATGTCTGTGAAGGTAAGATTTAGGGAAAATGATACAATATCACAATTTACAAATGTAGCGGACTAGAGTATAGCTTTTTGTTTTGAACTAATTGACACTTAGACACCACCAGTGCCATAATTACCAGTGTTTCGAGGCTCATTAAAGTCTTTATTTCACTGGAGATGGCCTTTCTGAGAAGTATTTTCTTAACCACAACTCTTCTGCGCCCTCATCTTTGTGCTCATTATCTTGTACAAAATTTTCTGTCATTTCGAGCCTGTCACTTTCCAACCACAGTCATGTTTTAATGTCAAAGTTTCTCTGAACTTTCTCCACATTTTTGTCTTCTCCACAGATTTATGTCCGAGCCCAGTTTGAGTATGACCCGTCTAAAGATGAGCTCATTCCCTGCAAAGAGGCTGGGATTCGGTTCCGAGTTGGAGACATTATCCAGATTATCTCCAAAGACGACCATAACTGGTGGCAGGGCAAACTAGAAAACACAAAGAACGGCACGGCGGGGCTCATCCCATCACCCGAGCTGCAGGAATGGTAAGAATTACGTTTAATTAATATGACTATCTATCCATACCACACTTCCTGCGCAAGACCTAGATACTGTATATTTAGTTTTGACTATATTTTATTTTACTTACAAATTGGTTTATTTGTTTTGGGGTTTTTTTGAGACATAGATTGTTTTGAATTCAGTATGTGAGCTAATCCAAGATAATTTTGTGCATTAATAAAGTTTGTTTGTATCATCTACAACAAAACAAAACAGATTTTTTGTTGCCCCCTGTACTCAAAAATGAAGGAATAATTAAAATGCAACGTAATGTCTACACCTACAAATATGCGGTTGGACAACTTTGCCATTGGAGTGTATAATCAGGAGTAACTGGAGCGCTAAAGCACACAGTGTGTCACAGTCACTTCCAGAAAGACTTGTCCCTGGCTAGTTTAATTCACTTTGTGTTCAGTCACTGTCTGTAACTAAACTGACTTTGTATTACATGTTCAATCATGTATTACGTAGCATCCGTCAACTTATAATGATAGATGTAGACTTTATGAAATTACATTATATGGCATATTCTATGGACCCCATTTTAGCCCACCTATGTTTAAGTCCCTATGACAGGTTAGACTACTCATTTTACTAAACACTCACTCTTTTTCCCAGTTTGACAATTTTTTTGTTTTAAAATGTTATGTTCTGGTTAGAACTTAAAAAAACTTCTCTAATCTAGAGAAATTACTATCTGACAAATCAAAATATAAGAAAACACTTTTATTTTGTTGAATTAATGTTTCAAGTATCAGAAAAAATTTGTTTCTTATGTGGAAAATGTGGAAAATTTTTGGATAGAATTCTCCGTAGCGTGATGTCATTAGTGTGTTTAGAACTCGACTTCCACATTTTTCTAATTTCTTCACAAATTGCTTCTTGATTGCTGTAAAACTACAACTTAAATATTACAATTTACAATAGTTGCAATCCAATCAAATTAAGCCAAAATGAAGAATCATAAAAATCTGTTATTTTAAGGTCTGAATTTGTGTGTTTTAGGCGTGTGGCGTGTATAGCCATGGAAAAGACCAAGCAGGAACAGCAGGCCAGTTGCACCTGGTTTGGCAAGAAAAAGAAACAGTACAAAGACAAGTATTTGGCAAAGCACAACGCAGGTAAGTCCCACGATGACACACTCTGGCATGAGCACACACCCTGCGCTGTTATATTACAAACTGGTCTAGTCACATTAAAAGTTACACGACACCACCAGAGCCAGGGCATAAAAAGATCCAGTCCTATCTAACATTATTTATATATATATATAGCACATTTTTACCAATATGTCTTCAAAGTGCTGCACAGAGTAGACATAATATTAATTAACACATTGAACAAACTACAACATAAAAAATAAGTCAATAAAAGACATAACAAAATATTAAAATTAGCAATAAAAAAATAAAGTTGGTAAAAGACAGTCAGAGGATCACACAATTCTCATAATGGGTTAAATGCAAGTGAGTAAACGTGTATTTTTAAATGATGTTATGTTTGCAGAAATCTTATCTGAGTCCTGGGCCATTTATGCAGTAATTTGGTCCGTGCTAGACAAAGTGTTAGCATTTTTTTCCTTTTTGCTTGTCACATTTCACAGCTGTGTACCGGGCTGTGTAACATTACTGCTGCAGGGGTCAAAGTCATCGTGCATGTGTCCTGGGTGTAAACACACAAAGGGGGCGGGGCTACGGCGCTAACCGCTGAGATAGGCACAATGTGGAAGTTTGGTAATGATTGTCAAGTTTATCTGCACAGATTGCAGCTACAGTTTGTTCAAAGAAAGTAGCCAGCTATTCACATAATCTGTTATTTAATGTGCAAATCTTGGTTTGAGAAATTTGCCTTTCCCAAGCTCCGATAAATGTGGGGGGTTCCATCAGGAAGGATATCTGAAGTGAAATCTCTATTTTATTTATAATATATCAGTTAAACATGGTATTAAAATACATAGATAAGCTATTGCAACAAAAACAACTTCCTTTTTAGGTACTAGTCAGTATTTCCCTCAGATTTACGCTGAGACTATTATGACAGTCATTATTTATAACATTTACTCAACATCATATTTGGTGAATGAAAAAAACAAACACAACTCCAGGTATGTTTCTGATGAGATAACAACATTCTAACATTACTTAAAGCTCACTACAGTCAATGTCACCAACATACTTTTGATTTCTGTATTAAGATTTATCATTTTTATGGGACAACATTTGACTATCTTTAATAGCAAAACACTGGTGAGTTTCTAAATGTTGAACAAAATAAAAAGTTGTCTATACAAGCGAGTACTTAGTTGGTGGGGCTGGTGTCACAGAGTTGAGAGTCAGGTGTCCGTCTCATGTAGTGAAAGCTGTACAGTATGTCCCAGCAGCTGCTGTGTCTGACAAGGGAATCTGAGAAGGCTGAGACAAAGTATCTACTCACTGTAGCCAGCTCAGCGCACTCCATAACACCAGAGTCACGTTGGAGACGAAGTTTACAAACTACTATAAGCACGAATACAGTATTATGGTCTAAGCTTTTTACACTGCACGCATGAATGTATACAGTGTCTGCACATGTCTGACTAGTAAAGTTATGCAACAGGTTTCTATGGGGGCCATACCTGCTGATGTGTGTAAGAATAGCTTAATATCCTCAAAGAAAAGTACTTCAGTAACCAATCTTAAAAGTTTGTGTTAAGTAAGTCTGTCAAGTATTTGTTTTGTTTGTGTTTGGACTTGTACTGAAAATATTACATATATTAGGGTCAATTCATTATTTTGTATTGCAAAAATACTGTAATAGCAAAGTGCATTGAAACTGTATTGTACTTTACTAGTATTTTTAAACTGATTATGATTTATTATACAAGCTGAGTAACTAGAGCAAAGTTTAGTGATCGTATTACTGTTGGTGCCCAGTGTGGGTGGAGCTTACTGGTTCCAAACATTGAAACATGCCTCATCTCCATTTTAACCTCAGTCATCAATTCTCAGTTTGCAACACTACCATGACTACTTTTATTACTTAAGAAATTAAGATTGTATTATACATGTATCTGCTATTTGTCTGTGCTAACTGCATTTTCTTGTGAATCATCAAGCAGCAAGTACATTACTATTAGTTTTTTTCCATTTGCTCTGTAACCCCTGCTGCATTTTTGAGTATAATGTAACTTTGTGATTGTAATGATCCCTGTCCCATCTCTTTTGCTTGCTTCTTCTGAACGGCCTCTGCATGTAAGTAACAACCAGTGACAGTGGGTTTTCTCTGTTTGTCCATCCCCAATAGACTGCTGTCACTGTAGGGTTATCAGTTTTGTTTCTGCTGAACGCATCAACAGAAACAAAAACATAAACTGAAACCATTGCACTGAAATGTAGCAAGTCTAAACTCTTATGTAACATGAGACTTGCGCAGAGACAATCGTCGGTCTGGCTTTAACTAACACTCACTCTAGACCTGTAATCACTTCTGTTCTGTCTCACAAACACTCCAGGGGCTTGTGGGTATTGTATTTCACTTGGCAGCTCAAACGTAGGCTGCAACTTTATGGCAAGTCTGGGAGAAGAGATCATGTGATACTTCTCTAACTTTGTGAAATACAAAATTACAACTAAGTGTAGTCTTCATTACACTTATGTATGTAACACATAGAAAAACAAGCATGTTTGTTAAAGTAGGCTTTATTATGAAACAACCTCGTATCGTGGACAGAGAAAAAGACAACAGATGGAAGTGGTGCTGCTGAAAAAAGTGTAAAACTTTTGAGCTGTTTATTTCCATCACTATCAGAGGACACTAAAGTCTTTTTTTATACTTGCCAAATCAAAGAAATCAGTTTGGAATTAAGAGTATATTTTATTCAAGTTTGTAGCAAGATTTTAGTGTTTCTGGTCCTTCATTGTCTGACCGACAAACAATCCTGCTCCCTTGTCCTAACCGTGGTTTGGTTTCATTTTTGTAGTGTTTGACCAACTAGACCTCGTCACATATGAAGAGGTCGTAAAGCTCCCTGCTTTTAAAAGGAAAACACTAGTTTTGTTAGGTAAGTTACTCTTCATATATTCATTAGTGCAATTAGTTGATCATATAATGGATTGTTACAATGGAGATTGTGTGTCCGTAACAGGTGCTCATGGTGTGGGCAGAAGACACATAAAGAACACTCTCATAACAAAACATCCTGACAGATTCGCCTACCCAATCCCACGTAAGTCCACAAGTCAAATCACACTGTCAGTTACATATAGTATTACAGTACTAAAGTACTCCTCTTTTCTGATCTTCAGACACAACCAGACCTCCAAAGAAGGACGAAGAGAATGGCAAGAACTACTACTTCGTCTCCCACGACCAGATGATGCAGGACATCAGCAACAACGAGTACCTGGAGTACGGCAGCCACGAGGACGCCATGTATGGCACGCGGCTTGAGACCATCCGCAAGATCCACCAGCAGGGCCTCATAGCCATTCTTGATGTAGAGCCCCAGGTCAGTGCAGTCATCATGTCAAATGTGCTCTGACAAATCTGTGGGCAATAGTTTATATAATTAATACACCTCTGTTTTAGGCCCTGAAGGTTTTGCGGACAGCTGAGTTTGCTCCATATGTCGTGTTTATCGCTGCACCAACGATCACACCAGGAATAAATGAGGTACACTCAGAGCAGAGACCTGTACTTTCATTTATTTTTGTCCAACTCTTTTCCATTTCTGCCTTACTTTTTGTTCAATCCCATTTCTGTAACCAGTTTGTACTTCTACTTCTGATACTTCTAATTTACTGATGTATGAGTGTAGCTGAGTCTTTTCTGTTTTGGCTTGAGTCTTTGTGCATGTCTCATCCGTCTTTGCACTTGTTTTTGCACGCTGCATGCTTTTATTTTGGCATTTTCTTCAGATGCCAAGGTGGTGCCGATCGCTAACAGTAAGTGCCGTTAGAGGATATGTTTGATTTGTCTTGTGTTAAATGTGTTAGAACTAAATACACAGCACAACACTTACACGCAAGCATTTGGACAAAATGGGAATATACCTGCCCTAGAATAACCAATCAGCAGGGGTGTGTCTAGGGAGTGGCCATGAAGGAGCAGACCGCACTCAGAGAATCTAAGGCTGTATGGGGGCTATTAAAACAATTTTTGTATTATTTTACTCACAATATTACACACCCCTGCACTAAACTCTGCTCAAACCAAAATAAGTGACTTAATATCCTTTCAAAATTAATTAATTGTCTCTTCTCCTGCAGGATGAGTCCCTTCAGCGGCTGCAAAAAGAGTCTGAAATCCTCCAAAAGACATATGCGCACTACTTTGACCAGACTATTATCAACAATGAAATAGATGAGACCATTAGGCACCTGGAGGAGGCCGTGGATCTGGTGTGCACGTCCAGTCAGTGGGTGCCTGTGTCCTGGGTTTACTGACCGCCATCGCCTCCTTCTACCTTAATGCCAACAAATCTCCTCTTCAAACTTTGAAAAGAAATACCAGAACTCATGGGAGAACTTTCTACACTGCACTTGGATGGACAAATACTCAGCATACTGTGAATACAACCACAGCATTGGATCGAAATCTACTCCAAAACGCTGCACAAAACAGTTAAAGCAGCCGTCCCCCTACAGACAACCTAGTCATAATGTTGTATAAAATAAATAAAGTGAATATTGTCATGTCTGTAATAGCTACGAGGCAACATTTTTGTAGATGTTTGTTTCTGAAAGAGACAGTACCGTGTCCCTTGTTTTTCCATCCATTGTAGTCTTGCCCATTCACAAAAAGACAATGTCAGTGGACTACAACTCCCAAGTAAAAGCACACAGACACTGCAATGTCTCCAAAATTGTCATCTGTATTCATTAAGCATTCCCATTTTGACAAGCTGTTCATGTCTGGTTACATCAAAAGGTACTGTCTCTTAATAAACCATGCATCGTTAGCGATTTGAATGAGATTATTGTGCATGTGGACATTTGCAAGTATCCAAGCCATCAGTCAGTGTTCCCTGTGCCCCTGTGTAAACCGAAGGAAGAAAGAAAGAAGAAAAAATATTTTGACACATTCCAGCAGTTTGATGGACTGAGCTCAGCCAAGACAAAGGGAGTAAAAAATAAACAGGATTGGCACCTATGCACATCCCATACTCGGAAACGGTTCGAAAAGAAACACACATTTCTAAACATTGATCATGTAGTGAGATGTGTTTGTACAAAATAAATCAAGTTAAAGTCTGGGTTCCTTTTTGGATTTTTCATTATTTGGGATTATGAAAGCTTTAGATTACTCTTACACACAAGAAATACATATTAAATGTGTAAAATTATAAATAGAACGGCACTATCACCTTTGCTGTTCCTTAGCATTTACATAAAACTCCAACAGAAAAGTAAAGATACCCCCAGTGACATTACAGACCTCTTATGATGTATGACTAAGGCCCATACCCACATACATATAAATAACTGAGTGGGATGAGAAGCACACCAGCCTTCCCAGTTCCTCTGAAGCACAGCCTAATCCCACATTAAAGGGTGAATAGTCAGTGGCAGATTCCACTGACAAAGGTCAAGGCCTCCACAGTGCACAAAGAAGTTAAACTGTTCTTTTATTAAGACAAAATATATAATGATAGGTCAAATTCTGGTTGTTAATAGTACTGGCTGTAGAGCCCAGATTGTTCCTTGGCAAAGTAACTCCAGACATCAGGAAATGACATCTTGATGTAAATGTTTCATGGATGATGTCTTTGCATTGAAGTCTGCAGCATATGGCAGTGCTGCAGTCTGGAAAATGTCCAGAGAAGCCCAGTCTGTCCATAGGAAACAGTGGAGTCTGTCCATAACACTGCGTAACACCACAGCAGTGAGGACCACAGCGAGCCACAGCACTAAGAAGATTAATGCATTTATGGAAAAGCTGGCACTCCGACATTACAGTTACTGGAGAGAAACAGCAGAGGACATCTGCTTGGAGATAACTATAGAGCCACACTTGTGATCTGCTTCATTTTACACATAAACATGTAATGTGAGTGATGTGAATGAAAGTTCAGACAACACCAAGAATACATATCGCTATGATTATCATTACATAATATTAATTAAAAATGACTATTATGCAACAAATACAGATATTTCATCACATTTCGACAATAATCCACAGTTTGCTGTTGAGCCCTGCTATGTGAAAATGCCTGCATATCATTGGCCTCTCATATGCTTCTTATATTTAACAGTCATACATATATTGTAGAGTATAAGACACAGACCAGTGCAGATATAAAAACTGCTGCCTCACTGAATATCGCTCCATTTATATGTATTCTGATTCTGAGGACAAATATACAAATGCCACCCTGTGAACATACAGCCCCTGTTCTTCATGTGCATGGTGTGACATCATAGACACTGATTTGCAACCAGCCAAAGACGGCCCAGAGCAGTATGACCCAGATCCAGCCATGGCTTGGTCCGTGTGCTGAGGCCTGGTCAGACAGCTGTGCCTCCTCTGACTCCTGCACTGTCCCATTCCTGAGGCTCTCCGAACTGTTGCCCATCTCCTCTTTCAGTTCCTGTTGGAGCAGCTTTGAAATCAGACTATTGAATTTATTTTCTGTAGTTGATACAATCTCAGAGGAGGCTGTGGTCAGGTTTAGCTCTGCTGGATCTACACATGTGCCATTGATTTTAGCAAACACCACTTCACTTAGATCTAGTCCTGCTACAGAGGATGGAGAAGCACATGGGATGTCCCTCACCAGGTTGTAGCTTTCCATCCACTCCTTTAACCACTCCAGGGAGCAGTCACATTCCCAAGGGTTTCGGAAGAGATAGAGCCGACCCAGGAAGTAGATTGGCTGGAAAACTGGGAATGGGAGAGTGGTGAGGTTGTTGCTGTTCAAGTGGAGCGTGATTAGGCTGGTCAGGTTTTCAAACGTCCCTTCCTCAATGAACACCAACTGGTTTCTGTCCAAATATAAGACTTCAAGTTCAACCAAATCACTGAACCATGTTTTAGATACATTGGTTAGTTGGTTTCCGCCAAGGTTTAGCATTTTGAGGCAACTGAGTCCCTGGAAAGCCACTCGGGGGAGACTGGAGAGGAGATTATCATTGAGGTAGAAATTTTCCAGACGCACAAGATCCTGGAAGGCCTGGTCATGGATCACGTTGATGCGGTTCTCCTGAAGGTTCAGATACCTGCCATAGACAAGACAGTTTAACCTCCACGTAGAGAAAAAATATGATAAAATTGGGTAACAGTGTAATGGCAGACCCCTTTTAATTTAATTGTCTTATTTTGTCTAATCTAAGTGGATGCACAAGGTTAACTGGTGAAAGTAAGTATCTTAAAACGTTGATAAGACAGTTCACCAACATTACTATTAGTTATAGTATAGCCTCTCTTTTCCAATTTGTCCGAGTGTTTTCCAGCTAGAAAGTTCACTGAATACTGTGAAGCATTCCAGGCATTAATATCTCCATGCGGACAAGCAGGTGGTGACCCCTCAGACAGAGAAGTTATATAGTGCACCTTTAAGTTCAGCTGTAACTGGACTTACTTGAGACTGGACAGACCCAGCAGCGAGTTGTAAGCCACAGCCTCGATCTTGTTCCTCTCCAGGTAAATGTGCGTGAGGTTCTCCATGCCGCGGATAGCTCCTGGGATCCTCCGGAAGTTGTTCTGGAAGCAGAGCAGCTCCTTCAGGGCAATCTGCTCGATGAAAATGCGGTCGGGGATGTTGAAGAGGTTACAGTCCGACAAGTCCAAACGCACCAGTTTCTTCAGGCCGGTGAAAGTGCGCGTGTGGAGGTAACTGATGTACTCGTTGTGCGCCATCTTGAGCTCAATCAAGTTTGAAAGCCCCTGTAAATTTGTAAAAAGATCAAACTAACGGTTGAATTTTGATGTCACACAGATCATTTCAGTTTGCTGGTAAGAGTATATTTATGATATCAAGGACCAGTGAGGCAGTAGCTTTGGATCTTAGGGAGAGGATAACCAAGCAGAACAGAGCAGATATTACTATCAGATTACTCATTACTCATATCACCTATCGAGCTCCAATTCATCACAGCACAGGTCTCTTTGGACAATAGGAGCAAACAATCTAAAAATAACCAGTCAAAGGTTATAAATTGGCTGGTTCAAAGTTTAAATCAGCAATCTCTTTTTGAGAGACAGAAGTGCTCGCCACACTGGAACCCCATAGGCCTATTCAGATTCTAGTGGTGTGTGTTGAAATAATGAATAATGAGTGAATTCTATCAGAAAGCATATATATGTTTTACAATTGTAATTATATAAATGTAGTCAAATTGAATTGATGAGGTGTTCTCCAGTGAAATGACTGATGCATACCTTGAAAGCCCCAGGAGTTATGAAGGAAATGTTATTGTGGTCCAAGGACAGGGTCTTGAGGGAGGGCAGGGTTCCGAAGGCTCTCTCAGACAGAAACTTAAGTCTGTTCTTGTCCAGGTTTATGGCAGAGGCCTCACAGGGGAACTCTTTGGGCAGCTCTGCCATCCCAGTGCGATCACACAGCACAGAGCAGCTCCTCTCTGGGGTGCAGGTGCAGGAGGCGGGACAGGCACGAGCACACGCCCACCGGCCCGCCATCACAACGCGCATCAGGCAGAGGATGGACACTGGAGAGGGCACAAACAGCACCGGTGTAGGTCAACTTGACCAAGTTCTATCATTTATGTAACCCAATGGTTGATTAACTGTCTGTTTTCTTAATGCTGATGAAGGTGAATAATAATTAGAGACTGGCTTCACAATCAAAGGGAGTATCCGTAGCTGCTTTGAATATACTGTTAGGGCCAGTTTGAAAACCACATTCCAGTTTTTGTTCAGAGATTTTTTCCCACAAATGTGTTGGAATGTAAGCACAATCCAACCATGCAATTATTGATGTGATGAAACAGCCTTTCTCTGTGAAACAAGGTGTGGTTAATGTAGTTCTGAGATCAAGGACACATTTTTAAAAAATGTCAAGAAAATACATGGCACTTCACACCACACCATATAGTCAGTCAGTGAAGTCCTCAGGCCCCAGTGATCATTGTTATGTTTTCTAGTGAATAATAATCAAACCAAAACAATATATAGACACAAACAGAAAAGAAAAACAACTGACCAGTGAAAGTGATGATGGTCATTACTGTACTCTCTCATGTGGGACATGCCACGATTAACACTGATCTGAAATTGTAAAGAAGAAATATGCTAGTTATTTAACATATTTCAATAGGCGTTTGATGGATCATCAACAATAACCTATTAAAGAAAATAACTGTTACATACCTTGACTTGACAGACATCCATGTGAGCTAAAAAAGTCCATTCTGTCCATCCCATACTAAACTGTGCCTGTTTCGAGCATCAGCCTTCAACCCTCAGCCTCCAGAGCAACAATGTGTCGTTATGTGCCTCGCCCTGCTCTACATGTGTGTGTGTGTGTGTGTGTGTGTGTGTCCCATTATAACACACACCAAAAAGCCATCTCTTAATGGCACTCAAATCCCCTGGATGGAAGGATGAGGAGAGGCTGTTGGCAGGATTACAGAAGTAATGCGACAGTCCCAGATGCAACAGACGAAGCATGCGGTAACTTAGAAAGACAGATTAAGGGTTAGGTCTCCTGCACACGGTCAAGTTCAATGTAAAACTTCTCACAAATGCAGATGTTGAAATGGATGAGGAGATTACCAAGCCATCAGTGGTAAGACCTGATGAGGGACTAGATCAATACAATTTGCTGAATTAGTTTACTACAGAGAACAGTACAGTCCAAAGTGCACACACACCACTGTCCTAAAAACCCAATTCTGACAATGATCAAACTCATTCAACAGAGCTGCAGTGATGGTGGCACTGTGTGCTATTATAAAAGCCTTAGACACATTAGAGCCATGTGACCCCAGAGGGACATGTAGGCCTCAGAAACTGGGTGATTACTGCACTCATTGAGTGACTGATGTAAGCCCAAAATTTAAACAAAACATGAAGTCTGTATTTATATGCATTTAAAAATATATATACTACCAATCAAAAATTTGGACATTCTAATTTTTTTTTTAATACCTTCTCAAAATAACCAAATACATGAAGCCAAGTGTGCATAATTATGCAGCAAAGAAGTTAAATAACTGATTTATATTTTAGATTCAGATTCCCCAAAGTGCCCCATTGCTTTGTTAACAGCGCTGCAAACTCTTGGCCTTCTGTCCATGAGCTTCATGATGAAATCACCTGAAATGGTTTTCATTTCACAGGTGTGCCTAGTTAGGTTTCCTTAGTGGATGAAGCCAAGAGTGTGCAAAGCAGTGATATAAACAAAGGGTGATCATTTTGAAAAATAAAAAATTTAAAACCATGCCATCCATACAATTTTGATGTTTATTATTGAGAATCTGCAGCATGAAGTCATGGAAAGTGTCCTTCAAGAGAAAAACAACTAGGCATTTAAAGCTGCATCAACGTTTTTTATGGCATAGAAATATTGTGCCATTTTTAATGCTCAAAGATAAAACTGAGAACTATTTTACACTTTCCTGGTTTCTGCAATATTCACCTCAGTTGCCATTAAGCTTTAAGTTGGGTAAAACCTGGGGTAAAAAAAATACAAGTCACACGTTTGAGTGTATAAATGAAAATTTTATAGTTCAAAAAGAAGCCCATCCAATCCATACCAAATTGAATTCAGCAGTCTGTGTGCCCTCCATTTACCAGGCAACAGACCGCTTGCTACAGGTATCCTCTGCACGACTACAGTAAACATGTATTCAGAAAACATGCTTGATTTTGCCAGATCATTTTGCATTCAAACATTTTTATTTTGGTAAAATCATACAATTGCACAGCTGAGAATTTCCCATGCAGTGCAGTAGCCTAGAAGCTAATACAGAAAGCAAAGTCTACATCTAAAGAGCGTTGGGTTCTCGAATAAATGTGGAACAAGATAAGCCCGCTCCACATTGAACCAGAACCCACAGCTTTCATATATGCAAATACAACAATGAGAATTAACCACATGTTTGTTACTTTAAGGATTGCCATGTGCCAGACATTCACTGGAAAAAATTCAGGTCAAATTAGAGAATCAAACATTAATGCACACATTTGGAGAATCGTCACACTTCTGCACTGATATGCTTAGGAAATTTAGTCGCTTTTGAAAGCTTTATTCCAAACCTTGGCAGATTTGTTCAGTAAAATTTTTGCTCACCAATTATTTATCTAATCGAGATGACAGACGCCTTGATAAGGCCCTGACACAGCTGTGGATACTTTGAGTCGCATGTATTTTAACATTTAAAAAGCTCACACTACCCCGAAATAGAAATTTCACGCATACAGGTGACATTCAACATTCAAGTGCCAGTGTTTTTGTAATGTCTTTTGGTCAAGTTTCTGAAACTTTCAAAGAATCACTTTGAGGCTTACAAAAATAAATATTTGTCAAAAATGCTTAATAAATTACACAAAACTAGCAGCAAAAGTAGAATCTAGAAATCTGTGCAAATGGCTAAATTCCCAACTGCTAAATCCCCTGGTCCCAAATAAATCCTGGTTTGAGAACCCTTCCCCTTTTGTAAACAAGCTGCGTTTCTCCACAAACTCCTCACACACAATATTTGGAAGCTTAAGGACACATATTCAAAGACATCCATATAAAACTCTAGATGTGCAATAAAAGAACTGTAAAACTCGATGGGCACAATGAAACAAGGGCCTACACACCAAAATCAAGTAGCACCATTCATTCTCAAGTTCTCGTCACTGTCAGTGCATCCGCGTATAGCTCAAATTCTTAGAAAAGTTCAAGGCACAACACTCCAGAAGAAAACTGGAGCGCCAATGTTAAACGCCCCGTCTCAACAGCCTCTGGCTTCGCTACACCAGAGCCTAGTGGATTTCAACACAAACTTCTGGAGATCTGACAGTACTCTAGTCTCTAGAAGTGGTCCAGCCTGAACCCCAAAGACCTCCAGAGGTCAAATACACAGTACTGAAAACCTAAGCCACTGACAAGGCGGTGCACTTCAAACCGCTACCTGAGCCGATCCCGTCCCACCCACCAGAGTGCTGCCCCCGCTCCTCTTAAGTTCAATTGGTAAACCTCAGTGACCAAATGCCTGTCTCTTCAGATGACCCTGCCTCCAACGCAGCTTGAAAAGAGAAAACGTTTGTAATTAAGTTAAGCCTGCGACTCAGTTCACTTGTCCTTCCGTCTTGACCAAAAAACAAAACACTTGCAAGCGTAGAATACCATCTGGGCCTCGTGGTAGTGCAGATTCAGTAATGCTCACCACAGTGCGGCCTTCCTGATGCTGTGGTCCTTTGTCCAGTCATTTTGAACCCTTGCTTTCAAGATGGCAGGCATTTTTACTTAGATATTTCAAGAGGAAAAACAAACTTCCATTTTTACATTTTGCACACATGCCTGCACCATAATGTCTCAAGTAAAAATTAACACAAAAACACCACCCACTTAATGTAGCTAGCACTTCGAACATACTAGCTGCCTTAACACTGTCAAGTCAAACAGAACTGCGGAGTAACATGTTCCAGCATCAATTCTTTTGGATCCTCAGCGAGTGTTGGCACTGAGCTTAATGACTTCTGTGTTTTAAGATAAATCACAGGAATGGCTATTTTAAAGACTCCCAAACCCATTTAAAATGGAGCCTGTCCAGGATAGAGTGAGCCAAACAAAAGTAACCTTGTCCTCGAGGATTAAAATACAGTTGCTTAACACAGTGGCCCAAATTATAGTTAACAGCAATAGCTCAAAAAACTGTTCCAACTGTAAATAAAAGAGAAAAAAGCTACATGTTTGTGCAGTAAATTTGAGTTCAAATGGAATTGTGACACTGAAGCCACAAAACCCAAGTATTTGCCAAGGTTTGATTAAGTCCAAGGTTATTTTACTTAGTTTTTATGAAATAAAATAAAAACAAATTTAGAACTCTTGGCCATGTTCATCTGGTGAAATGAAAACAGATTTCCTGTTTAAATTCAAAAGGCACAGTACATTAACATACAAATGATCCTCTGGTTATTCGATTGTTTTTTTCCACAAAAAGAACAAAAATACTTAAAACAATGAAAGTCCGAGGTTGCTATCGGACAATGCATGTATGTCAGCATCCATGCTCACTCTGAGGTGTGCACGCCTCTGCGCTGTCCCGTGCCCGCCACGTGCTGGTACATGTGTGCGGCGCGCTGCACTTCCCGTGTGGGACAGGAGGAATGGCAGAGACCCAGGGTTGGTAATGTACTGTGTGTCAGTGAAGCTACACAGGGAAGGTTGTTGTGTCTGGCGAAAGTTAACATGTGGTTTCCATTTGGTTGGTTGACAAGGCAACCTATTCCTATGGCGACTAGTTGCCCCACCAATCCACACTACCAGAGTGGCTGTAATTTCCTCCATAGCCGTCACTGCTGTAGAAGTTGCCACCACCAAATCCACCTGAAAATAGATTAGAAAGTTACACAGTGCATTTAGTGATGTGAGCGGTCAGCTTGAGGGATACCTCCTCCAAAGCCGCGGTTCCCTCCATGGCCTCCAGTGTTTCGTCCTGTGCGGTTACTGCTGAAGCCTCCTGAACCAGGCGTCTGACGGTAATCTCTGGCTCCAAAGCCCCCAGAGAACCTGAACAAGAGGCTGCTGTTTAGCACTTGAACACAACTATTTAAAATAGGGATGCACCGATTTGATATAGGTCTCAGATGTGTGCGCCAATACTGGAAAATCTGCTGGATTGAATATTAGCTTACAAATATCCTGGTTCATTGCCCAGAAAGTAAATGTTTTGTCTTGTCAGTTTTGTCTTATTTTTATTTAAAAGAAATAGATGTAACTTTCAGTTTCTCACTGGCATCGATTGATATTGGTTATCGGCAAATACTTAAAGCTATAGTATAGAAATCACTATTGGAGCTGAAACAACTGGACTGGTGCCTCTCCAATTTAAACCAAACAATATGGACTTCCTTACCTCTTGGAACGTCCGCGATTGTTGCTCTTGTGCTGGTGCTCATAGGCCAGGCTCTCCAGCCAGGAGGGCACCTCCTGCTTGGCTTCCACCAAGATGTCCAATAAATCTTTGGTAATATTGCTGTTTTTGTCGTTAAAGAACGACGTGGCCAGACCTGTAAAAAAAAAAAAACATTTAGCATCGATACATTCAGTATACGTCAGTTAAAATATCTAATAAAAGAACTTGCCCAGATTGCCCACACGTCCTGTACGGCCAATACGATGGACGTATTCCTCAATGTCACTTGGCAAGTCAAAGTTGATCACATGTTTTACATTGCTGATGTCCAGACCTCTGGCTGCCACCTGAAAAGCAAGCACTCAGTTAAAAAAAACAACTTGATACTCGTGATATTGATACTGAATCAGCTATTACAAGAACCTGTATGACTACATTGCTATGAGCATTTATTGGTACATTAAGTTTATTGCACCATAATTATGTTTATTTAGAAAAACTATCACATAAAGTAGATGACTTATTCTGTTTGGATCATTGAATTGACTATCTTACAAACTGAATGGGCAATATAACATTTATCACATTTATCGAAATATTGTGATAAAAACAATGATCATGTAATGCATGAAATTGTGAGGGACCCTGCCCAGATTAGAACCACACCTCAAAACCTAAACAATAATCTCCATCTATCTTGGACACCTGTGGAGTCACATACCGCTGTAGCCACCAAGATGGGGCAGCGCCCAGATCGGAACTGGTGCAGCGCCTCCTCTCTGTCTTTCTGGGAGCGGTCGCCATGGATACTGGTGCAAGCATAGCCCTCCCGATAGAGGTAGTCTTCCAGGGCATCAGCCCCTTTCTTTGTTTCCACAAAAACCAGGGTCAAGGAATCTTTACCTACAATATAAAAGGAAACGCAAAGTTAACAATGGGGTACAGAGTACAGAGCACAGCCACATTAACCACTAGCACAAAACTACAAAAAAGCTTTGCAAAATAAAATCTACAAGTGATACATGGGACAGTGCAAAATTTGTGCACCCTGACAACCATTAACTATGCTTTAAACTTCAATTCAAGATTCATAAGGCAAAAGGTACTTTTACACAAAAAAACAAAAACAAAACAATGTTGCTACATTAATTAATGGCTATCAGAAGCTTGAAATAATCCAAATGATGATGATAACTCAGCATACGAAAACCTAAAATATTCCCTTTAAAGGAGAAAATTGTAAAAAAAAAAAAAAAAAAAAAAAAAAAAAAAAAAAGGTTGATCGTCTTATGTTCAGAGCAGAATGGCTCATAAAATTGTCAGTTTGAAACAAATGCTTTGTCACACCAGTTGTTCCATCAAACTAAAATGGTATACGAGTACAGCGAGTGCCGTCGGCACATAGCCAAAGCAAAACAAAGTGAGCAGGGACGGGATGAACTGTGAGATGGTCATGTTTGGGCTGTAGGGCAAGATACATTCTTATACTTACCAGGCTTCTCCGGGGGCTCTGTCACATTTTCCTGAACCTCACTGGGAATAACTGAGATAAAAACCAAACCACACGCATGGCTGCTCAGTCCAATGGCTCCACATTTTAACATCATTAACATAGCTAACTGAGACTACATTTTCTTAAACGTTGTTAAAACATGCTTTCACAGGGTACAAAAAGACCCTCACTCATAACTGACCATTAAAAATAATCTATTCAAATTGGCTTAATTGCAAACCCCTAGTGAAAATACATTTGTACAATGGTTGCTGCACTATATGCTCATACCTGTGGCATTAAGAAGATCAAGGAGGAAGGACCTCTTATCGATCTCCTCCACCCAGACAACTTTCTGAGTGATGTTTTCTGAAGTTGAACCAACTCTGCCAACTGCCAGGAAAATATAGTCGTCCAGGAAATCTCGAGCTAGGATCTAAACAAACAAAGATTAGATGCATCAATCTACAAAATTTAAATAGATAATAAATTAATCAATTTTACCTGAATTTCCTTTGGAAAGGTGGCGCTAAACATCATAGTTTGGCGGATCCCTTTTGGTGGCATAGTGTCCTGTTCCACAATGCGTCTGATCTGGGGCTCAAAACCCATATCCAACATGCGGTCAGCCTCATCCAGGACCAAAAAGCTAAAAATAGGCACCAGTAAATACACCTGTATTGAACAGTAGTATAAAAAGCCTATGGGAATCTTCTACATACTTGCAGTAGTCCAGGCCAATTTTGCCTCTTTCCATCATATCTACCAAACGTCCTGGGGTGGCAACCAGCAGGTGGCAGCCCCTCTCCAAGTCCCTGATTTGCTGACCAATGTCTGCTCCACCATATACAACACAGGGACGTACACGGGAGCGATACGCAAACTGAAACAAAGCAAGAGTTTAGACATACATTCAATTTGGTTGGGCTGGATTTTAAAACACTTTAATCACCTTGCGTGCTTCATCATAGATCTGCAAAGCCAATTCTCTGGTTGGGGCAAGGACCAGAGAGATAGGGTACTGCTTACGGCGGCCATACCTTCCATTCTCCTAAGAAACAATAGACCCATTACACACTCCTTACATTACGCACTACATCAGGTGAGATCAAAGACTGGTCCATACCTGCCCACTGTTTTTTGATGCCTGAAGAGCATCTCCAGGGCCATCTGTGTAAATCTGACTCAACACTGGCAACAAGAAGGCTGCAGTCTTACCAGAGCCTGGAAAACACACAAGACACTCACTCAGCATAAACACAGCCCCACATACGCTCTTTATTCAGAAGGGTTTGAGTACGACCAGCACGCACCTGTCTGGGCACAGGCCATCAGATCTCTTTTGCCCTTGATGATTGGGATAGCATGTTTCTGAACTGGTGTGGGTCGAGTGTAGCGACTGAGTGTGATGTTGCCCATTATAATCTCACCCATGTCCACGTCATTGAACTACAGAGGAACCAAGCAATCAATTATATTAAATATTTCATACACATTTACAGCATCACAAGGCAGCTTGACACTCTTACACTATCAATGTGTTGAGGGCAGTTATTTCCAGTGGCCTCCACAGGAATGTCATCATATTTCTCAAAGTTGATCCCAGTATTACTTCCAGAGAAAAGCTCGCTGAAATTCAAACAGTGATATGGTTAAACACACTGATGAGACACACGCTTTGTGATGTAACAGGACTATCTTACTGTTCCAAGCGTTCATTGCGGGCAGTGGGTTTAGACCAGTCTTCTTCTCTGGATTCTTCTACCCACCGGCTGTTTCCCCCTGCTCCCCCTGAGTAACCTCCACGCTCATATCTGAGCACAATGTGATGCCCATTTAGGATTTGGATAAGGAATGCAATGAACATATCACAGCAATAGGAGATGACAGTGAAGGTGCACTCACCGCCCTCTTGAGCCTGTCCCACGATCATTGAAGTAGTTAGACCTGGATCGATCATTGCGTCCTCCAAAACTGCTGTACGCAGCATCTCTTTGAGCGCCTCCCCATCCCCCGTCTTTATTGTCGTAATTTCCAAAACCTATAGATGATTCATGTTAAAAGTATACATACATAAAATATACAATATTTATAATAAAATACAAATTTAATTAAAATCAAAATCAAATGTATGTTTAATGCGAAGAAAAGTAATGGCACCACACACACGTGAACAAGGGTGGGGATGGTGGCGTTGACTAGAACTACAACAACTACAGCAGGGCAGCACAAATCCCCCACCTGCATTTTGTAATGGCTGATTAAACGTGCCTCCACCCCTGTTACCACGGTAGGCACCCCGCCCACCTCTATCGTTGCGTGGGGGTCCACGTCCTCCAAAGCCCCCGTTGGAACGGTTGTCGTGGTAACCATTCACATATCCATTGGTACGGCCACCGTCCCATCCAGGAGAATCTAAAAAGGAGCAAGGCAGGTTATTAGAAAAAATAATGTAAGTGAAGGAGGTAAATGCCGTCACCAACCTACAGCCAGGATAAACTATATGAACTATGCTTGAATTTAATGTAAAAAAAAACAAACAAAAAAAATGCAATATTGAATGCCAATCTTTGGTAGAAATGTACAATGACAATGAACCACAATGATCCAAAAGTCATGGAACCTCTGTGGGGGACATTTACCACATCGGTCTGCCCAGCTGTGAACACTGGCTGTGTCATCGTTCCCATCGGTGGCCACACTACTATCAGTGCAGGCTGAGGATGAGGCTAGTGGGGGACAACAACAGTTAGTGCTGCCATGGTATGGCATGCCACTAAGCAGAACTCTGCCTTAATTCAACAGTGGCAGACCAGCCACATATCTGCCATATTAGTCCTATTGGCATTATGGCAACTCAGGTTTAATCAGACAGGCTAAAGAGGAGATGTGGGTCTGAGGATGCAAGTCAAATCTTCATAAGGCCCACACACAAGCAGCAAGTCAGTCCACAGCAAACTACAGCTTTGGATTTGTAGAAGTCCCAATTGTATTAGAACGCTCAGAAGAGCTTCTGGATGTTCCTCAAACTAATGCACATTTTGAAATAATGACTCAAGACTTGTATCAGATATGACATATCTGTACTCAGCAACCATGACTATCCATATCATGCAGTGTCTCTATGAATAAAACAATTAAAATAATTTCCAGAAAATGTGCGATTTTAAATTGGTTTCTACAAAACTTAAGGCAACACTAAAAAATTAAGCATTCTTACATCAGAAAAAACATTTAAAAAATGCATCATTGCTTAGGGGCCACAACACAGGCAAAAATGTAGACAAAAATAAACTTGAGTCATCATCACCATGCTTTATAAGCACCACTATAAGACAAAACATGAACATGTTAGGCCTCTGACCTACTTTAGTGACTGACAAAGCGAGGAGTTTGATTGTGCTGAAGGTACAGTTTGAATTGAGAGGCAGCCATTAATTAAGTGCCATGACATGCAGACACAAGTATACCACATCTGTTTCGCCAACCACCAGTGTAGGCATGGTAAAAGGCAAGCTCTTGTGAGGCCAGTCTTGGGTAACCTGAGCAAAGGCATGAAGAAGACTATAAAGACCCTGGGAATTACTGTCTTAACAGTTAAGTATTGGCTTTAAAGGTGACAGTCGTTAAATCTTACAATCATCCCATCCTGAGGGATAGTTATTTCTTTGTCTTGGCTGACATTCAGCTTGCCACGGCTGTGGGCACTGCTTAGGAGAAACTTGAGGGACACCAAAAGTGAATTACATGTTTAAAGAAACATTGAAACATTTCCAATGCAAGCACCACAGCCAAAAGCAATTACTAAATTAAGTCCAATAAAAATTTTTTTTAAAATCAACATTCCCTCTCCCCCCTTCAAATTAGTTTTGCTGGTTTGTAAAGTGGCCATTTCATGCATGTGGAAATGCAGATTGCCCTCAGCAAAAGCAGACAGAAGGGACTTACAGAGATTTACGGGTGCCACTGAATAACCGCACTGTCTACCAGTGGAATAAGCATTTGCTGCTGTGGGATAAGAAAACAATAAAACGAGAAAAACGTCATGTGTGCAGAGCCACAATCACAAAATACTGCTTTAAGAGTGTAAACAATCCCGTCCAGAGCAGTCAAGTGTGAATTTGATTTCCTGATGGGCCAGGTGGCATACAAATCATTACTTAATTTTGTTTTTTTTTCCCCATTTTGATACTGGTGAATCAGCGCTTCCTTTTACCAGGCTCTGATGGGTTGAAACAAATGTCCAATAATTCACTTACCACTTTTGCCTGCATCTTTGTTCCTCAAATGAGGCGGAATGTAACGCCCTGTGGAGAAATAAACCATGTTAAAACATACAACATTCTCATAATCAACAAGAGACACATTTGCATATTGCACAACAGTGGCAATGAAGAGTTGAGTACTTACTGCCGGTTCCTCCGCCCTGTCCGTCAGCCGAGTTCAAGTCTAGGGCAGCAAGCTACAGAAATACAAAACATTAAATAAATAATTCCGTACATAATTACCTCAGCTTGTATATACACAGATTCTCTTCTCTACGAGTATGGAAAATAATGAAAATTGTGAATTAAAATGACATTTTTATATAAAAACATCGAGTCAAAACGCAGTCCAATAAATGAGGATATTAAAAATGGAGCATGTGTATTTAGGTCAGTGGAATATAACTGGAACCACATCGAGTATTGGTGCCAGCACTTTTTTTCTTCCTGCGCCACGTTTCAGGTTGAGGCCTGACTTTAGCCGGCTACATACCACTGTACCCGGCCCGGCGTTGGCCAAATGCGAAACTGATGAAAACTTAATAGGGTAGTGATAAACCCCGGCTCTTCAGTGGACACATGTATAATGGGTTGTAATCCACCATTAGTCAAGTGTCGTTAAATGAACACTACATGTGCATCTGGCTCAACGCAGTGGTCCTCCGCCATCACAATCTCACAACGCCATCACCGACATTTTACCAACGTTAGCATGTCGGAGCTTAAAGAGCTAACACCACGAAGCTCCCCACTTGGCTCCCTATAATACCGGTCATTTACAGCACATCTACAGAGGGAGAATGTATTAAAAGTTCTTACCTGCTGATCTAGACCGTGTGGATTATCGACGACCACATGACTCATAACTAAAGAGAGTAGTGGAGATTATTTTTGAAGAGAAAGGATTTTCTTTGTTAGCACGGTTAGCTCTTCAGCTGAAAGTACGACGATTTTCCCCTTTTTGTAAAAAGTTCCGCCTTGGTATAACAGCTACTGGTAAATTTAACTACTCGTCTATTTCAAATAAATAAAATAACGACAATTGCTAAATATAAATAACGCTAGAGTTCAGTATGAAATGGTTACTGTAGAGCTGCTCAACAAAACCCCCTCCCGGCGGCTTGACCGTGCTGGAATGAGACGCCGAGCACGCAGGTAACGCGAGATATCACATCTGTAACCCGGCAAAGTGCCCTGTGGGGCCGAAAGTGTCGCGATATTTTATTTAATCTCGGATCATTTGACCAGCATGATTATCAGGAACTGGAACGCCTTATGTTTTCTTTTTTCCCCACGGAGATATTGGGAGCATAAAAAGAAATAGCTTATTATATACTGCATTTGGGTCAAATATTTATTCAATTAGAACTATAGATTATCCTTTAAGAATACATCTTATTGAAATGAGGATCCAGGCCATGATCTTTGCCTGATAAAAAGAAAACAACAACATCAACATCATCAACAACAACAACAACAACAACAAAGCTAAAAAACGAAACCATGTGCCAGCAGACTATCATTCCTCTAATAATAATCCTATTGTAGCCTATGTTGGACATGCACACAAGTGACATATGGTTTGAAAGCTCTTGAAAGGGCTTGGCAGGAAGGGTCAAGAAGACAGTCAAGTATTAGCCAAATACTTCCTTGTGTGACCACTATCCTGCTCTGGACAGGTGTCTGGTGGCCAGTTGAATATCAAGTTGATATTTAAAGGTCCTATGTTATGCCAACTGATTTGTGAGCTTTAAGCCATTTTAGAATGTTATTACCTTAGCAAAAACATCCCTGGAATTATGTTTTGTTTCATTCACACGTTTGAGTAATCCTTCATTATTAGCCTGCCTACACCTCTAAAACTCAAAACACTTACATCTTGTGATGTCATGAAACCACCTTATATCTTTTCTTCAATAGAGACTGGCAATTCCATGTCTGAAATTATTTATGTTATTCTAATGAAGATGTGTGGAGTTTAAAAACACAGTGGAACATTTCCTGCATTACCACATGACATCACAAAGTTGATGTGACGGTGGTGATGAAAAGTGTTTTTTGTTTGAGAGATGAACTCTGGCTAAATATGCAGGATTTGCATGTTAATGGTCCTGTATTGTGCAAAATTGACTCTTGTGAGCTTTAGGCCATGTTAGAATGTTGGTACCTCATCAAAAACATGCCTAGTTGTGTTTTGTTTTATTCACCTACATGATATGTGTTAATTATAAAACCACAACACAGGTAGTCTATAATTGTGATGAGGAAACAACATTACAACATAGATAAGAAAATAGCATAAGATGGGACCGTTAACTATATTATATTTCTCTTACATCCACAGTGAGCCTTATGACGCTTGTTCCAGTGTCATATATGTAGAAGATGATGACGATGAAGTGCAGTTGCCATTCCTCAAGTGTACCTAAAATGTTGCTCTTTGAACGGTGAAACAGTAAAACTAAACCTATAATCAAATATAGGATAACCTTTGATTTAGTTATTTTAATAGATCCATGATTTAGACTTCAAAGTTATATATCCTTTTCCCTGACTGTGCAGCGTCTCTGGCTCCATCTACTGACATGTAGCGGGAAAAACACATGGGTAAATGCTAAAAAGTCAACTTATTCCTGTGAAACGTTCTTTCATGTTGTTATAAATGCACTGTTATTTATGCAGTTCAAGGCACTTTGTGACTGAGTGAGACGCTCCTTCAATAAATGGTTGAATATATATGTAAAATAATCTGTGTTGTAATGAGTTTATCGTTTTAGGCCCTTAACATGGTGTGTACTTCATTTCCCAAAATCCTCTTCGGGCATTTCTCCGGAAGAAAACGTATGCGTCTTCCTTTATACTTCCTCTTTCCGTCAACGGAGTTTAGGTACGGGTGCTTCAGTGTGATTCCGTTTACAAAATCTTGTCTAAATCTATGTTTTAACTTGTCATCCACACGTATAACGTTTATAAACGCGTCCAATAACATCCAGGGGGTTGTATTTGATTTATATTGTTAAGATTAACATTGGTTTAAATAGTTTAATCAGCTCTGTTTAGTACACCGGTGTCATGGCGTTCTAATGGCAATGTTGAGCAGCTACAGGCCGGTTGCTTCACTTTTAGTGTCTACTAAATTATATTCTAAATTTATATTTTAGAAATCTGTATACTGTGTTGCTTTTTGTTTGCTTGGAAGTGTGGCAGTTTTTTAAGTGGGATTTGCAAACCTCCGAAAGCAATGCGTAATTTCTAATAACACAGGCACATTTTCATTTTTTTCCCAGTACACGATGGGACGTGTAATCAGGGGACAGAGAAAAGGTGCGGGCTCTGTGTTTAAAGCCCACGTCAAGCACAGAAAAGGTGCTGCTAAACTCCGTCATATTGACTTCGCTGAACGTCATGGATACATCAAGGGGATTGTGAAGGTATGTCAGGGACAACACTGTATTTTCCATTTGCTATGATCACTGCAGCTAAAACAGAAATTCACAGATGTCTGTAATATGTTCAATAAGGTGTGTATAGAAGTTGCACTATTTAATCTCACTCTATTGCTTTACATTAAATCATGCAATTTTACGTTTGATTCTTCAGTTATGTATTCCCAGCCGACAGTGATATCTCTGTATTTGGTCTCCTTTAGGATATTATCCACGACCCGGGCCGTGGTGCTCCTCTGGCAAAGGTCGCTTTCCGTGATCCGTACCGCTTCAAGAAGAGGACAGAGCTCTTTATTGCTGCTGAGGGAATCCACACCGGACAGTTCATCTACTGCGGCAAGAAAGGTATGTAGTCATTCAGTCCAGTCCTGCTTATCAAATCAGGGGTATCCAAGTTCATTAGCCCTCAAGCCTTTTGCTGAATAGGCTCTATTCACGCTTACATCATAAACCAGGAAGATGATTGGAAAGATGCAATGACAACTTCCCAGGTCCAGTTTTCTTCATCTAAATGTCATTGTAGTGTTCTGTTACGTTCGGCTAAACAATTACAACCATACCCCAGTTTTCAGAATTTCCTCACTGACTCACAACTCAGAGCGCACTGGATACATGCGATTAGAAGAGATGAGGGCACCAAATTCAAGATGATTCCAAACAGCACATATGTATGCAGTCTTTATTTTACCACTGATCATTTACTTCAATGGGCTTTTATCACAGTTGGTCTGCAAGCCCAGTGGCCACAGTCAGTAACTACACTGGAAGTTGTAATCGCATCTTTCCAAACTTATTCCTGTTTTGTGACGTAATGTGAATGGTGCCTATTGGCCAGAATGTCCTCGTATTCCAAATTGTATTCTGTCTTTATCAGGTATAGCAACTATGTAACGTGTAAATCTAGAAATATTTGATAGTATAATACCAAATATAATCCACACAGACCATGCTGTTTTAATATTTTGCAGCCCAGCTTAACATTGGCAATGTACTGCCTGTGGGCGTAATGCCCGAGGGTACCATCATTTGTTGCTTGGAGGAGAAGCCTGGAGACAGAGGCAAACTGGCCCGTGCTTCAGGGAACTATGCCACAGTGATCTCTCACAACCCTGAAACTAAGAAGTCAAGAGTCAAGCTCCCTTCTGGATCCAAGAAAGTCATTGCCTCAGCTAACAGAGCAGTTGTGGGTAAGCTACAGCTGTCTGCAAAGCTTCTGTGATGTTTTAGTTGGATTCTTTTTTTCTGATGCATTGAATTTGTTTCAGGTGTGGTTGCTGGAGGTGGTCGTATTGACAAACCCATCCTAAAAGCTGGTCGTGCTTACCACAAGTACAAGGCGAAGAGGAACTGCTGGCCACGTGTCCGTGGTGTGGCTATGAACGTAAGTCAATATGAACACACACTTTACAAGTTTTATGCAAGTTATTAACAAGGATACATTTAAGAACTTCCAAAATATCTCCCAATAATTGCAAGGAAGGGCATTATAAGTTTACAGTCCAATAAACGGTACAGAGGGAATAGTGAACTAGCCCTGCCAGTGGCTTAATGCATTGGATTCGATGCTAAATGTGCTTAACTTTGATCTGCAGCCTGTTGAGCATCCCTTCGGAGGTGGTAACCATCAGCACATTGGAAAACCCTCAACAATCAGGAGGGATGCACCTGCTGGTCGCAAGGTCGGTCTCATTGCTGCCCGTCGCACAGGCAGACTGCGTGGAACAAAGACGGTCCAGGAGAAGGAAAATTAACTCTGTGCTTCTTGATAATAAAAGTGTCAAAAGAATGTCTTGTCTTCATTTTTAACAAAGTCATATAAATTCAAAGTGTTGTGAGCAGAGTAAGTGCTACTGAAAGCAGCACCTCACTACAAATTAAGACACTTGAGAAGATTCCATGTTCTTTATTTGCTAAGGGCGCAATGCTTTTGTTATATTTCTGTGCACAAAAACCTCACAAAGTGAAAGTCCACATCGCGACTGTAGCTCCAGAATTCAAAATCACACCATGGCCAAAACAAAAGTCGGCAAAAACAGGGCGCAGAACTCTGTACAGTCAATATCTTTAAAAATAACACAAGGACAAAAATGTTCCTCTTAAATCAAATTCTATTTGTGAAATACAACAAAATAAATTCTATAAAATAAGAGCAAAATATTTAAATATAATACGGTGGGCAGAATATTTTCATTTGCAGGAGTATTTGGTATGTTTTAACAAAGATCAAAAAATACACGCATTCAAGTTACCAATTAAATACAGTATTTACTGATGTTTACCTTTACTCCTACAGAATTACAAGTTGTATCATGACTAACCAGCTGCTAATCCTGCGATACAACCCTGCTGAGAAACTGCTGAGTGACGGATGGTCTCACTGTGGCCCAGAGTCACGGTCCCTGGCTCCAGCAGACTATAGCCCTAATCAGCTCACAGCAAATGTACGATGATGGGCAGGTCTAGAACTAGGCTCTACTTAAGTGACACCAGATAATCTCACTATACCAGATAGCCAGGTGCAGCAATTTTGTTGCATATGTTTCATTTTCAGTTTTCCTATAAATGAAAGCTAAGCCATGTATTCCCACCTTAAACTGAAATCTGGATGTAAATTGTGAAGTTGTAGGGTCACAAAGTGCAATTAAAAAGCCACTTTCTGATACACAAGTTCAAAGTAACGCCCTCATCATAGATAAGGTAGATGGAAATAAAAAGAACACAAGGAGAACCCTCTGTAGAGATGTGGGTTTAAAACAGCTTTAGGTTGTTATGATCACAAGTTTTCCCTTGGGCTACACTATTCTGGTGAGAAGCCATGCTAAATGTTACAGCATTAAATAGAGCTTCAAAAAGGACTGAATTAATAAACAGAACAAACGAAAAAGAAGGCAATGAGTTTCAGAACAATGTTGCATCACTGCGTTTTCACATCAACCAAACACCGGAAAGTCCACCCAACCATTCCATATGTCACACTAAAACCAACCACAACCTGTGAGTTGATTTGGCATGGGTCAGAAGGGTGCCAAGGAGCTTCAGATAATAGAACTATTATGATAATAACGTGTCCTTCTACAGTTGAATGACCAAGAACCGTCCAATGGTATAACAAACTTCACTGCTGAGCATGTGTGATAAAACAAGAGTTGTTGACTTCGTACAGTTTTTTGGGGCATTTTTCTTATTTATAATATCCATTTATTTTTCATTTTAATCTGCAACATCTCCCAGCAGCCAACCATAAGTTATGCTATTGGGGGATCTGAACAGTCAAAAACATAAACATACTATGTACACCTTTTTGTCGTGAAGACAAGCGCATCAGCATCGTCAGCTCTGGTTAAATGAGTTTCCTTTAGTAGAATTTTTGTCCACTCCTTGGCCTCTGTAGCAACCAGCAGGCCCTGTCCCACGCTGAGCAGTCCCAGGCCAGGGAAGAGCGCCTCCTACAGGCTGACAGCAGAACATCTTAAGTGGCCTTGAGATAAGAGGAGACATTGCTCTGCCCTGTCCTGGGGCCAGAGAGAGGGCCAAAAGTGAAGCTCTGTTGACCAAAGAAGAGGAAGGAGAGCGGGACGATGGAGGCTCGAGGCACTGCAGGGGCATTACTCCTTAGGGGGGGCAGGCCCTGGGGCAGGGGTGGAGGTGGGTGCCACCTCCTCAGTGCTCTCCCAGTTCTCTTGTGCTCGTGGGCCCTGCCCCGGAGCTGGACCTGGGCTTGTGGTCTGAGGAGGAGCTGGATTTGGGGCAGAGGCCGGCCCGGGCCTCTGGGGGTTGTTCATGTGCTGAGCAGCAGGGCCTGTGTATGGCTGCCCATGAGGATGGTTGTTCTGCGCAGACAACAATGAACACAACAATAGGTTAAATCTATAAATCTAGGACCAGTTAAATCTCAGACACAAGATAAACATCACAACAAAACTGTTCAAGCAAATTATGTAATGCCCACCTGCTGAAACTGGGCTGTCCCAGGAGAATGGGGGTAAAGAGATGTGTCCTCAGGAGGAGAGGAGTCCTGATCATCTGGTGCTTCCTGCTCATCAGGTTCCTATAAAAACAAAAATACTTTTAAATGAAGATTTTAATTAATACTTAATTGTGTTATGCTGATTTAAGATGTATTTCTATTTCAATGGAAATCTCAATAGTATATGCAATTTTCAAGTCACAAAATATTTTAAACATGAATGTAGCACCAAAAAAGAGCAACTAAAATAATAACTGCAAGTGGATGTTACTTAAATGTGGCAATCTAAACAAGAGCTGATCTAAACACTGCCCATTGCCAAATGAGTGCAATAATATAAGTGTATAATATGAACAGAAGTCTAAATATACATGTTCACAGTAAGTGGGTGACTTTTATTGCCAGTAACTATAATTTTAACATTTTTACTTCCTTCCTTTATGTAGTGGTGCCTGGAATACTGACCTTCCCTGGGCTTCCCTGTGTACACTTGAGCTGTGCATGGAACATTACAGAGAAGCGTGTCATTTATCTGATGTTTTTCAACATTCAAATACAATTTTGTTGTACATTTGTTATTAGTGCCTATACATTTTATAGCCCCCACCAACAGGTCAAATCGAGTCTAAATGTCTTGATTTGAGTGGCATTTGATAGTGTATGCTGGTAGGCAGTAAGTCTGAATCAAAGTAACAAATAAACACATAATAATTTGTAGACTACTTAATAGCTTAATTGTGTTTAGCCTAACTCAGTCAAACAGTTTAACATTAAGTAGGCCTATAGTATATGTGGTGGGAGTAGAGTGTGATTAGTGCAGAGTTACCTCTTCTGGGCACAATTCACAGGCTTTGGCCAGCGTCATGCGTGCACTGTGTGAACGCTCCAGGAAATAGCCATTGGAGGTCTCATTACTCTGAACTGGAGGGGACCAGTTATTGTACGTGTACTGAGGGTTTCCTGTGTAAGGCCGCCTCTCCAGCTCATCCCCCAGCCACTCCACCGCCCATGTCCACTTTCGTTTTAGATCACCATTACTCTGCATCAGTAAACACAAGCAGTTTAGTTAGTGGTGATTAAACAATTTAAAATGGGTCTATGTATGTATGTACTGTAAAAAGCTCCTGGAGGCACAGTTGAGCTGAGCCATTATTGGTGTTACATTGAACCTTAAGATATTCTGGCATAAATTTGTATGCATGAGCATATGCATGCAAGTTCTCCAAGGTTACTGTACACCTAAAGAGAGATTTAAGTTTGTTCATTGCAAATGTAGTGTTTACAAGACATACACAGCACAAGAGGGAGAACTCCACAAGTTCCTTGAACTTCTATCTACTCCTTTTGAGTGCCAACATTTTACCCATCTTTAAATGTAAACAGATGTTTATTTTATATGGTGCTCAAACAAAAACAAAAAAAAGTAGCACCATGGTTGAATAGCGGCCTGTACCTGAAGAATCTGATAAGCCACAGAGCAGTTGCTAAACAGCGCTACCATGCACTTAATACACTGGTATGCTCTTTTCTGGTAGTGGTTTTTGGAGCGCTGGATGGTGTCAAAAAGCCCATCTCTGTCATCAGGAATGCCCTTCAGTACATTGTGAATCCTAAGAGCAAAAGCACAACGGTATTCAAGAAAAATGACAAGAAACATAGTTACATAGTTACAGCAGAAGTAGTTGCACGCAAACCAGAAAACTGACCTGTGAGTTTGCCAGGAGTCCTCAATGAGAAGAATCTGTAGCAGCAAGTCCAAGTAAGGCCTCAGCTCATACGTATAAGAGTAAGCCACCTGTGAAGAACAAACATGTCTTCACATGATCAAGTAGTTATTCTGAAGACCACATTTTTAAAAATAGAGATAAGGGAAGCCATGTTTCTGTGGTATCAACCATCACTTGGACATCAGTGATAGGAGATGATAATTCAATAAAATCTCAGACAACAAACTTTAGAGCGACATCTACCTGCCAGAGCAGCTCACTGAGCACAGTGGAAGAGAACTGTGGATTCTCCCAGCAGCTGAACCGCAGCAGTTTGACTGTCTCCTCTGAGTTACTGCAGTCCTCAATGATCTTCTTCACATAGCTAGTCCTCACAAACAGGATCTCTGCGACCGGGTGCTGCACAGCCATCACCGGGGAGCTTAGGTTTGTGTCTCCATAAGGGTTGGGGAGTGGAGGGTTACCTACAACAGTCAAGGGAAAAGATTTTAGACAGGGAAAAGTAAAGACAAAGTTTTTTGTTTACAAGAAAGCCCTCAGCTCAGAGCTGTGCTTACACAATGCACAAACTCCAAGTGGCTAGTTTCTCAGTCTCAAAATCCTGAGCAAGGATGTAGATCCTCACTGGGCTATCCCCACTTCATGTTTGATAAGAAAAAGGAGTAAGCCAAAGTTGACTTACCATTAATGGATGACTGCATGCGTGATGAGACATCACAGCAGCGAACAAGCTGAGAGACCACTGTGTAGAGTTTTCCTAGCTCAGCGTACTGGTATTTGATTGGAGGGCCAGGACCCTCATCCAGAGCAACCAACATAAAAGTGGCAGGAACATTCAACTTTAACAGCTGTGTTTTCTCTGCAAGACCTGTAGAAATAAAAATTTAAAGTACAAGCTTTAGAACAATTACTCCAATTTTACCTTGATCACAAATCTTACAGTTGTTTTCACAAATTTTGTGCTTTACAATCCCAATGTGCAAGAAAATTAACTAATTTCTTGTTCTATCAGTTCATTTCAGACTGTTTACAGTTTGCCGCTGGTATGCACACAATATCTAGTTTGAATATCCTGTGCAACACCTAAAGCAGCCAAAAGCTCTTTTGTGACCAAGATAAAAATGCCATTGTGTAACTTTTCTATTACAAAATTAAAATGTGATTTTTCTCTTACTTAGGTAGAAGAATACTAAAACTATTTTGTCATGAGAGGCAGGTGAACCTGACAGTTTGTGATGTCTGCACGCCTTACCTAGATTGGCATACATGACAAAGAGGTTGAAGTACTGCTGCAGGTGACGGCCGTGTTCAGAGACCTCTCTGCGAAGCAAGTTGAGTACAGCTCTCAACAGATGGTCACTCAAACTGAGGTTATCACAGCCCTGAAACACAAGTCAAATAAATTAAGCCCAAGATGCTTCATTTTTTTTCTGGTGTAAAATATTCTATGGATGCTCCAGTTTTCCACCAACCTGAGTAGAGGGTCCCGGGGAGGCAGTGGGTGAAGGGCAGGGGCCATCTTGCAGAGAGAAGTGGGCGATGAAGACTATGAGCTTGGCAAATGCACCACGCACCTCAGCACTTGGACACTCAAGCAGGTACTCCGAGAACCGGTTTGGATATGCAAACAGGACATTGTGTGCAAACCAATAGCGTACATTCTTACTGTGCCTCAGTAGGATGCAAAGGGCATCATACCTTAACAAAAGTACAAAAAGGGGAAAAAATTAAAAAAAAATATATATTTGAGACAAAAAAGTAAAAGTAAAAGAAAGTTTACCAGTCACTGGCAGGACCCCGAACTACTTTCTTTGTGTGAAATCCTGTGCTGAAAAGGAACCTAGCAGCCAGCTGAGCACTGATCATAGCAATCTCTTCTGCTTCAGGCAGAAGATGGTCTTGTCCTACATGAAAGGTAAAATAAGAATGCATCAAAATTACATTATTTTAAAGTAACCTTAGTTTAGGCAACATCACAGTAAAAACAACAGCAACAAAATATTCTTAAAGGTGAATTCTAACAATAATATTCAGGGACAACAGTGCACCAACAAATAAACTGTGTTCTGTAGTATGGCTAAAATTTTGTAGAGAAAAACATACCTGGAGGAGGATTTAAATAGACACTGTTACAGGTCAAAAGTTTCTTAATGAACTGGAAATATTCCAAGCTGTATTGCATTCTGTTGTGCATGAATTGGACATTCTGCTTGCGGACGCTGCACTCTATAACACCAGGCATCTTCACCTGATGTGGTTTTGTAGAGGAGATAGTTAAGTCCGAGATGTACTTGACAAGCTCGCTGTCTTTGTCCAGTGAGTCCATACGCTCATAGAAAAGGATGTACGCATTCCACCAGCGCTTCTGCCTCCGATACGACATCCTCTTCATCATATGATCAAATACCTCGCCCATGTATTCTCCTCCAAAGCACTGATTCTTCATCTCCTCTTCATCATCCATCTTGCACTCAGTCACATCACCATCATCAAATTTATACCAGCGGTTCTTTTCACCATCTCCTCCATTCCTTTGAATAATGTAAGAGTAGTAGTGTCCCCCACTGGCCTGGCCTGAGTGGACCAGTACGCCCACAAGGCGATACTTGGAGCTCCCAGGAGGAGTGGGCTCAGAGGGCTCGTTCTGCTGGATCACCTGGTTTTCAGGATTAACGTCATCACCCTCCAACTTAGCCACCCCAGCTACTGTGTAAGGCTCCATGTCCAGCTCCCGAGGGAACTCAAAGTAGTCATTGAACTTGATGGCACATTCCCTCTCCCAGTCATAATCAAAACGTTTGAGCTGTATGGCAAGGACTGGTGGCAGCTTCTTAATTAACAAGCGCTTCACGGTATCCACCTGAACAAGAAAACAGGGTTGAAACCAACCAAATATATTACAAGATTTGAATCAATTTACACCATTAAACGGTGTACTTGTCTAACAACACTGTGTTCTCACCTTTTTATTACACTTCTCACAGTGGTAGGCATTAGCTCCTTCTAACAGATCCCCTTTGACATACTGCTCCATGGAGTCTAACAGGTTCTGGTGATTTCTGATGTCTACATTGAGTGTTGTGAACGACTCTTCACACTCGTATCTAGTAAAAAAAAGCAAAGATTAACTTAAATGTAACAGTGAATGACTAAATCATAAGAAAGCGCTCACCTGTGTGGGCATCCTTGGCAGATCTTCTGGTCTGCAAAGGAACCACCCAGGACCTTACTTAGCATAGCTGGGTGGCCGAGAGCTTTAAGTGCTTCATCCAGACTATCCACTAAAGAGTTGAAAAACTCCAGGGCATCATGCTGCTCCCTTAGATTTACTGGTTCACCCCACAACCTTGCAGGGATGCAAGCACAATAATCACCAAAAATATCTATTAAACTTAAAAGAGATTTCAAACATGCTGCCATTCTAAATACCTGAACTGTTTCCAGAATCCTCTAGGAACATAGTACTGCAGCCTGGATGCAGCTAAATGGCCAAAAATGACCTGGAGATGACGTAAAACTCCAATGTTGTACTCTTTCCTGTCTTCTGATTTACCAGAGGGTTTATCATCGAACTGGTGATGGTAACTGAACACCTCATCTCGAGGATCCACATTGCTCTGTGTTACAAATACATACACGTATGTTTGTACAATTATTCCGATTATTAAAGTATATAATATATAACGTTCTAGGAGGTGGAAATCAGCAGCCACCTCATTTTCCTGCTTCTCGTCCCCTGACATATCATCATCCACATCAGTGCCAGTGCCTTCAATGGCGAGAATGCCATTACGAATTGGTGGGATCATGTACAGCTGCTGAATGACTGAGTTCATGTAGCAAGTGGCTCCTGCATTTTTCAAACCTACAAAGCCTTTGTTGGGTCTTGGTCCAACAGGAGGGAGATATTCCCATTCAGTCAAAGTATCACCGCCTAAAAGAAAAAACACCAATGTAACTATGAAAATGACTGTTTAGGAACATTTATCAAATTACTGCAGCATCTTACCCAAATAGTACATGTCTGTGAGGGTATCCACTATCTGTTTGAGGTTCCTGACACAACCAACTGCCAAGGCCACGAGCAGCTCGAAGCCTGCATTGATTGAAGCAGGGGTGCTACACACTGGGATTGCTTGCTCTGTGGGGAACTCTCCACTTTTCATGTACTGTAGGTAAACATTAGATGCTGGGAATATGAAGTCATCTATCAGCTCCTTCATAAAAAGGAAAAAAAAAAGATTAGAGATTTTTAAAATCTCACAATTTTAGAGTTTGCTTTCGAAAGGTAATTAATGTACCTTAATAAGATTTGCTCCTCCTTTTTCACAGCCAATGTAGTACTTCTTCTCTGGTGTTTGGAAGGACAACAGCTCCTTGGTGACTCCAAGATGACCTTCTAAAATTGTTTCCTCTACACCAGTCTCACCAGTCCTTTTAACCTCATCCTAAACAGTCAAAGTTTACATAATTAACTTTCAAGGATTTATTTTGCTACTATATACTATTTGCAAGCCATACCCTTATTCGCTTTAGCCAGTCAATCTCATTGTTGAGCAGCACCTCAGCATTTGGCAGGTTGATGTTGCTGTTATAAGCATAATTCAGAAGGTGCCTAAGTAAAGTGAAATAATCTCCAGCGTGTTTGGCTCGCTCTTTAGCTGTAGTCTTAACAAAAAAACAACAAAAAAAACAAGTTGATCATTTACTCTCAAAATCGTTATTTAAAGAGGTGAGTATTATTTTCCACTAACCCCAAGGACTGTAAAGAGGAGAGTAATAAAGAAAAGGAGTGGTCGGTGGCCCATGCAGCACCTGGTTGCCATCAAGAAAAATTGCTCTTGTGCCATTTGCCGAACGGACCTGTTGATGATGTAATCATCGTAATTTTGTGAACGCTGCATATAAAAATTACAACAACACTGGTGTACTAACTTGCTATGGCAGTGTAGCAGTAGATCTATAATAAAGGTCTGCCAAGCCTTCTCTTTACTGAGCGTGTCCAGAGCCGTGGGCATCAGGGCGAAACACAGTGTCATCACCTCCAGGGCCTCACAACACACCTGCTCATCCTCACCATCAGGCTCCTTAGCTGCATTTGTCTAAAAATACACAATTCAAACTCAGATTGACAAATACTGGCCACATAGATATGATATTTAAAATGACAAGAATCAAAATTATTGATTTTTCACTATTTAGCACCACAGAGTGACTAACCTTCTCATATATTTTACTGATTTCCTCATTTGAACTGAAGACAAGCTGGACAGTACCACAACCTGAAGCCCATACAATCTTCTGTATTGCCCGGATAACACATATGTCTGGGATGTACTTTGATGCCTGGAAGAAGTTCTGCATGCAGCAAAAAAAAAAAAAACACAAAACAAAAAATTTTTTTTTTTAAACACATCAATAAATAAAACACTACAACCATAACATAAAAACAATAATTACCTCATCAGAAATCTGCTGAGCCAGACGAATAGCAACATTACGCAACATGCATTCTGAGGCAGGATTGGGAATATTTTGTAAAGCACTTTGAAGGACCAGGGCCTGGTCATGTGTTGCCTGATTAATCTGTGCACAGAGAAGGAAGACAAGTCAGAAAAAATATCATTAAGTACAAGTTTCCAAACCTGTTTGAAAAATGTATCACAGTCTGTGTCATATGTGGACAAACCGGTGAGACAGGAACATTTCCTTCAGCGTTGGGCTGACAGGCCTCTGCCACAGCCTTGACATGTCCAAAGCCAACCGCAGTCAGAAGGAGCTTGGCAATTTTTAGTGCATTGAGGTAAGCTCCACGCCGAGTCTCCATGTCTGCTGAGGGCAAGAAATTGTTCCTCGTGAGCATGCTCAGCACCAAAGGCAACCCTCCACTTTTCAAGAAGTTGTATTGGAAGTCACTGGCATCTTCCCCCAGTGTTGCACTGGCTGGCATCAGCAGAGCATACACAACCTAAAACAAAAAGTACACATTTTTACAGTCCAAACCATTTCATATGTTCTAGTACATACTGGCCATCATAAAATAGGTTACAAAATAAATATCTAGAGCATGGCTTTACTTAAACTAAATTGCTATCTTGCATATTATTATAAAAGCCCTAAAATCGTTATGTGAAAAATCTTGAAAACAAAAAATAGAAACAATGAAAACCCACCTCAATGAGGTAGAGCACTTGTGAGGGCGAGGGTCCAAAGAAACGCGAGTCCAGAGAAGGACTGAGACTGTTCTCACCAAGCTTGGCATGATCAAGACACACAGCACGCAGATTCTCCACTGTGGTATTATCTGGGGATTCACAGAACAAAATATAAGTGTACCTCAAAATGTGATTCCAAAAGTTAACCATCTCTTGATATTAGGGCCCTGATGTATGCTTACCTGGAGGCATGAGTTTCATGAGAACTCTGGCTCCATCTCTAAGAAGAGGCATATTGAGGTTGCAGCCTAAATCAGCCACTTGCCACAGGAAGGAGATGTAGCGCAGGTGCAGTGACATAATCTGCAAAAAAGGAGAGTATAGGTCATGATGGACTCAATAGAAAAAAATTATGTCTTTATATTTGGTTATGTTCATAGCTAGTTTCTATCAGAAATCAAACATCTTACCACACCAGGAAGACAGCTTTCCACCTCAGGATTGGGTCCATCGCTATAGTGGTTACCATGGTTACCGGGTGATCCAGTGGATGAGTCAGATGAACTGTCTGGACTAGAGGGCATGTTGGCACTTACTTGGGTTAGCTTTGCTGTGATAAGCTGTACATAAAAACAAGAAATAAGGAACAAAGAGACTGATTATTACAGATTGTTAAATTTATGTTGCATACATTTTTTTAAAAATAGTTTGCTTACCGTTTTGTCTTTTAAATTCAGCTGACCAATCAGCTTCCGGTCATCAGCTGGATCAACAACCTCTCCTCCAATAAAAAGCTCTATTTTAGTATGTGCAGCATTAGCTTTGATCCGATTGAGAATTGCACGTCGAACTGAACCAATAGTGTCATTCGTGTGTGACCAGATATCCAGGTCATCTACCTGACGCCCTTGGTTTGGGAAACGAACTATAAGGGTGATGTGCTTTCCTCTAAAAGCCCTGTAAGAAACGCAGAAAATGCAGAACATGAGTAAGATTACTGTAGCCTCTATTCAAATTGCACTCAGTATGATGATGTTAAATTATACCTGGACATAGGCAGTATAGTCCTCTCCTCGTGGTAATCGCTGTCACATTCATTGATGTACTCCTTGAGTACAGTTAGTACTCGCACCATACGTATGGCCTCCTGACGAGCACAGTTTATGCTGTCTTTGTCTCCATCCAACACACACAAGGTGTCGTATGATGCCTTCAGCCGGTCAAAACAAGACTGGATAAAATCTTCATGAATTTCCACCTGTAAAAAAAAAACAAAAAAACAAAAAAAAAACAAAAACATGCCAACAATGAAAGATAAAGAGTGAAAAAATAGGAGTCTGGTATTGGGCGGAATTGTCAGGAAGTAGAATCCGTTTTTCCTCACAACAATATGTTAAGATTAGTACACACAAACGTACCTGGTTAACTTGCAGTTTTGGTCCAAGGTTGGTATAAATTTCCTTCAGCAGATCTATAGCCCGACTGGCAATGTCATCACTACCTTGAATAACCACCTTTAAAAAGGACAGAAAAAGGCAACATGTAATTGCAATTAAATCTACAAACCCATTTTTTCCTGAAATAATAATTCAAATAAAATTCATAAAAGTTAATATATCAGAAAGAAAGGTTCCAGCATCAACTAGCCGTCTTACCCTCCAGAGGTAGTCCAAGCCAATAAGTTCCAGGTCATCCATCATATAAGCCCGACGTTTAGCCACTAACTTGCCCTCTCTGCAGTTGACCGCCTTGAAGAACCGCTCAAAACACTTCATGCCATTTTCTGTGAGCAGAGAGGGGTCCAACTGCAGCACATTATTCTCAAAGAAGTCCTTGTTAATGTCTGGGTCAAGATCTGGCTCATCCCCCATGAGTTTAGAATACCTGTTGATGCACATCACAAAACATGAACAATAAAAAAAAAAAACTAATAAAACAATCAAGCAGACAAGAGCAACAGAAAAATCAAACCATTTGAAGCAGGCCTCACGGTCACATAGAAACACAGCATTTTCAGCTAAACATTTCCAGATCTGCTTTGCTTGTGGGGCACAAAGCCACAACTGCCCATCCTTCAATAGAAACCTGGTAATAAAAATAGAGTCTAAATTATTTGAGTATCAAATGTCCATAACCCATATGTCCATGTCACTTAAAGCTCCCAGTGCCACTTAAACTTCAAAGTATGGCTGTACCTCAGAAAGTTAAGTCGTTCTTGTACTTCCTGGACATGGCTGTACCGACTCCCAGGTCTTACGGTTTGGGGGTCAAACTCAGCCTGTTCTTCTGCAAATAACAACAACAACAAAAAAAAGATAAACAAATAGTACTTAAATGTCTATTTATGTAGTAGTTCAAAACCAACCTTTGGAGAGCTGCCTCATCGTCTCCATGTAGGCTGAAAGATTCTCTGCGACCAGAGTGACCAAAGCGTGATTATGCTGCAGTTGGTTGATCAAATCATGGCGATAAAACACATGGGGACTTCTCTGAGTTTGACTATAGAAAGAGAAAGAAAAAAAGTTATAAAACACAAGACTCAAAAGCTAGTCAAAAATGGTTTGTAAATATCCAGCTAAAAATGTTAGTATTTATGTTGTATTTGTAAGAAATCCAGCAGTAGTAAATAAAGCCATAGTATGTATTTTTTTTTTTTTGCCAAAAAATACACCAAAATAAAAACATGTTTTGTGTTTTTATTTTGGTTATTTTTATTACCCTGAAAAAACATACTCTGAGCGGACTTGCACCTCCACAAACTTGACACTAGTTTGGCCTAGAGGAGGGTCTTCTCCTGCTTGTTTCCATAGAGATGTTTCTTTGGCTATAATCTTCCACAGTATGGCACTAAAAAGTATGGTTTTAACTTTCTATTTCCATGGAATCATGCAGGTGACATGTCACATGTTTTTTTTTTTTTTGCTTTATTACTTATCTAACGGTTAGAATGATTAGTGTAAAACAATGGAGAGATCACAGAGACACATCCAGCAATTATCAGAGCTAAGAATTGGCTCCAACAGTGAGGCCAAATAAAGTGCCAAGCGTGCTACAACCTAACCCCTAGGCCACCCAGCAGCACTCATTGCATTTCATTGTCAATTACAATAGGACAGATGCATGATAAAATACATTTACCTATATATAACAAAAATATATATTTTAACAGACTCAAGGCAAGAAAACAATTGCATACAATTTTAGATTTTAAATTTCATTAACTTGACCTGTGTCCCCAGATATAAGTAAACATGTTCAAAACAAGCTTTGACTGATAACATATTCTAATGCTGATTTATTCTTATGTTCCAATTAAAATAAACTGAATTCAAATATGGTGTTTTGGTTCTCAAGACAATTATCCAATCAGAAAGCAGAATGAGCCTCAGTTTCAATGTTGAGATTTAGCTTTTACAACTAAAAGGCCTCTTTCCCAGCACCTGTAGCCAATCATGATCAGTGCTAGTGTAGCCTCTGCAGCTCAGTGAGTGAATGCTGATGGTTCTGAGCTTGGTTTGAGCTTTTCATATACTGAGAAAAACCTATATGCATCTTCCAGCTGTGATTGCACTATTTTTTTTTTTTAAGAGTGCAGGCTACAAACAGTTCCGTACTGCTTGTACTACTGCCATAAAGATTGGACTCAATTGCAAAGAAACATTAGAAATGATTTGTCAATTTTTCCCTGTTGTAGCTGAACAAAAAGAGATGAATTAACAGATTATGGTGCAGTCACATACAGTGGGTCCATTTATCAAATTTTATTGTCCAAAAATCTGATGATTAAATTGGAGCTGGTCGACATTGAAAGAAAAAAAAAGAAATTAAAATTTTTGTTGACTGAAAAATCTGATTTGATTTTGTCCTACTGAAAAAAAGTAAAAATGGCCTTCTATATTAATTTTCCTGAACATAAATTAATAATTGTAATCACTGCTATTTCACAGAAAATAGTCAAATTTCTTCCTCCAATGTCTGAATTCTACTCCAAATTACATGATTTTACTGATAGGGGATTGACTGTAGACCCCTGGATTAAAAAGACCCAAGCTGATCATTGACAATTACAAATTACTGAATCTTGATTAAAATTTGATTAATTATACAGCCCTAATATACAACATTAACAATGCAGTGCTAAAAATACTCTTAATATGACACTGCCCTACAAACGAAAAGTGCAGTAACCGCATTCATAAGACTTGTTTCATTTGGTGTAGAGATCTACCTTTTTTTTTTTCCATGGCTGATACCCATTGTTTAGACTGCAGAGCAACTGTTGGAAGATAAGCTATGCAGATATTTTTGGGCCAATATGTAGGGTTGATTTTGATTATTTTCACCAAATGATGTAATCTAATTTTACTACCAACCATAAACCTTTGAGAGAGCAGGGTAGTCAGGTTTTGTGCAGCTACCTCTTTGTATTAAAGTGTTAATAAGCTTTGCGAGTATTGTTTGGGGCATATTAACCAAAACAAAATGTTTGCCTAAAATATATCTAACTGAAATTTTCCAAAATTTGTATGACTGATTATGGGGAAAATTTTATGTCAAAAACATGGGTTGTAGATCTCAGCGACAGGGACAGCAATACAGCTAAAGACAATCAGCTTCAGCAGCAGACAAGTAGTGTCTGATATTTTGAAATCTTGGTTGCAGAGTGGGCCATTCTCTTGCCGTGTCTACCATAATTCTGTGAACACTGAACATGTGTGAAGAGCAAACACAAGTGCCCCACAGATGAGCTCAGCCTCAAAAGACCATTTCACCCCATTTTCCTTTCTTTTATTAACTTTTATAAACCCCAAAACACAGCTAGCATGTAGCGTGCAACTATGCTGATGCCACATGTAGACACACTTAAGACTGCACACATTGTGTCATACATAATGATGATCAGAATTTGCTCTAATAATTTCAATTCCTCAAACACATAAGATAGTGGACCCCCACATTTACTGTGCACTTTAAATAGTTTTTTTGATATAACCCTGAAATGGAACAAAATACAGTGCTGAAACTCTTCTTATTCATCATCACACATACTAGAATACTTATTGTTGGGCAATGAAAGAACAGAACATTCACTACACAAAGTAAAAGGAATCAAAGAAGGTCAAATCAGTATTAAATCAGTGTCACTGATTTGAAATTGGAGACAAAAACCAAATCCTTCAAAACTTTTTCTCCCAGTTTTACTGACAGCACAGATACTTTCCTTTGTAGGGCAGTATTTAATACAATGTAGCAATGACAATTAATATGTATATTTTTTTTAATCAATGTATGAGCTCATATACATGGTCTTGAATGTTGTACTATTGGTAACCATTTAAATTTTCCTCAAATGTCTGTTTTTATTTTTTAATGAAAATTGAGAACCCAGAAAAGAATAGCAAGAGTATTTTATGCAATGCATGAAAATAGTTCAGCTTGACAAAGAGGCTCTCTCAACTTACCCTATTATGCTTGTTTGTATTTTACAAGGAATTTTCTTTCTGAAAAAATAGGCATGTGTGCCATGATTTTGCATATTACACAATAAAATAAAATGACGTGTCAAAATCCTATTGTTAAAAACTTGTTTTTCTTTTAACTAAAAATTAACATTAGGGGCTGCCACAGCCAAGTTTGATAATTTATTATCAAATACATGGTACTTAGTTTTGCACAAGGTTAGCAAAAATAACTTCATACGCATAGAATAAATAATACTGTTATGGCCACATTGTTAGACCTGTCACGCTTTTTATAATTTATTGTCATCATTCTAGTTGTACACCAAAAATTTGAGCTGCAGAGGGTTGGATAAGTAACCTAATAAATAATCAATTAATTTTACTTTTCCACCAAGGTGCTGGCTCTGTTGGTTCAGGTTCAAGGCTGGTGCTGGCTATGATAGCTTGATTTGCAATCAAATAAAAGCAAACGTTTGCCTTTCCACAGACATGACTTGTAACTTGGCCTGGTGGATGGCAGGTTGCTACTTGTCTCTATGGAGATGTTATTGATTTGCATTACAATAATATAACACTGATCTATATACATAGACCAGAGTTGTTATTGACAATGTTCAAAAACTGGTTTTAAAAGGTGCACTGTGTAACTTTTGGTGGAGGGTTTGTCACCAGCTTCTTTCCATGGAGATGTAGCCTGGAATGGTTCACTGTATAGCATTACACTTATTTATTTCTATGGAGACAGCAGGTAACACCATAGGCCAATTTACAGGTCTGTGGAGAGGCGAGCCCACATACACACACACATAAGTTTTTAAATCAATAAAAACCCATGTTATTGAGTAAATGAAAGTCAGGGACACTTTAGACAATACAACAACATCTCCAAGGAGAAAGGCAGATTGCAGAACCCTCCACCAGAAAAGTTACACAGTGCACCATTAACTTTCCATCTCCGTGAAGTTATGCTGTTGGCATGCCTGCCATCAGAAGTTTTACACAGTGTTACAGTTTCATTCTGCTATTCATTCATGGCAGCTCATGTTTTTAAATAATATTATTAATTTAGAAAAGGCACACTGAGATTATCCTGCTTTAGATTTAGTGTCAGTATTATTGTCATCAAGGTATTTTTTGAATGTAATATATCACACTTTTAAGTGGATTATTGTGACAGGCCTAAACACTGTATTTCTAATTTCTAATATGCAAAAAATTAAATAGAAATTATAAAAATAATTAATGTCTTAAGCAAAGTGCAAACAAATACATCTTACACCAGATTCTTTGTGCCACTGCTACTGCCTTACCTAAGGTTTTGAGGGGCTTCTCCAAAGAGGCTACAGATTTCTCTAATTTGCTTCAAAGCAGGGATCACCCATTTGTCATTGGTTCGTAGTTCTTCTATGAAGCGATCAATCCATTGGATTTTCTGGGTATCTCGGTCCTGATAAGACATGAGATAAAAGAGTCAGCTCATGTGGAGATGCTCTTTGTCCTTTGGAGAGTCAAAGTGATACCTGTGAACAGCTGTAGTCCAGTATCTTGATGTGCGCACTGAGAGCCTGGTCCATGATGTCTACAGGCACATCGTCACTGTGAGCCAGGTTCCACAGCAGGTTTAGAACCTTGTGAGCCATCACCCCATCCTTGTCATCCTCTGCCAAGCGACGAATTAGTTCCAACAATTTCTCACGCTGTTTCTTGCTGGCATTGGTCCAGCTAGCCTGTAAAGAGAATAGTAACAAAAGGTTATGTTGGATTTGTGTCTCTGAAAACACAGAACATACTAAAATATTTTATTCAATTAAAAAATTCAAACCTTAAAGCAGTCGAAAAGATGGTCAAGCTGCTCTGGTGAGAAGTCCCAAGCAAGTTTGGCCAAAAGATCATGAACATTCTTTACTATTGCTTCATGCTTTCCAGCCTGATGGCAACAAAGCAAATTGTTAAGAAACTAGTATTTTTTTTATTGATCGTGAACCATTTAACATCTTAGAATACCTGAGCAGCCCAAATATTGTCCAGATCCTGCATGGTAAGAGCTTTTTCCTTGATAACAAAGCGCAGAATCTTCTCTAGCTTCTCTACATACTGAGGCTGATGTAAACTGTCCCTTAGCACAATTGACAGTATGTGATTTTGTTGGATCCACTCCTGTAAAACAATAAGTGTTTAAAAAAAAAAAAAAAAAAAAGTCAATGCATAGAGAACTACTAAAGGTTTAACTTACTGCCATGCGCTCAGCAGTCAGCCACTCTTCCTCCTCAGGGTTGTGACGATGTGTGTAGTAGGATACACTGGAGATCACCTTATTCACTTCATTTAGTGCATTCATTTTGCCATTAAAAGAAGAAATTTGTAATAACCTAAAAAAAATGAATAATAATGCATGTGTCAAACACACACTGTACATTAAAAGTGAACATCATTTTTAAAATAAAATATGCCACCCATACTAACCTAAGAATCATTTTTAACCTAAAAATCTCTAAATTCTTTACAGTCTCTTCTTGTCCTGGAACACGTGAAGCCAGATTTTTTAAAGACTTGATTATCATTGATAGTGCGTCATTTTTGGCTTCATTTTTGGCCTCTTTCTTCAGCTCCTCATCTGTTAGGTTCTCCAAAAACTGTGGAACCATCTCAATGACTGGAAGGAAGTACTTCTTTACTGTGTGCAATGTGAGAAACTCATAACACTGGCCAAAAGGCCTGGTGGGGGAAAAAAAAGATAGTTAGGAAATAATAATGCATGCACTAAAACACTATTAACTATCATCTTACTTGATAAGTGCAGCTATGATCTGGACGTTCAGTGCTTGTCCACTCATGAAGCGGTCGTGCAATATTTGAAACCCGTTTAACGTCCCAAACTTGTTTATTAAGTCCACCAACCAGCCCTGTAAAAACACAAGGATAATTTTCATCATGCTAGAACTTTAAACAGCTTTTGAATATCTGTGGTCTCATTTATGAATACTGGGACTTCTTTCGCATAGACTGCACCTCCAGCAGGAATCTCTTAACTTGGCTTTTCTGACAAACATATTTCCATGTTATTAAAACACAACAGTTTGAGTAAAGTAGTGCTTAGAAGCGATGGCGTTTAGCCTATAGATCAGGGGTGTCCAAATCTTTTTTTTCACCAGGGGCTGCATATTGCATTATTTTTTTAAGCAGAAAGCCACACTGGTGCTGATACAGTGAGTAATTCACATCCGTGCGCTTTACACAGCTTTGATAGAGCCCCCATAGCTTTAATAAGGCCAAGAACAGTAATTTTAGGTATTGTATTACAAATGCAAGGTGATGCACCCCTGTGTGCATCCCTATTTGAAATGCAGTGGCTAGCAGGTTTGCCATGTCCATTTATACATACACACATATAAGGGAGACACATACCGCCACAGTCCGCTTGGCCCCTCACACACCGTGTGATATGAGGAGAGGCAGGGGACCGCGAGGAGAGGGAACAGCAGAGCCACGCTGCCCTGGTGCTCTGTGCGGAGGGAAGCTGTGGTGATATGTGTGTGGGGCAGAGGAGGGGTAACGGAGCTTTGTTACCGGTCCGCACATATGACAGCAGCGTTGGTTGAATGTTTGCTTTATTAACTTAATGTTCAGTGATTATGGCAGCAGATTTCCTCATATGAAACAAAACAAGTCAGCACGTTGTACGTTACCATGCTTACGTGTGTGGATAGCTTCGAAATGACAAAACATTACATTATAAATACAAACCATTGTGTTTATTCCCCACAGATAGTTGTACTTGGGTGAGCAATATTACTTGATATTTCTTGGAAATATAAAGTAAAGGGATCTATATCCATTGTGCACAAAAACAAACTTCCTCAAACTAGGTCCTTCTCTCGTCTCTGAAAACTACATACGCAAGCCTCAGAGTCTGCAGACAGGACCACATAATCTCACGTTAAGTTGTCTTTTAATAGATCCCAAACTTCAAACGTCGCGTACGTAATGTTTAGACTCAATTTTGTGCTTTATAAATGAGACCAGGTGTGCAGCAGGATCTTTACCTTTGGAGACCTTGGGTCCGGTGGTCGGGCACAGAGCTCGTCATCAGCCAGCTGTGCTCCGGCGGGGACGCTCTCAGAGGGGCGGGTGCCATTGTAAATATGAAACTTGCAGTGAGGGTTGGTGGCCATGGCCAGCAGCTCCAATAAAGGGAACCAGTCCTGAGAGAGCTTGGCTACACACAGTTCGACCAAACGGTGAGTATTGTTGATGATACACCTCTGAAAAACATTAGACACAAATATCACATAATACATTGTAAAACATTTAAAATGTTTTGCAATTAAGGCAATTATTATTATATTGTATTATTATAGTGATTATTATAGTGCATCTAGTGATTAAAATGTTATTATTCAGTTGAATAATAAATAATTTGGTTATAAAAATATTCATAGCATGTTATAAGACTCACATGGATCTCAAACTTCCATCCACTAACTGCTTCATCAGTCAGGATTTTTGTAAAGGAGATGGTGAGACCATCTCGGAAAAACCTCTGACATGCCTCACATTTTACATCCAGTCCTGCAAAAAATAAAACATGATGTTTATTACTGGGGTATTTCTTACACAAGAGGCATGTACCCTTGCTGTTAAAAAAACAGGTTAACATTCTTTGACTATTTCATGATTTTGTGTTGGGTTCCAGAAAAAGAATTTCAGAAGAGGTCAATACTGCTGAATGTATAAAGATTGACTACCTTGACTACCTTAGCCAGATAGATAAGCTGAAGTCATTGAAAGAGCAAAGGTGATTTTCAAGAATCATGTAAATGAACTTTCTTTTCTTTGTAGCAAAAATTACCTTTTTTACTCAGGTCTATAGCAGCTTCCAAGAGGACTTCTAACTCTCCTTTTGGCAAAACTGGGACAACCCAACGGGGCCTTGGGGGGGGAAAAAAACATCAAAGATTTGATTCTGACCGACTTTTGAACTGAAACAATACATATTGTTAGAGTAAACTAATCACTTATGCAACTTATGGTAAAAAACAAACAAAAAACAAGTAAACATTCAGGCACACTGACTTGAATGTAATAGTAATAGCAGCAGTAGCCCAGAATGTGTCTAGTGAGAGGGTATAAGTACCAACCTGTTGATCATGTCATCCAGTTTGGCTAGATCAGTGTGCGGGAAGGCAGGCTCTTCTTCTTCCAGCTGAGGAGGTCCATCACCGGCTCCCTGATCCTCTGGTGGACTCACTGGAGAGTTCTCATTAGACGAGTTAGGAGATGAAGTCTAGAAAATTCACCAATCACACAATCAGTAAATGCCTTTTCTAGTCCAAAAGAGCCGCTTACTACATTTGACAAAACAAAACACATGAAATGAGCTCATGTGTGGCAGCTTAATATTTCATGCATTCATTTTATATTCTAGCATACAATATGAGTAGAGATTATGAAATACATCATGTAGTAACATTCAATATACATAAAATGACACAGGATCTCAAACTTGCATTGGCAAGCTGCCTTTTACAATGTAGGAATACAAATCTCAGAAACAGGGTTAGTGAAAAATGACTACCAACACACTGCAGCCAAATTAAACAGCAAACCTCTAGTTGTACGTGGCCACAGGTAATTTCTAATTCCTAATTCCTAATAGTACAAAATATCGCTACTTGAAGAAAATGACCAATGAATTACAATTAGGGGAAGACCACCCTTGACTTGCTGCTAATCAATGGCCGGGAGACAAGTGTCTAGGAGTGAGCGCATCCTTGGAGGTGTGAACAGATGTGTGTCTGAGACTAATGAAGACACATAGACATAAGAGTATGAATGTGGGGGTGTGTGAAGGCTGACCTACATAGGCAGTTTGCCTCTCACGTCTCACTACAGCTCATCTCTAACCAACGCAGGCCGCTGCACAAAGATACACAAACACCCTTTCTCCAGTCAGGAGGCTCTGTTCATTGATGCCTTGCCTTTACACTCTGCCCCTTTTCCGCTCCCTCCCTCCATCCTTTTCCCTGAGGCATCTTTGTATCGTTAGGTATGAGAAAGACCTGTTAAAATTGCACCATGGCTGAAATGGGACACTGGCTCAAATCAAAACATGCACTGTTAATGACAGTGTAATGCACATCAACACAAACCTGATTCTGTGGCAGCGGAGGCTGGCTCTGAGAATCAGGTGCCTGGCTTTGGCCCTGACTGTCATTGCCCCCCACCGGAGAGCCACGCGTGGTGGCCGTCATGCTCGCCACGGGGCAGATCTTGGCAATCTTGGCCTCTTAGGGAGTGCTGGTCAGGAAGGAAATCACAGCCAACTCAGCTGTACGGCAGAGGGAAGAGAGCCCAAACACGCAGTAGAGGGACACAAGCACCTGGAGATCTGGATGTGCTGCTGCGACCATTGCATAACCTGAGGGGGTAAAAGTTTGAGTTAGAAAAGCTTTAAGAAACAAAAGATAGACAGTTAAATCATATAGAAACCAAAATGTTAATAGAATGATTGACTAATCTTAATCTGGGGTGATGATGATGATAGTTTAGGAACATGCCAAGTATGTAAAGATTGTGTTTTATAATTGTATTCTAGCGTGACAAAAGGATCAAAATAAAATCTGCCATAAAGTAAATGTCAAGGTTATGTTTATAATGAAAAACATAATCTTTCAGAAACATATTACTTGCAACAGCCTCAATAAAACAAAATAGACAAAAATCAAACACCCAGATAAGCAGTTCTATGAAACAATGCTTTTTAGATGTTGGCCTAAGGCGTTTTTATATTTAGACTTTATTCATTGCTTACATTTTTATATGGATCATCTACCACTGGAAAACCTCAAGCTTTACTGGATTCCTATAAACTACCAGAATACTACAAAAATCCAACAAAGCAAATAAGCAATAATAATAGTTAGCAAAAGCAAGCCCTGCCCTGTGTAGTCAGCCATCCGTGACAAGTTCAGTAAAGACACAATTGAAATGCATCTTTGTCTTTTTTAAACTGAGGCTACGAAGAACAAAAGCTATTTCTCTTTTTACAAATGACATTACACTGCTGTCTGTTCATGCTTTCAGAAGCTGCCAGGTACATGTGTCTTGAATATTTCATTGTGTGAATATTTCATTTATATATGAAAACACATACAACATTACATTTTAAATTAAAGTTGATTTCTTATACAAAAAGGTGACAACCACATACATTTACACGATACTACATGAGCATATATAGTACATGAGGTACAATTTGTGTGATATCAGTTGAAATGAACTTGGTAAGTTCCACTCATAATGAAATGTACAATAAGAAATAAACCATGTTTTAAAGTGTGTTGTGTGGTGTAATTTGAAAATCAAATATTTTTAAGAGAGTTCCACCAAAACTAGACTCTAGAAGAAGCTCATCTAACATTTATGCATCAGGAAGAGCTCTACAATTCTGAGAGATAAAAAAGTATTACATCTGTTTCTTACATCAGCTCAAAAACACTTTGAAAAGCATGCATACAGTTTAGTGAGCAAGGCCACTTGTAAATCTGTCACTTACTGTCACCTGCCTGTCTCCATGTTGCTTGTCTAAAGTTTAATGCCATATTGTGGATCGTTCTAAGCAAAGCAATATAATTTCCATGACAACAAGCAGCTGGTAGAACCCGCCACCAGAAAAAGTTGCAGAGTGCATCTTTAAAAATCCACTCTTGTTCCACTTGGTGAACAATTAATAACTGTCTTTTGACAAGAATCCTGTTGACGCGTCCAGTCTCTATTCCTTTTTTTTCTATGACATTGTACAGACAAAGCAGAGGCTGTTTACGTTTAAACCGCTTTCTTTTATAACTGAGCGTTATGTGCCTTTGCTTTGCGGCTCTACGAGAACGGGATTTACATAGTTATGTACGTCTATTGTGAGTCGATTGAAATCAATGATTCTGGTTAAAACTGAAAGAATACATATGTAAAAATATGTATTTGTATTTGAAAAATATTAACCGTAGACTAGTGGACTCGGTACGTCTGATATGGAGTAATAAAGTGTGGTTAACAGCTGGGATAGCATGTTATCGCCAGGTTTGTAGCTGCGGCACTAGCGCTGGCTTCAGCTGCAAAGTGATCCGCCCAGAGCCGTGAAGGCCTCGTCCATATCCACTGCGCTGAGGCAGGCCTCATTATTCTCAGGCCTCCAACCTACACAACACAGCTCACGCTTTGGCAGCAGAGACATGCTGTTAAAGTGTTATTAAATGCTTATCATCCATGTAAATGTTACAGGATATGTCAAAGTATATCATTATTATCAGAGCATCAGTCACGCCAACTAAAGGCAGTCTTGACAGTAATGCTACCGGTTAGCTCGGTTCGAGTTAAACGGTAAAGTCAGTTTAGCTAACGTTACATGGCGTGTCGGGCAAACCTAACGACCAACAAGTTACCCGACACTAGATACAAGGACTAATGTACGGCTTTTAATGTTCATGAAACCCATTCGTTTGCTTTCGATTTTATTTGGCGTTAACATTCAATGTTAGTGACTGTGGCATCGTCTATTTCCTGAAATTGTAGAGTGCTCTGACCTGTATCTTCCAATACCAAGTTATAGCTCTAATAAAACTAAATGGAAATACAGTCTGTGTTTAATACGAAATTATACTCACAGATAACTCTGATTAACAGGCACCTCTTATGATATAAATGTCAAATGGTCCGTCTTAAATAATGTGAGTACATAACGTTACGCTATTTGTAAACATAGTACGTTTAAAAGGAATCCAACATTGTCAGTCATTAGACAGTGCCCAGGAATGACTGCGGAAGGCTAGTGCTAACTCTGCTTCAGTGAGACTGGCAGGCAGGTTAGATGTTTACAGCGTACATGGCTCCAAGCACTTTGACATTAAAACTGATTCAAACACTAGATGCAAAGAATGGTAAAGATTGCCGGACAAGTCACGAAAACCATATCAAAAGAGTAATAGCACACCATATCACCAACCACCAGCTGACGCTATTAGCACTAGCCGGCTAACAACCAGTAAGCGCCGAGCTAGCGATGGTTAGCAGCAACTCACCAGGAATTTGATATGACTTCCTCTCTATTCACGGGCTATGGCCAGCCTTGAACGATGGTGCCGTCGAATATTACATAAACGTGGCCTATATCGGTGACAGCTGCACAGGACACAGACGAGTAACGACAATGGTCTAATTCCTACGATTTCTCCTGCTTCTGGGTGTTTTTCCTGCGTCACCGGCGCGGTTTCAGCCCCCTAACTCTATCTAGTCCGATTTCTGGGGCTTGTCACTTCGGTCCTAGCAGTCACTCACAACTTGAATCAGTTCAACATGGCGGAAGGAAGCGCAGTCTGACACAAATACAGCTTCACATGACAAGCCAAAGAACACCGTGAACCGGGCGGTGCAGCCGTGTTAGTAAGCGAGTTTGCAGCGCAGCCCAACAGCCATCACCAAGTACAACACCGCTGTATGAAAAGGGCAGCAAACCCGTGTCGTATTCAGAATTATAACTCCAGCTCCAAAAACGGTCAGCCAGTCCGTAGATTACTTATCGCCGATACAGCTACGAACCGAAAGACACTCGACTATATCGCCACCTACCGCACCGGGTGTGTAGTGAGTGATACTTCATATTATGTGTAACAAGACTGTCTTAAAGGTGCACTAGAACTTCTAATGGGGGGTTTCCCATTAGAAAAGTTACACTACTTGCTTGTATTCATAAGATGTTAATGCTTTACCTAGAATAGGTATGTCCAAACTATGGCACGGGGGCCAAATGCAGTCCTCAGACCATTTTTTTGGCCTCCAGTTGAATATGCCTATATTACTGTGACTTTTTACTGCAAGGTTTTTGAAAATCTACCCGGATAAAGCAAAATAAATAATAAAATATTAACAATAAATGAAATATTTAGTGTGTCCTATTGAGGGTCTAAGATTGAGTAAAGGTCTGGTGGCTCATGTTAATCTGGTATAAATGCACATACGTATTTCAGTTATTCACTGTACTGACACCAGTCTATGGCCCTCCATCAGCCCTCCGCTTTGTCTGTGTTTTGATATGCAGCCCTTGATGAAAAAAAGTTTGGACACCTGCACCTCTGACCTAGAATGTATCTCCAAGACAACACCACTAGGCCAAAGTTACATCTGTGAGGCAACTCACAGTAACTCTTAATGTGGCTGATTGAGTTTGGCATGTATTTACACCTACTGTGACATACTGTGATGTGTTTTTGGCCAAGGCAGCTTTGTTTCATGGGTTCAGTAATAACACATCACTTTCCAGAAAACCGCTCTGGGTTAGTGTAGCAGTGCGGTTTTCAAGTCATTAATGCAATAAAAAGAAAGCTGTGGAATATTCTAGGCAGCACCATCTCCAGATGGCTGCCTCCATCAGAAATATTAATATTAATTAAGTAACAAAGAGTAGTCAAAGTGTCCAACTGTGACAAAAGCTTGCCTATCTATCTATCTATCTATCTATCTATCTATCTATCTATCTATCTATCTATCTATCTATCTATCTATCTATCTCTCTCTATATATATATATATATTATATCTATCTATATATATATATATATATAATTTATACACGAGCATTTATGGGGTCCAGTTTAGGTCTTGGATTTTAAACAAAAAGGTGAGTGAATAACTGAACAACTGTTGGCTTATACTAGCTAGCTTGTGAATGTTATTTGAGAGGGACTCGTTTTTAACAGCATAAATTACCTCACCTGTTGTAGTTCCAGCTAACTCAGTTCTTTATGGTTAGACTATGTTAAAACAATCTCAGATTAAAGTCTAACTAACACAGCAGTGCCTACGGTTAGCATCACACTCCCAGGGAAGGCTGCTGACATCAGCTGCAAAGGATCAACATAAATGATTTGATTTACGCTTGTTGCAACCTACATAACCCTTGAGAGTGGATTTTTGTATTTTCGGTCAATTCTAAGAAAGTGGAATATTGTTTTCTATTTGTATTTTTACACACAGTCGGTCCTCTCCAGGTTCCCCCCGGGTTTTCCTTTTTTCTCTCTTCAGCGTAATCGATGCGATGCCAGCAAAGATGGCGGCAAAGCGGCGATGAGTGCTTCATCTTAATGTGTTATAGTTTCGTATTTACTGATTTTTCTTTGCTGAAATCAAATTGTCGCTTTTAAGTTTGATCAGTTAAAATGTGGAGAGTCTGAAAAGTGCGGTGACCTTTGTTTTTACGGCTCATATATTTGTTGTGGCGTCGGGTGTGCATCGCAGGATCTTCTTTGTAAAATGGCCCCAGTGCAGATCGGGTCAGACGGGCAGCTTGTCCCGTTTGGGGGCCCGGTAGTTTCAGGTCCTCAGCAGCCACCACCCGGGGCACCGGCTGCGCAAGGGGTACGGCTGAGTATGCTCATCGACTTTCTGCTCCAGAGAACCTACCATGAAATCACCCTGCTGGCGGAGCTGTGAGTACTGTTTAGCGTCGGGCCCATGGGCTAGTGATAATAGCACACACTAGCGGGACTGGTCGAAAGCCAAAGTTTTTATATAAAATTTTAACATAAGTCTCTATAGGGACTCTAAATTATACGATTATCAGTGCCATCCTAAATTTTACTACTAAACTAAATAAATAAATATAGTAGGAAAAAAACTGAGGCACTCAAAAAGTACAGCCCTTCGGCCTTCATCAGGGCAAAACTGTTCAGTTTTGATAATTGAGGTAGATAATTGAGAGTTATTTAAGGGTAATTGTTATATTATTGGATTCAATATTAATCTTATTCATTTTTTGACTCTAGAAAAATAGAAATTGTACAATTTGCTAGCCGAACAAGACAACTGTTTGTGAGGCTCCTGGCACTTGTGAAATGGGCCAGCAATGCTGGAAAAGTTGAAAAATGTGCTGTAAGTTATGTGATATTATGTTTCATTTATCTTATTTAAAATTATGATACATACGCGTTGGCGTATTTTAACTTTATCTGCCATGTGGTATTAAAGGCTTTTAATTATTTTGTACTTTTTGAGTGCCTCAGTTTTTTTTCCCACTTTGTATTTGAGACTGGTCCCTACACTGAAGAGCACCAAAAGGACAATTCTGCACATTTTTTGCATATCCAAGTAGCACTCCTGCCTCCAAAGCCTTGCAAATAAATATAGTAATCTGTAAGGGGGCCGGACCAACACACCTATCACTGTTTGACTTCAGGACCCGTGCTTCAAGGATTTTTAATATAATGTTAATAATTATATTGTGACCGTATGAAGTGTTTCTGCAGTGATAGTTATTCATTAATTAAAAGTTTTTTGTTTTTTTTCCTGCAGATTACCCAGAAAAACCGACATGGAAAGGTAGATAATTGAGAGTTATTTAAGGGTAATTGTTATATTATTGGATTCAATATTAATCTTATTCATTTTTTGACTCTAGAAAAATAGAAATTGTACAATTTGCTAGCCGAACAAGACAACTGTTTGTGAGGCTCCTGGCACTTGTGAAATGGGCCAGCAATGCTGGAAAAGTTGAAAAATGTGCTGTAAGTTATGTGATATTATGTTTCATTTATCTTATTTAAAATGATGATACATATTTTCTTAACTGAACAACTGATCGACTTTAATCTTCCTGTTTAGATGATCTCCAGTTTTTTGGACCAGCAGACTATTTTGTTTGTTGATACAGCAGACCGGTTGGCATCATTAGCCAGAGATGCTCTGGTACATGCTCGTTTACCCAGCTTTGCTATTCCTTTTGCAATAGATGTTCTGACCACAGGATCATACCCACGCCTACCTACATGCATTCGGGTAAGTGTCACTGGTTTATAATTTGTTGTTATTTCTGAGTCAACTTTTATCAATATAATTTGATTCTGTTCTTTTCAGGATAAAATAATTCCTCCAGATCCAATAACCAAGACAGAAAAGCAGACAACCCTAAACCAACTTAATCAGATATTACGACACCGCCTTGTCACCACAGATCTACCTCCACAGCTAGCCAACCTTACTGTTGGTAAGAAACTTGATTAATACTTTAGTCAAAATATGTGTTCGTATGTAGTAGCATGCAGCTTGTGATTGTTTTCTTTATTTTTTTCTTTATTTATCTAGCAAATGGACGGGTGAAATTTCGTGTCGAAGGAGAGTTTGAGGCCACTCTGACTGTGATGGGAGATGATCCAGATATTCCTTGGCGACTGCTGAAACTAGACATTTTGGTTGAAGATAAGGAAACTGGAGGTGAAATTATATCTTGGATGTCAAGTTGTATAAATCCAAAGACAACAATTTACATTAATCTGTTCTTTTTGCTGACAGATGGTCGAGCCTTGGTACATAGTTTACAGGTGAACTTCATCCATGAGCTGGTACAAGCACGCCTGTGTGCAGATGAGAAACCTCTTCAGGACATGTACAACTGTTTGCGTATCCTTTTTGCATACATACACAGAAGTCATTTTCAGTAGATTCTTTCTTTGGCTTTTTGGCATTTGTCCCAGACCCATTCAAATATTTAAATGTTCCTCATTACACAGATGCTAATATTAAAGCCACGCTGCCAGGGCAGATCAAGTAGTTTCACTATATAGGAACTGGGAGATTTTATGGACTTAGGTCTCTGTACTGTAGTGTGAATAGAACATAGAACATTGACTGGCAAAAGAAAAGAAATGCTTGACATCTCTCAGTGAGAGGACAGCTGAAAAACTGCAGCTGTTCTGCACCTCTTTTAACATTATTGAAAAAAAAAAGTTTCCCTGTGAAAGGAAATATAGTGACTTAACTAGTAAAAACTTAAAAATATAAGATCAAAGAGGTTAATGTTGCTTTAAGTTAAGTAGACGGTCAATGCAAATCCGTACATCTCTTCTATACCCTTTCAGAATTAGAACTAGCATTGCTTGTGGTGTCAAAGAGCAGTTTGTTGTAAGAACAAATGCTCCATTTACCCACACAGCGTGTGGTAAGGATATGTCCCTGTTGAATACTAACGAAAAGGTTTAATTAAATGTTATAATGGATAGTTTCTGTGCGATTGTATATTTTCTTTAACAATATCCTCTAGACTCTTTCTGTCTATCGCTGCAGCTTGAGGTGCTGCACTCTCAAACTCTGATGCTGATCAGAGAAAGATGGGGAGACCTGGTCCAAGAGGAAAAATATGTGCCAGCAAAATTCCTTACCCTTTCTGTTTGGAAGTAAGTGTTGAAATTGCATTCATTGAAGCACACTGTTTCAAAAGGTAAGAACCAATAATTAAATATTTATAAAACATATGCATATTTGTACAGCCAACAGGTTCTGGGTAGAAAAACTGGAACAGCATCTGTTCATAAAGTCACAATAAGGATAGATGAAACTGATGGATCAAAGCCACTGCAAATATCTCATGAGCCATCACTTCCAGCCTGTGATCCAAAGTTAATGGAAAGAGCTATGAAGGTGAGCAGAAATGATAAAAAAAAAAAAAAATAAATAAATAAATAGAAAGCAAATTAAGCACGCACATACACGCACATGCATGCACGCACATGCAAATTAAGCACGCACATACACGCACATGCATACACGCAAATGCATACACGCACATGCATACACGCACATGCATACACGCGCATGCACGCACATACATGCACGCACATTCATGCACATTCATTAAATGGCACTACTTTATTTATTCATTTTGATTTGCTTTAGATTGATCATCTGTCAGTGGAGAAACTTCTTATTGACAGTGTCCATGCCAGGTCACATCAAAAGTTACAGGAACTTAAGGCAATCCTCAAGGCTAATAACCCTTGTGACAACTGTATGTAAACCATGTAGATTCATTATGTTAAAATGATTTGGATTTAAAAAAAAGTAATTGTTGTTTCTGTTTTAGCGTTCATTGAAACTGCTTTACCCACATTAGTAATTCCTATTCTGGAGCCCTGTGGTCGCTCCGAGTGCCTTCACATTTTTGTTGACTTGCATTCCGGCATGTTCCAGCCAATGCTGTATGGACTGGGTAAATAAGCAACACAATTATTAATATATATAAATTAATTTGTTCCCCTTTTCTAACTTGGTTCTTTTATTTCAGATCAGTCCATACTTGATGACATTGAAAAAAACATCAATGATGATATGAAGCGTGTCACATCTTGGCTGCAACAACTGAAGTAATCAATTCCTACTTGAAATATTCACCTTTGTAATGAGCTGTGGGGTGGAACCCTTTTTAAATTATGTTTTCTGATTAGATTCTGGTTAGGTGAGCAGCGTTGTCGTCAGTCTGTGAAGCATCTCCCCACTGTGTGTACAGATGTTCTACACCTCTCAAATTCATCCTCTCATCCTGTTGGAGACTTGTCCAAACACAAACTATTCATCAAACTGACACGACTGCCGCAATACTACATAGTATGTATTGTATATTTAAAAATTTATATACCCTTGCTCACTGACTGATCCACTACATAAAATTGTTATGACTTTTTATTTAGGTGGTTGAAATGAATGAAGTACAAAGCAATCCTACTTCATTGCAGTACAAATACTCTATACTGTCAGTAACTCAGTTAGAGGGAGATGATGGACCTTTGTGTGCACAGCTACTGCAGCATTTCAAACCTAATCTTGAACACCTCGTTCAGGACATCACAACAGGGAAAGGAGCCAGACTGGGCAGTAAAAGAAAAGTAAGTAATCTTGATGTACCATAATTGCATTCACTGCTTTTTATACAAATATGTAATTGTTAGTTACAAAAATAAAACACTACAGGATGTCAACAGTGAATCCAAATAGAAACTTAAAAATTAATGTTTTTGATTAGTTGCCTCCAGACCAAGGAGATTCCGAGCCCAAAAAGCCCAAACGATCTGGGGAAATGAGTGCCTTTAACAAAGAACTGGCGCATCTAGTGGCTATGTGTGACACCAACATGCCATTTATTGGACTAAGGACCGAAGTATGTTTCCATATGTTGATACTTTGCATTTTCTTGCTGAGAGGAAAATCATACAATTTTCACCTCTATCACTACTTGTCCCAACAATCTTTTATCTGTCTGGTTCTTTGGTAGCTGTCCAATATGGAGATTCCAAACCAGGGTGTCCAAGTAGAGGGAGATGGGAGCAGTCACGCAATACGACTATTAAAGTAAGCCTTTTATTCACTTGTTTACATGATATGAAATGTATCAAATATAGTATATTTGCTTTGCTCACATGTCAATGCAACTTCACAGAATACCTTCTTGTAATGGTGTGGGTGAGGAGACGAGAAGAGCTCTAGAGCGCTCCCTGCTGGATTGCACATTTCGCCTCCAGGGCAGGAATAACAGAACCTGGGTGGCTGAATTGATCTTGGCTAATTGTCCTCTTAACAGTACGCAGTGCAAAGAACAAGGTAGTGATGCCAATGTTAATTTTTGCTAATTTCAGTGGTCGTGTTGAGTTGAAAGCAGATTGGCCTTGACAAAAAAAAATGTATCCTCTCATATAGCTTCCACCAGGCATGTGTACCTGACCTTCGAAAACCCTCTGTCAGAGCCAGTTGGTGGGCGGAAAGTGGTGGAGATGTTCCTCAATGACTGGAATGCTATCAGTCAACTATATCAATGTGTCCTCAACTTCTCAAGAGCACTGCCTGGTATCTATATTTTAAATTACATTTGACCACGATGTTTACATTGATACTGATTTATACATTTTTCCCTCAATTTTTCTCTTCCAGAAATGCCACCATATCTCAATATGTTCTCAGAAGTACGCCTGTATAATTACCGTAAACTGGTGCTTTGCTATGGAAGCACTAAGGGGAGCTCAGTTACCATTCAATGGAACTCAAACAGCCACCGATTTCACCTGTCTCTGGGAACTGTGGGTCCTAATTCTGGCTGTTCAAACTGTCACAATATCATTCTCCACCAACTACAAGAGATGTTCAATAAAAATCCAAATGTGATGCAGCTTCTACAGGTACAATGTTTAAACAATGTTCAAACAGACTAGGCATATGCTCTGTGGCAACATCATGTGTTTTGTTTTCCAGGTCCTTCATGACACACTAGGTCCCCTGAATGCAATAAACAAACTACCAACAGTTCCCATGCTTGGCCTAACCCAGCGCACAAACACTGCCTACCAGTGCTTCTCTATTTTGCCCCAATCTCCTACACACATCCGCCTGGCATTTAGAAATATGTACTGCATTGACATCTACTGCCGCAGTCGTGGTGTTGTGGCCATTAGGGATGGAGCCTATAGCCTTTTTGACAACACTAAAATTGTAGAAGGATTCTATCCTGCTCCAGGTCTCAAGGTAACAACTCCTACTACTTTAAATACTACTACGATTTTAATACATAATATCTGAATTTACAAATGTTTTTTTTTTTCCTCCCAAGACGTTTTTGAACATGTTTGTAGACAGTAACCAAGATGCCCGCAGACGTTCAGTCAATGAAGATGATAACCCTCCCTCTCCAGTTGGACCAGATGTCATGGAGACTTTAATGAACCAGTTCCAGCCACAGCCACAAACCATGAGGCCAGCACCAGGAGGCGTATATCCGTCCCTCACATCACCTCCTCCAAATTACCACACCAATGTCACTCCGTCTCCATCCATGATGCCCACTCAATCCCCAGGTATGAATATGTCCAGTAGGCTAATGTGCTTGTCATGTCAGATTGTCCATAAAACATCTAAAGTATCATTTCTGTAATATTGATTTTTACTTTTCATACTCATGTTTGACTTTTGGCGTGAGGAAAAGCAACCACGTGTGCCCATTTTTATTTTTGTGCCCTCTTTGTTTCTCAAATTTTGCTTTTTTTTTCCATCCAGCCATGAAATCTGTTCTTCCAACCATCTTTAGCATGTTAACCTGTCTGTGTGATACTCTGCATGAGTGCATAGAAAACTGATGAGTCCTTTGGTGTGTGTGTGTGTGTGTGCGCGCACAGGGAACATCCATGCTTCTGGCTCCCCTAGTGGGGCTCTTAGGGCACCCTCTCCTTTTGGACCTACCCCCTCTCCATCCTCTCTTGGCATAGCCATGGGCCAGACCAGCTTTGCCAGTCCCCACGGTAAGCAAGGACGTCTAAACCCTGGTCTGGTGTTGATTCTGGTCTGTGTTTTGGAGCAATGGCTGTCAAAGGGCATTTTCTAAATAATCAGTAAAATAAAAATAATAAAGTGGGCACACTGTGGTGTATTGATTAGCTTAAAAACGTTGTCACTAAAATGGATTTAATGTATATGTTTATTTGTAGGTACTCTAGATCCCAGCTCGCCATATCCAATGGTGTCTCCCAGCCCTAGAGGTCAGTGGCCTGGCTCACCCCAGGTCTCGGGGCCTTCTCCTGGTGCCCGAATTCCTGGCATGTCCCCTGGTAACCCATCACTGCACTCTCCAATTCCTGATCCTCATTCTCCACGTGCTGGTACAAGTAAGCATTAAGGATATTTGAAAGGTAACATTAATAAGAATACAACAATGTTTTCCTTATGCAAGCTTTCTCCTCTGCTTTAGGTTCCCAGATAATGCCTTCAAGTATGCCGCCTCCACGCACTCTACCTCAGCGCCCCTGGGCTGCCTCCATACCCACTATCCTCACCCACAACGCCTTGCATGTGCTCCTACTCCCATCGCCCACTCCCTGCCTAGTGCCCGGCCTGGCAGGAAGCTACCTCTGCTCCCCTCTGGAGCGCTTCCTAGGTTCAGTCATCATGAGACGACACCTACAGAGAATAATTCAGCAAGAACCCAATGTAGGTTGAACATTAAGTCAAGATTAAGTCAAGATTTCTGCTATCTATTTTTTACTCACTGCTGTAATTGATCTTCTAGTTAACCATTGTAAACTCCAATGAGCCTGGAGTCATCATGTTCAAGACAGATGTGCTGAAGTGTCGTGTGGCTCTAAATCCTAAGAATTACCAGACATTACAATTGAAAGTCACCCCAGAAAATGCTGGTCCCTGGTCCCAAGAAGAGCTTCAGGTGTTGGAGAAGTTCTTTGAGACAAGGGTTAGTGTAATAATTGCAAATTGTCTTGCTCCATGTGTACATAGTATGTATTGTTTTTAATATTCATGTTTGAGTAAAACTGTAAGAACCGGGCAACATTTGCTAAAACTTTTAGTTTATTCTAATTTTCAGTTTCTTTTTTCAGGTTGCCGGACCTCCCTTTAAATACAACACACTGAATGCCTTCACAAAGCTTCTTGGTGCTCCTACACATATTCTTAGAGACTGTGTTCGCATCATGAAGCATGAACTGGTACATTATTTTGCATTGACTTTCATTACTCTTGGCTGCAATACACACTGTATAAAAACAACAAAACAACTGCATAAAAAAGTTCAATATTGTTTATGTTCATGCAGTTCCCAGACCAAGCCAACCAGTTAAAATGGAATGTCCAGTTTTGTCTCACCATCCCACCAAGTGCTCCCCCCATTGCTCCACCGGGAACCATTGCTGTGGTCCTCAAGTCCAAAATGCTTTTCTTTGTAAGTCCTTGAAATGCTTCAACTGTATCATCGTGCAGATTTATATATTTTGTCACACCTGATGATTTCTCTTTGTTTTCAGTTACAGCTTACCCAGCGTATTCCACTGGCCCAGGACCCAGTGAGCATCATTGTGCCTATAGTTTACGACATGGCCACCGGTCTCACTCAGCAGGCGGACATCCCCAGACAACACAGTTCATCTGGAGCTGCAGCACTCATGGTCTCAAATATTCTGAAGAGGTTCAACGAGATGCATTCTGCCAGACAAGGTAAACCTTTCACCTGTTTAAATAATAATTCATGTAATAATAAAACAGTCAAAAAGATTAACCTTGCTTTTCTGTATTCTTCAGGGGAGTGCACAATATTTTCTTCTGTCCATGAGCTGATGGCCACCCTCACGTTACCTCCTGGCACTCGGTAGATTGCATGGAATGTCTGAATAGTGTCTAATCCAAAAAATTGTGAGGAAACCTGTTATTTTCAGTTTTACAGTTTCTGTAATGAAACAGTAAATACAATGAATTGTCTTGTTTCAAGTTTAGTTTTTTATATCAAACAAAATCTCAGAGGATAAGCATTTGATGCAAGATATTTTCACCCCAGGTGCACTGTAAACAGAAAAAAATATGTATTGAATTGAGGTTGTTTACAAAATATGTACATTATTGTATATTTGAGAATGAGATTTTGCTAGAAAACTTGTCATTAATGTTTTTTATCAGACAGACTAGGACCAGGATATATTTGTAAATCCACCCTACACTATTTAAATGTCTTTACCCCCTGCGTCTGTCTTTTAATTTGAGGCTTAAGTGTGGCAGAAAAATATTGTATTTTATTACATTGTTTTGAACTGCTTATAAAAATATCTTGTACAAAATGTAATAAATAAAACCCGGAGTTGGTTTGTTCTTCCAGTGTTGTACTGTTCAGCTACATCCACACCTACTGATGGCGCGATCCTGCGCTCTGAAACAATGACATCATCTGCTTCTCCGCCGGTCTGTAGAGAGAGGGGCGTCCACTGAGCGTCTGTTTTGCAGACAAGGCGTCGGCTTTGAATTATTTTGCTACGGATTCAACGTTCTTACGGATGCATGGCATATTTTTTATATGTTTTACGTTATGCATAGCGTGAACAACCATCTATACAAGCGCCCGAGTAGACGAAACGGGTTCAGCAAACGAAGCACGCGAGATGCCATGGACAGGATCAATAACATGCGCTAATAGCTATTCGCCAGCCGTAGCTATAAAACAGGTTTTAATAAAATTCATGGCTTTTTTGTACATTGATTTTATAAATGAAAAACTTTGCCAGCTATAATGGCAGTAAGTGCGTCGGATCCGCTGATCAACCCTTGTGTTTACCATGAGGCGTTTAAAGGTAAGAGTAATTCAGAAATTCATGTGCAGTCCAGCCTAGCCCTTGCATAAACTGTGTCCTGTTTCCGAAAACGATCATCAGTTTAAATGGCATGGCGCATTCCAACTCTAGTTTGTCCCAGTCCACACCCACAGTGCTGCCCTACTTTATTGTATGTTTGCCATGTTGTCTGTCTGCTGACTGTCCAGTGGAGCTACAGGTGAAGCGCCCACTCATGCCGATCCAGTTGAGCCCGGAGCAGGTGGGGCTGGAGATGCTGTGTCTCTGCGGACAGCTAGACCTCCTCATCAGAGCGCAGACTCAGCAGGTGGGCTACATCATTGGAGTTTAACCACTGCAGCCTTCTTATGAATCACAATGCTGACAAGTATAGGCTAAAAAATTTGTGCTGGTTTGCCTGGTAGTCTGTAAATGAACCTTATATATTTATCAGTTTCAGGACCAGTTGGTGGCTGGCTGTAGTCCAGAAGAATCAGACACTTTTCAGAGTCAAGGTACTATCCTAACCTATAGTTGCAGTGGTATGTTTATGCATCTTTATAGTAGCCTCTTTGGTTTAACATTTTTGAAGGATCAGAGATTCTTGATCAGATGCTTCAGTGCCTTGAACATCTACCAAAGCCTATGCCACAGCTTGAGGTAGTTTACGAATCTTCCTATCTCTGTTATTTTCATGAATAAAAACATAAACGTCATTGTCTGTCATTTCCGTAGGATTACTTGGATATGATTGGCCTGTCAGCAATGTTTCCACGTGTAGAGGTTTTCTTGATTCAAGGCAGCCCTGTTGAGATGCTGGAGAGGCCACTCATGGATGGTATGTTTTGCAGCATCAAGCAGTATACTGAGCCCTATACTATAGTTTTATCTTTTATCTAGTTTATCTAACTTACTTTTTAAATTGTAGATTATTTTTCTCATATTGCCAAATTGAATCAACTGTTAGTGCTAAGTCAGCAGCTTGAAGAGGACATCAACCACCTTGGCAGTCATAAATACATTGCTCACCAGCTCTCAGTTATATATGTAAGTCGGATTTCATAACTTTATTTGGTGTTTTTCCCTTCGGTGTCAAAGCAATAATCACTGTGTCTGTTTTCAGCAAGTAATCAGTTCTTTTAGAGGAATCAAAGTGTTTTCTGAGATAAAGAAGGAGATTGAAGCCAATTTCAAACAGCTAAAGCAGTCACTGGTAGCAGAGGAAGGTTCTAGGCACGAACCTCAGCTGTCTGCTCAATACGTTTCTTGGTAAGTCGGTTACTTTATGTTTGAACCAATCAAATAAGACCACTGACAGATGAAATTACACTAAACATTTAATCATAGTGGCAGTAAGTCCTTCAAGTGTAGCCTTATGGATCTGAAGTTCGAAATAGATTTTTAAAATTGGGCCAGAGGAAACTAGCTTTTGTCAGGTTCCACTGTAACCCTGATTCAGATACAGTAGGTGGCATACACGGGTTTGCTTATTCTGCAGGTATGTAATGTGTACCTGATTTATTGAACACATTTCATTTAGTAATAATCATAATCATAATTGTATGCTGTACTGTTGTCTTAAATTAAGTGATTTTAATTGCTTGATCTGTTTAGGATACTAGAAATGACTCAGAACATAACATCAGTGGTGTTGTCGCTGCCAGAAGAGCTGACTGAGGACCTTCATCCAGCTCTCACTTTCATGGCCCAGTTCTTGTCCTGACCCCTGAAGTGTTAGTCATGAACAATAATATAAACCCATAAAAGGTGCTACACATTTTCATCAAATGTACAAGGATTACATGTGTTTTGTTTGTCTTGAATATGAAGGTATGGGTATGAATGTTCTTGCACTATAGTAATTTTCAATTAAAGAAGTAATAAAAAATATGAACATTCAATAGGCTATATGTATGTTGATCCATCATATTGAAAACAATGCTATTTTTTATGTGAGGTGAAAGAGATTGTGGTGTGAATGAAGGAGATGGATTTAGGCACACTAATGGAACAAGTGAATTATAGTATTTAACTATGCATATTCTGTACATATAATATGATTTATTTCTGATTATTTTCCAAGAGTACAGAATTTTAAAATGATTAGTAACCTCGCACTCACATGGTTGGTACCCCATAATGAAAAGCAGTTTTTTAAACGTGTTAAATAAATAAACAGTGCAACAGCGCTCCCTGGCGTTCAATCAGCGGCACACGCACTGTGGCTGAGGTATGCCTCCAGAAACCGGACGGCGCGCGTGTCTGCATCAGCCGCGAGAGGTGGGTCAGAACCAGGAGTGACACATCCAGAGACAAATCAAATGCTTACATTTTATTTCTCATCCAATCATGGAGGGTTAGGCTGTCCAGAAGCTTGAATATGAGAGCTACAGTAAAGAAGGAAATATATCCATGAAAACATTGCACTTATTTTGCTCTGACATCCTTTACATGATAGATTGCGCATCCTTAGAAACAACAGGAGAATGAATAAACTTAAAGAGGTAAGATTGAAAAGTTTTGTCTCACCTGTGAATCAGTCACATTGTAATACACATAGCTACTTTCCTTTGGAGAATATGAGGGCACAGGAGAGCCTCTCACCTGAGTTTAACTCCATGGGCCAAAGGTTGTTAGTTTTGAGCTGTCAAAGTGTCCCTAGGCAAACCTGGGGGTACTAGCAGCTCCTCCCAGTGGAGAGGCATGTAAAATAGAATGCGTAATGTGTAGGATATAAGTCCCGGTCCTTTATTTTTATGAGGGGGTTTCTTTGTTGTTGTCTTAAAATCTGGCAAACATTACACATGCGTCGTGCGTTCATTTAAAGATAACCAACTCTACAGTGTCAAAATAAAGTCAACTGTTGTTTTTGCTGGATGAATACAGAACTCTTTAAACGTGCTCGTTCTAAATATATCAATGAATGTTCATGCATCTTTTTTGATTAGATTAAACCTGGATTACCTTTACAAATGTCTAGTCACGCCCTTAATTCATGTATAAAGGTCTGAGGAGGATATGATACAAGATCCAAAAACTTCAGCTGCTACCAGGCTCACTGAGCAAAGGTAGGAGTTGCTCATTATTCTGTTAAGGATTGTTTGTATGATGTGTGACTTAACAATATTGTGATAATTTCTTGTTTGTAGTAAAACATCTTGTGACAGAGAAAATACTAGTTGTGCCACACCTCAGTCCGAGGATGACTCTGGGAATGAAAACAAACAGAAGAATGTGGTAAGTGCAGAATATTGCTATACACTATTTCACTATAAATGACACTGATGCTAAAATGTGTCAACACGCCAGCCACAGAAAAGAAGAAAAAGAGCACAGACCACTCCTAAAAGTAGTAAAGGTCAAAACACCAAAGCAGATCGGGGCAGTGGAAGCCGAGCAGGGGGTAGCCGTGACAAACAAGATGATGGGGAGGCGGTGACCCTCTTTGAGGTGATAAGCATGGGCCGCAGTGCCATGAAGGTATGGAAGTTAAATTTTTGTGTACTTTGACTTCATCGTACCGGACCCTAGTGGACACAATGCACGTCACAGCCATCAAATCTACAAACTTTGGAGTTTTTGCTTCCCCTTTAAAGTAGAAGACTGTTACTTTCTCTCATATTTTAATTGAAGCTATACATTTTGCTCTTTATTATTATTCATGTTTCCTTCTCTTAACTTGTTGTGTTGTGTTGCCAGGCTGTGATAGACGACTGGATTGAAGCCTATGAAAAGGAAAGAGACCCCTCCATTTTGGATCTAATTAGTTTCTTTATTCAGTGCTGTGGCTGTAAAGGTCAGTGTCATAATAATGGCTATATCGACTTATTATTCAATATATGAAAACTAACAATATATTTTGGGACTCAATATAGTCATGTGTTTGTTTTCTTTGTCAGTTTTTTGTAGATTTGGGGTATTCTGTAATACAATAAGATATGAGCTGGAGAGGATTGAATAAGTCACTTATATGGCTAATTATTTGTTCCATATGCTATTTATTTGTTGCAGACCTTTTAATGATACTGTCTACTTAAAAATGGTTTCCTATGATTATGTTGTGTTATTGTTATTGTGCCACTGGTATAAAGAAGTTACATATTATCGTTTATTGCAGTACATCTCTGTAGTAATATATTATGACTGGCCTAATGTTCATCTATCTTCTAACTCCACAATATTAATGACGATCATTTTCTTCATCAGGTATGGTCACTGCAGAAATGTGTACGAGTAAAGATGGCAGCAACATCAAGAGCAAAATGGTGGAACAACTAGATGAGGTAGAAAATAAAGATGAAAATAATTTATTTCGGATTGTATCTGTTTTAGTTATAAATATGCTTTGTATTTCAGGCCTCTGGTCTTCAGGTTAAGAGATTTTTGGCTTTTCCGTGGATACTTACAGTTACGTGGCCGTTGGATGGGGTAGGTATATTTTAAAATGGTTACTCTGCTCTTCTTCTATCTACATAATACAAGACAATGTGAGTTACTAGGATTGATCGCAACCATTGTCGTAAACTCATCATAACTTACCATGATGATTATTTTCCAGGATGTGGAGTATCCTCTGGTGCAGTCGGGGCCGTGCGGGCGCTGGTTCCACTCGGAGCTGTGCGACTTCATGTCTGTGCTGGTGACTCAGTTTCAGCACAGTGTCCTTTTCGACAGTTACCTGATGAACGCCATCCTCTCTCTGCTCACGGCGCTGTCTGACTCCTTTGTGCGGGCTTTCAGACACACATGTACACTGGCTGGTACGGCTATCTTATAACATTTAAATCATAATAATCATCATCTCTTTAAGCTAACACTGTGCATTATCTAAAGCTGTGAAGCTGCTCACTTCCCTGGTGCATGTTGCTCTGAGCCTCAGTGTGGGCATAGAGAACAGTCAGAAGTTGTGTGCTGTGCAAAAGTCTAAGACTGCAAGACAGAAAAACTCTCCACAAATTAAAGGCATACAAAAGAAAATAACTCAGGTGAGCTTATTTGTGAGCAGATTTTTATTCTTTAAAATGCCTCTTAATGTGTGGTGTCTTTTTGCTATGCACTTTCAGCTTGAAGAAAAAAGGTCCGAGGTGGAGAGTATGATGAATGCCATCTTTAAAGGAGTATTTCTTAAGCGTTATCGGTAAAGTTATGTTTTTGTAGCTTAGTTATGTACTCATATTATTGCAGTAGGCATCTGGCTTTATCATACAGCCATATTATACTTTGTGAGTACATTTTAACAATAATTACTTTGTTTGGTAGTGACGTGCTTCCAGAAATCCGTTCGATTTGCATGGAGGAATTGGGTGCATGGATGAAGAACTACCATACTCTTTTTCTCAATGATAGTTACCTCAAGTACATGGGCTGGATGATGCATGACAAGGTAAATGAATCACAAAATTTGCAAAAAGAAAGGAAGCTATTGATAAAAAAAAAAAAAAACTATTTTTTAACAGAATTCAGATGTTCGGATCAAGTGCGTATTGGGTCTGCAGGAGTTATATGGGGATCCTACACTCTTTCCTAAACTAAATCTGTTCACCAGCCGCTTCAAAGTAATCTATCACACAAACCAAAAAAAGCCACTGAAATATACAAATGTTTTTTTAAAATAAAATATTTGCTTTAGGAGCGGATGATCTCCTTGACTCTGGATAAGGACAATGAAGTGGCACTGCAAAGTATGAAATTACTGGTTCTCATGTCCAAGTAAGATCACAAAGTCAGGTTGTTCTTTTGGTTTTACAATTGTTTAATTGAAACTTTTCTCCATAGTAAACCAGGGGGTGCGTTCAGTCCAAGCGAATACAGGCAGCTGTTCCAGTTTGTTTACTCTTCACAGCGCCCCCTAGCTGCTGCTGCAGGACAGCTTCTGTATTTAAGGTAAACATTTGCATAACTAACATAATATTAAATGAATAAATAAACAAACAGTATATTTGCTTTTTAAGGCTTCTAAACACCTCATCAAACACTCAGGATGGGACAAATGCAGAGGAAGCTCACAAACAAGAAATATTTGTAAAATTAAAAGCACTACTTGACTTTTATCAGGAGTCTAAGGTATATTGTGGAGACATTAAACATGAAGTGACCATTATTTAGAGTGGATTGAACACATTGTATGGTGATCATTTCTGAATTTCACAGCTGCACCAGCATGTTCCTTACCTCGTGGACAGTCTTTGGACTGTTCCAGTGCTCTGTTGAAGGACTGGCCCACAATCACTTCCATACTACTGCAAGAACCATCCTTATGTCCAGGTAGGAGCATTACTCAGTTTTAAATTTTCAAACATTTTACAATAATGAATTATTAGGAAGTTTAACAAGCATTCTTACAGTTATTAGATTCAGATTAATTAGGCCTGAGCGCCAGAGGCTGGCGAAGGGCCTATTAGTATCGCAAAGCGACGCTCCAAGTGACCTGAAAGTGAAATGGCGCGACGTGACTCACCCGTAGTGACCAGCGACCCTCGCCATCACGTAGCAATGCTCCAGAGGTTTCCGAAAATGTATAGTTTGTCGGCCAAAAAAAAGCGGAACATTGTTCTTGCATCAGAATATTATTCTTTCTTTCTTCCTTCTTTCTTTCTTATTATTTTTCTCCTAACCAACTCACCCATTTTTCACCCACTGAACCTGACGAAAAGTCCTGGAAATTTTGTCATCTGGTAAAACTTGCGCTTCTCTAAGTTTTGGCAATTTCCATTTTCCAAAAATACATAAAATGGCTCGTCAGTGCCCTCAAACAACTCAAACACGCATTAGGGAATACGAATGAGGGGAAAAAAAATTAGCATGTACAATTATGAAATTTGACACAGAAGTCGATTATGACAAGACAAGGAAAAATATTATCACGCCAATGCGCTCTACCGGGGGCAGCAATATTGGATTAAACTTTGCTAAGCTTTTATGAACTCCTCTGAGGTCGTTCACCCGAACGAGCTCAAATTTGGTCCACATTATCTCAAGAGGTGGAACATCAAAAGGTATCAAAAATTTTCACACACGTCTTACAGTCTCTGAACAGTGAAGCAACAATTTTGGAGATTTACAAATTCCTCCCATTTGCTCAAAGAACTCAGATTTCAATGAAATTTGAAACAGTTGTTAAACTCTCAGCCTTAAAGCTTCTTAATGTGAAAATTATTAATTTTGTGCATTAGTGCCCCCTATGTAAAAATAAGGTTTTATTTGACAACTAGGACTAAAACAGGACTGAACTAGGACTAAAACAGGACTGAAATAGGACTACAACAACAGGACTAAAACAGGACTAAACCAGGACTGAACTAGGACTAAAACAGGATTAAACCTGAACCAGGACTAAAACAGGACTAAAACAGGACTGAACCAGGACTGAACTAGGACTAAAACAGGACTAAACCAGGACTAATCCCAGGACTGAACCAGGAGGACAAAAGTAGGACTAAAATAGGACTACAACAGGACTAAACAGGAGTAAAACAGGACTAAACCAGGACTGATCCCAGGACTGAACCAGGAGGACAAAACCAGGACTGAACCAGGACTAAAACAGGACTAAACCAGGACTGAGCCCAGTACTGAACCAGGACTGAACTAGGACTAAAACAGGACTGAAACAGGACTAAACTAGGACTAAACCAGAACTGAACCAAGACTAATCCCAGGACTGAACCAGGAGGACAAAAGTAGGACTAAAATAGGACTACAACAGGACTAAACAGGACTAAAACAGGACTAAACCAGGACTGATCCCAGGACTGAACCAGGAGGACAAAAGTAGGACTAAAATAGGACTACAACAGGACTAAACAGGACTAAAACAGGCCTAACCCAGGACTGATCCCAGGACTGAACCAGGAGGACAAAACCAGGACTGAACCAGGACTAAAACAGGACTAAACCAGGACTGAGCCCAGTACTGAACCAGGACTAAACTAGGACTAAACCAGAACTGAACCAAGACTGAGTGTGGGGACGGGCTCGGAGGTGTGCCTGCCTAGACCGTTGGGTGACCGCAGGCGAAAGGATCGATGGAGAGGTCCGTGCCTCACAGAGCTAAGCACAACCGTCGCCTAGTCGTGCTTTGTGGACACCCTGCTCTCCCTTGGGCCTCCCTCGGGCCTCCAGCGGGTCCCGACGCAAAACAGTGTGGCACAGGACACATTTTGAAAGCCCATTGCGGGCACGGGAGGGAGTGAAACTGCACAATGCGAGAGCGGGCAGGTGGGATGATAAACTGCAGTCCTGCAAACTAAATATGAGTGTAAAGTAAAAAATACAAATGATTCACGTTTGTCTATCATACATCATTTGTGCTGGATATTTTATTTGGCTTTAATAAAAAAAATTTAAGCAGCCTAAACTTGCGGACGTGGTCTAATCTTGCGCACATGTTATACAATTCCTTTCCCTTCTCCTTGTTTGATAGAGGTTAAGATTTGTGGGCAGGAGCAGGACAGAATATCGCAGATGTGGGCATGAGGGATGAATGAAAATTACATTTCTTTGCGGGAGGGAGCAGGACTGAAAATTCTGTCCCGCACAGACCTCTTGCTCGGGGTTCTCCCTCTCTCTCTCTCAAATCCAAGATTAGTCCTGGTTTAGTCCTGGTTTAGTCCTGGTTTAGTCCTGGTTTAGACCTGGTTTAGACCTGGTTTAGACCTGGTTTAGACCTGGTTTAGACCTGGTTTAGTCCTGGTTAAGTCCTGGTATAGTGGGCTCAGGTGTTTTTAACTACTCTAAGGGGAGGCATTCACTCTGAAAACCCCTGATGTATTATATTATTTTTGGTACATTCACTTTACCAATTTCTGCATAAAAAACAAGCCATCACAGTATGCTATTTGACTGGCATGTGAATTAAACTATGTGAAAAAAAACAAAACAATAAAACATGAATAAGTACTAAATAAAGGCAAAAGCACACATTTAAATATTTTTAGTCATTATTTTTATTCATGCATGTAACGAGTAGTGTTTGGAGGTGCTCTAGCGCTGTTGACGCCTGAGCCCCCTCCACTGCTGCTCCACTACGGCCGCTCCTTTTGGGCGGATGAATCCCTGTCCTCTTTCACATTCACGATGAAGCTTCAGGAGACGCACCTCCTCTTGTGTTGAAAAAAGTTCAGAAGTCAGCTCCTGCACCCTCCTGGACAGTTTCTCATTTGCTTTGGTGGTTTGATCTCCACCAACATCATTACAAGTGGTTTGAGTCGCCACTGTAAGTTCTTTAAGTTGTTCTACATACAGACATATTATTTCATTGTACGCACTAACTTCATTTTCGAGCTCTTTCTCTTTTGTCAGGAGGTTAGCTTTGAGCTCTTTCAATTCCAAATCTTGTTCATTCATCTTTTCCCCGACTTTTTTGAAGTTAGGAAGCTCTTGCCTGAGTTGCGCATGCTCGTAGAGGTGAGCGTCATCCTCTAATGTATAGAGGTGCCAGGGTTTTGAGGAGAAAGTGTACGAGCTGTCCATTTTTGTGTGTGTCTTCACCAGTGTCCTGAGAAGTTGTGTTGGTGCCAAAAGTGTTGGTGGGGACAAAAGTCATCATCTCCATGCTGTTAGCTGATTGGCTGACACAAGACATCTTCATGGTGATGATGGAATCTTGATTTTGACCTCGTTTGATCTGGTTTTGATTTGGTTTTGATCAGGTCAAACCAGATTAAACCAGGTTTGATCTGGTTTGACCTGGTTTGGTCCTGGTCAAACCAGGTGGAAGGCTATTCAAAAATTTCAGAAATTTTGCACAAAATTCCATTTTAGCATCCTGATCCAAAGAGTCAGTGACACCCATGCCATATTTTTTAAGCTGTTGCCATAGCAATGACATAAACTGTTATTCCATTGGTAAAATGGACACATTTTAGCACAAACTTTAGCCGATTTCACTCAAATTTTAATCGTGGGTTTACACCCAGACCCTGAACAGATTCTTGTAAGAAAATACAAAAATGCATGCAGTAGCGCCCCCTAGATAATTTTAACAGAACAATAACGTTTTATTTGTCATAGATACATAAAATTTGGTATACACATTTGTGACATGGTTTCGATTAAAAAACTCAATGATGCCCACACCCCATTTACATGGTGTTGCCATGACAACAAGCACAAAATCTGCCCTTGCCAATGGGATGTCCTTACACAAAGTTTGTGTAGAAAAAAAAAATTTTGTAGCCACATGCATCTTGGCAAAAGGAACAAAAATTTATATTGCAACCATGCCTGTTTGTTTTAATAAATACATGCAAAAATTATGTAAAATGGCAGGGTTAAGTTAAGAGATAGGGCTAGGGTTGGGGCTGTGGTGAGGATTATGGCTAGGGTTAGGTTTAAGGTTAGGATTATTAGGGTTAGTGCGCGATGTTTTGCGAGGCACAGCATTTGCAGGGCGCGTGTTTGCGGGGTGCGCCGTTTGCGGGGTGCGCCGTTTGTCGGGTGCGCCGTTTGCGGGGTGCGCCGTTTGCGGGACGAGGTGTAGGCGCGCGCGAGGGCCAGTCATTGCCGCTTGCAGCTATATTTTACTTTACTTTTTCAGTGTAGGTGATAAACCTAGATTGTAAGTGAATGTTGGGTGTTGGCTTTTAACCTTGTCAAAAATTATTGACACAGACAGGAGCACTAACCATTCAGCTACCTTCACATATAACTAAGTTCTGTGTTATGTGCAGCTGAATATGTGACTCTAAATAACTGGATGGATGTTGCATATTGTATTTTCTAGGGTTAAAGGATTCAGAGGAAATTGTCCTGGTAGAGATCCTGGTGGCTTCTGTGCGTCAGGCATCAGAGGGCCCGGGACTAGTAGGAAGGAGTGGAGTCAAGAAGGTATGTCATTGTTCTGAGAAAATGTGGCCCTCAAATGAAAATCCAATTACATTACATAACATTAACATATTTCATTTTAACAGGTGGCGAGTATCAAAGAAAAAAGGACACAAGTTGATGACTGTACCAAACTCACTGAACATTTTCTGGAGGTGCTTCCCAAGTTACTCAAAAAGGTAGTTATTAGATTATTTTATTATAAGTCACTTACAGTTGATAATTCACGCTTTTTCAATCTTTTTTGACAGTTTTTACAATGCGAAGATGTTGTTGCATTACTTCTGAAGATTCCTCAATTCTTCCTTGCTGACTTCTCATTGGCTGAAAAAGATCAGGTTTCAAATTTCTTAACTCAACTTAACAGTCGCAAAGATTTTACTTTTTACAACACTACTAATATCTCCCCAGTTGCTGTCAGACCTGTTGTCAGCGATGAGAGCTGTTTTAGACGTACACTGTGGTGCTGATGTTCTAGAGGCTGCAGCTCGCTCCTACCTCAGTCTGTGTGAAGACGAGACATCCTGGTGCTCTACTGCCCAAACTGCCAGAGATGAAATGGTCCAAAATTGGGTGAACCAACTAAGGGTACTACTTGAACATGCAGTAAAGGTATAGGATATTCATGGTCTCATAAATTGTGGGATACTGATATTGACTTATATCTTCTTGTTAAAGGAGGATACTTTCACAGCAGATAGTAAAAAAATGGAAGAACTTTTATCCACAATTAAGAGAGTCAGAGCTTTTCACAAGTAAGAATACATGCAGTATGGTTGTCCTCACACTGTATTTGTACTATTATTGATTAATGGCTGATTGTCCTGGTTCTATAGTTGTCATGACTTGTCAAACTGGAATCTGTTTGAGCTTGTGTTACCTCTCATGTCTATCGATCAGACTGGACTGCCACCTCAGGTAATATTACATAACATCACACAATATGTGCAACATTAGTAATGTATCGATTCATTTTATGTTTGGATTGCAGGTGCTTTTGGAAGTTTTGCAGTGTCTTTGTTACGCTATGCTCTGGTCACTTAATACAAGTAGTGAGACCCTAACCTCCAAGGCAAGTTTCTTCAATATAGTGCATTCCCATAACATATCATATCAACCAAGTGCATATTGAGTGAATATAATTTGTCAAGCCAATAATGAATTCTAAACTTGAACAACAGCTTTTTTAATGTGCTTTGGTCATTTGTAGGAGAAGGCATTGGCCCAGAGACTACATCTACGTCAGTTTTGTGAAAGTAGTCAGCGATGTCTCTCCCACAGTGAGGATGCAGTGAGGCAGCAGGTAGGCTTGTCAGAATAACACTAGTAATACATTTTTAGTACTGTCATTTCACACATGGATTGTGTTTTCACATCAGGCTTTTCTGGGCATCTGTGATGTCCTGACGGCTCATTCGTACCAGTCAAATATATGGAATCCAACCTGCTATGGTCCTTTACTCTACACTCCCAGCCCCAAACTGCAGAGGGCGCTGTTGACCTTTCTTTGCAGCCATATCTTTGTTATGCCAGAGAGTGACAGTCAAAGTACAGGTGAGCGCTGACTTCAGTACAGTAAGGATTCGTTTAGAATCAGTTTGACTTGAGTACCGTGAATTGTGTAGTATTTCTAATATATAGTATTGTTCTGCTCTTCTTTATAATTTTTGATCACACCAAGAACATAGATAATCATGACTGGTATAATGTTTTAAGTGAATATGAGAAAAAAGAAAGTGCTAATTCAAATAATAAAAATATGTGTTGCTAAAACAAGTATAATTGTGTTGACTGCATGACTGCATTGACCAGCCCCAGTCCCTTTCCTTCTTTTCTGCTAGAAGAGCCAGGACATGACCACTCTTTGCCTCGATTAATGCTTTTTAAAATAACTGTGATTGAGATATGTAAAGTAAGCAGCAATATACCCAGTCAACATTTATACTGCATAGCCCAATCAGAAATAACCAATATAACCAAAATGCCTCTTCACCACTTGACATTTTACAACAGAATGAAACAGTCTGGATAAGTCAATATCTGTGGTGGTGAAATCTCTTAAAAGTCCACATGCAATATAGAATAGAATCACTGGTTTCTGACGGTGTAATAAAAAAACTATGGTTTTATTGGATTTGGCTGGTTTTGTTCTATAGACAGTGTTTCCTATATGCTGCTGGATCAGGGATCAGGCAGAGGGCAGGAGTACTGAGTTAAATCATAAAATCAGGCCAATCTCTTTCCGTGAGAAAATTCCATTAACTTTGGCTCACCTCTGAGTCTGTTTTATTAGGCTTGTGTAAGATTGAAGCCACATGGTGTCACAACCATAACTCTACTCTGGTGTTATCTTTGATTTCCACCTGCTAAAGCCATTGTCCTCACAGTGACTCAAAGACTTTAGAACGTCTTTGTTCTTTCATTTCGATTGTGTGATTTCTCATGATTAATAACTCTACTTACTTTGCCTTTTTGACCACTTAACATCCTCTATCCCATACATCACTTCCATCTGGCTCCACAGACACTGAGGACTCTGAAGTTGAAAAGCTGGAGGACCTTCATAAACGGAGAAACCTGCTGGCAGCGTTCTGCAAACTCATAGTGCATGGGATCCTGGAGATGAGCATGGCTGCAGAGGTCTTTATGTGCTATGTCAAGGTAACACAAGACACCCATTGCAATGTAAAGTTGGAGAAATTACAGTTCACAGAGTATAGATGATATGTACAAAACCAGTATATAGTTTTACGTGTAGCAGTAATTGAGTTAATATACAGTAAATATTATTATATTTTGCTCTTTTGATTGCTGAAAATATCTGACTGTTATCTGCAGTTTTATAATGACTATGGAGACATCATCAAGGAGACACTGTGCAGAACTAGACAAACTGATAAGACTGAGAGCACTCGGACGCTGGTCATGTCTCTGCAGACGGTACAGTCCCACACATGTAACTAAAGACTGGAGTCATTGAAAATACACTCATATCATATCTTATGTGTTTCTCAGCTGTTTGTGCGCTTAAAGCAGGAGCAGGAGCAGGAGCAGGAGAGTGGAAGCAGGCTACACCCTGGGGTCCAAACCTTCACCAGTATAAAAGAGCTGGCCCGCCGCTTCGCCATGACCTTTGGGGACCTCATGAAGTTTCGTGAATGCATCGTCATGATCCACAGGTCCTTGTAAATGTCATTTATTTTTGCCCTTGTGCAACCTTAAAGGTGCTCTATGTAACTTTTTGATTTATGAATATGTCATTGCTCTGCCTGGAATGTTTCACAGTATGGCATTAAACAGTTCTACCCTACATGTATTAAATCACAGTTGTGTTATAGCTTAACAATACCTAGGAACAGATCACCGTTTAAATAAAGTTTAATGCCTTATTCTGAAACATTTTAGACAAAGCAATAACATATCCATGGAGCAAAGTATTTGAGAGGCCCTCCACCGGAAATGTTACGCAATGCACCTTTAAGTAAAAATAAAACCCACTTTTATTATATGTGCAGGAGTGGAATAGACTTTGTGTTTCAAGGGTTCAAGCAGATCCCAGATACACAAACACCAGTGAATCTCTCCTACCTGACCATCCTCAGTGAATTCTCCTGTAAACTGCTCAAACCTGACAAAAAGACGATGTAAGTGTGCGGTATATAGTACATCTGCGAAAGTGCTGTAGGTTTTCTAGTCTGTTCTTGTTGCTACAGGTTGTGTTACCTGCAGAAGCACACAGCTGAGCACATTATTGACCTCAGGGAGGAGTGCTGGCAGCCGCTGGGGCACTACCGCACATCACTATTGGCAGCAGCAGAAGGGGAGGATGCCTTGTCCCACGCTAGCTCTGACAGGAGAGTGCAACCACGCTCAAGCTGTGCTAAATCTAAACTAGAAGGTAAAAATCACAAATTTTTTGTTCAAATTAATATAACTTTGTAACTTGTTAAAATTACTTTATAGGAAAAAAGTCTACATGTCCCATCAGTTCAAATGAAATTAGTAAAACTCCTAGTAAAGCTCAAAGACTCAGATTTAGTCCAAGGTAAGAAATGTTTTATAATTAAAAATAAATGAAAATTTAATCTGCATGACTTTCAACACTTCTCTCCTCAGCACTCCTGTTGCAGACATGGATCGTTCCTTTGTGTCTGTGGATCCAGTGAGACGACTGAACTTTGACACGCCTGTGCTCAGCACTGACCCTGAGGCCCAAGAGGAAACCGTGGACGTGGAACTATAACATTTTGATATTTTTAAGATTGGACTATTTTAATTGTTTTTATTTTGCACCTTATAACAGGTTTTTTTAAGTGAGATTTTTGTAAGACGCTACAGGTCATTGTGTTTGTAAAAGAATATTATTTTTATAGGGGAAACATGGTGTTTTATGTCACTTGTTCATGGAAAATACAGTTTTGGATTCCCTTTTTAAATCTTCCACTGATGGAACATAGAGCTATTTGAAGCCAGCAATTATATGGACACATTTTGATCACATTGATTATACATGCACTACATAGTCAAGTGTTGTAGGGCTATTGCCATATAGTATGCAACATCCTTACATGTAAAGTGCCAAAACTTGGTTAATTTTTAAAGAAAAGAGGGAAGTTTTAAGGATGAAGGGTGCACAAATACATTATTGGATTAGTTTTTTTATATAGTTTTAAACACTTGCAGAAATATACAACTGACCAGTTAAAAAAAAAAAAAAATCATGGCACTTTTTCAAATTCATTCTCTCCTTTCTATTTCTATTTCTATTCTAATGCTTCTACGTTGATCACTGTCTTTGTAGCATTATTAATTGCACAAGCCTAAGTTTCCTGCCTGACACTTTAATATCATGTATTACCAGTATTAAATTGAGCTTTATGCTAAATTGTGTTTGTGTATATTTTTTCCACTTTCCTTTTAATCTGGAACGGTGAAAAGTTAGATTGTCTGACCACTGAAATTTTATAATTAACATAACTTTATTTTTTTAAACCAATGAAAAATGTTAACTGTTTCTTTTGTTCTTGAAAGTACAAAGTACTTTATAGAAAAGTTAAAATCATTTACAACACTACGCACTCACTATTTACAAGTATACTTGTTTTACAATAAAAAAAACAAAACAAAAAACAATTCACACTCTTTCATGACAAAATAAATATGGCTCTGTACAATATAAAGTGTTCCTTGACTTATTTGCGGATTACTGATCATTGGAATGTGTTATTCACCAATGACGGCCATTTACTCAAACTATTATGTGTGCCATAGTTTGTGTCTAAAATAAAATAAAATAAAAAACTTTAGTGTGTAACAATATGGCTTAGCTTATGTCAGTGTAATTCACTTGTGGCACAAAACTCACAGCTAAAATTAGATGTAAGCCAAACAGTAGTGAGCAAGATTTGAAACAATGAAATACAAGGCATTTGTGTATTATCCAAACTGTCGACAGAACTGTTAAAAATCATGTGCTGCTATAACCATGTGTTTGTACTGGTTTTGACCTTGTACATCTTTGTTTTGACAAGTGTCCATTTTGCCCAGTTGAATTATGGGAAAATACTACTGCAGTGCTGGTCATTCAAAGTCATCATCGTATTCATAGTCATCCAGATCGCCGTGCGGACTGGGAATCTCAAAGAAGTGTCTCTTTGTGAATCCCAGCTCACTGGAGATGAGCAAGGGATTGTCGTATCTAAACAGAAACAAGGAATCTCATATAAGTACACAGAGCAAGTGCTTATCAACCCAGGAGAGAAACAGAGGGGCACCACATGAAGGGATCAACAATGGCAGCAGCAAAAAAACCTATTTCCAAAGTTTAAAGAGTGGGTATTACACTTCTATGGGGTATTAATTGCTAACATACAACATTTAGATCACTGTGTTACCTTTTATTGTTTTGAAAAGGCTATATGTGTCCCTATGCTGAATCATCCCCCTTCAGAACACTATCAATCAGCTAATGAAACTGCCGCAAATCCCATCAGATTTGTCAAGTTGTTTTATATCATGCTTTTGTATATTTATGGAAAATTGCTGTGCAGGAGCTTGGGTGGGTAGACTTAGCAGTACAAGCCTGTCCAAGATCTACAACCTAACTGTAAGGAGCATTTGAATAGTGCCCATATAGTGCTCGAGACACATTGCTAGATTATTAGTTGTTTTCATGTTCTCGATCATGGTGTCATACTCCCAAATGTGGGCAAGGGCCTGATTCCACCATTGATTACATTGTATTTTACCATAAAATATCTGAAAGGTAAACTCACATATGCTGAACCTGGTATTTTCATTTAGTGACTAAACCCTAGAACTCACTGTATTACAACATAATTTAACATTTTCACAATATTAATTTTAGCTGCCCCCCATCTGTAGTAATTAATATTGTCCTATAGAATGATGAGATGTCATCTGAAACCCAGCTTTAACTACCATGTTATGTTACCATGTTAACAAAAAGTTGATTTTGCATAATACCCACTCTTTAAATGTTGAAAAATAAATTGCAAGCAAAGATCAAATATGTGACACCAAAGATGATTTAAACATCAACATTAATCTGAGGGATTGTGAGAAACCCTGAGTGGATTTAGGACTAGACATTCCCAGGAGAAAGAAGGATCAGATTTAATTCCGGGTGGTTCCCTGAGTGCCTTCCTTACCTGCTCTGGTTAACAATTTTCCTTTAGAAGTCAGTGGTGTTCCTAAAACCGTCATACAACATACCTGTCAACAGCTTCATCTATCACTGACTCCTACAGACACCCAGTCTCACTAATCCAGTAAGTAGACATGAGTATTTCTTTACAAATTTGATTGATTTTTGTTTGCATTTGTGAATTTAATAACAAAACTTACACATCATTGCACTGCTCGTTGGCTGCTTCTTCAGCAACCAAAATATCATACTCCTCTGCTGCATATTTTTCCCAGTCAGACATCTCCTGGCCATCAGACTCCACCTCCTTCAAAACAATAACATACGGCATAAAAAAAATTGCGTATCATTTAAAAAAGGTCATTGTATTGTTACAAACCCGTATAACAGAGAATGGGTCCTTTTGTTCATGTTCCAAGTACTTCTCAATATTGAAGAATGTGTCAAAAAATATATGGGCCAACTTGCACCTCTTCAAATCTCGTAGCGTGATCTTTTCTGAATAAATACAAAAATGTTAGAATAATATACTGCACATGAGCATATGTCCTATCATATTGGGTAAGTAGCCTTCGCTCTTGTTACATGTTACAGTACACATGGGTACAGCGGGCCACCAGGTCGACTGGGGGCCACATTCTTGCAGCTTTGAATTCTAAGCATGTGTACCTCACTTTAGACTTGTGTCTCCTAATGTCAGTGCTCCAGCTAAGTGTTACGGGAATTTGTTAAGGAGGTTCCTGTGTGGGCCAAAGAGAGAATAGTGGAGCCTGTAGGAGTGTGAACAAAAATGGGTTCTGACCTTTGACCTCAGGCTTGACAAGGTCGAGCATTTGGCAGAGGCAGTCTTCAAAGGGAAGAGGCTCAATGGCCATGGCTTCCAGTTTCTGACACTGTTCATCATAGAAATACTCCAGCTCATACATACTGAGCACCCCATCACCATCCAGGTCCATGCAGCGGAACCAGTATTCTATACTGGAGAGAAGCTAGTGTGAGAAATGAGGCAGCATCATCTTTAACAGTAAAGTCTAGAGAAATACCTTGTTTCTGTCTTTTTGTCCTCCTCTGAGAGCAGAAACCAAACAAAATCTGCGTAGCTTAGTCGTCTCTCCTTGTACACCTGTCTGTCTCTGAATAAAACAAATGCGTTGCTACTTAAAGGTGCACTGTGTAACTTTTTGGTTGAGGACCCATCACCTGCTTGTTTCTATGGAGATGTCATTGCTCTGTCTGGCATGTTCCACAGTATAACAAACAGCTCTAACTTATATTCAATTACAGGTTGTTTTATAGCTCAAAAAAACAGACATTGTGGCTGTGAGCGGGGTCGCCTCTCCACAGATCTGACCTGTAATCTGGTTTGGTTTGGTCACCAAGAAGATGGAAAGGTTTAAAGCCATACTGTGAAACATTCCAGAGAAAGCAATAACATCTCCATGGAGAAAAGTATTTGATGGGCCCTCCACCAGAAATGTTATACAATGCACCTTTAAATAATTTAAAATCAAATAAAACCAATTTAGGTAAATTTAATTAAACCAATAAATCTTACCTTGTTACTGTCCCTGAGAATATTCTGTCAATCATTTTACGAGAAATAGCTGCAAAATAGAAATTATAAAGTTAACAAACGTAACAGCATATCAACTCCTTTCCTGATCCCTTATCCTGTCTTCATTCTCTACACTTTCAAGTCATCGAGTTAGTGTCACAGTTTGTGTAATAGTAAAGATATAATATAATATAAATTATTTAACAGACTTATATTTCTCAAACTTAATTCAAAGCTGTATTAAAAGTTAACATGGTTTTTGATGTGAGCAGCATATTTGCTATAGCTGTTCTTATACTTATGTTTGAATACCTTGGTCATTATGTCGTGCCAAGTCTTTTTTGTCAATATAGAGATCATGATCTGTGTCCAGCTCCCAAAACTTGCAGTAAATGACATAAAAGTGCTCATAGGAAAAGTAGTCCGTCAGCTGGTTTACATCTTCTTCCTGTTCCAACAAAGCCACATTCTGCCAAAGGAAATGTAATAATTGTTGTTGTAAATATGTTGCCAAGCATTTTGTTACAATAAATATTATGTTTTTAAAAAAAAATCACCTGCAGAAAATTACTTTTTCTGAGTTCGTAACCTGTGATTTTTCCTGTCCATGACCGGTTTACATTATAAAATATCCTTTGTATTACCTAAGAAAAAGAAATTAAGCACATTTATTTAACTGAGATAAATATAAAAAATGCATGAGTATTTGATCTTACTGTGGTGATATATCTGAAGTGAAAGTCTGGTGCCTCTTTAAGAAAAGCTAGGCCGCTGTGTGTGTTCACCACATCCTGCAAACAGAAATAAGTCAGGTCCTGTCTCCAGCATTTCCATAACAAATAAATGTAAAGAAAACACTGAGTCAGAGTTCTCAACAGAAAACAACTGTACAAAAGGCAGTTATGTTTAGAGAAGAATCAAGGGCCAAGCAAACACAAACTGGCTAATAAAATATATTATACTGTTGTTTGCACTAGATGCCATTCTATGTTTTAAATAGCATAGATCGAAAGACTGGTCTGGTGGAAGAAAACAAAACAAAGACATATTTTCAGTGGAATATTAAAATGTGACATCAAATCATACATTACATACAGACTGCACTGTTACTGTTTATCCTATCTTTTAATACAAGGGCCCGTTCTTCATTATGCAAAAATCACACTTCTCTGCTCTGGGAAAACTGTTGACACAAATGTGGAGGTGGCAGTAGAATTAGAAGGCCTTATTTTGGGGGCGGTCAGTGTGCCTTTTGACTCTAGTGCCGAGAAATTAAATCATAGAGAAACACATAAATCACTGCACACAGGAAACAGGCAGGGACAGTCACATCTACTCCACTGCAATCCTCCTTTCATTCATCAAAACAGTCAAAAGCTATTTACTGAACGCAAGCTAACAAATTAAACAGTGAGCGTCACAAGGCATCTCAGCAGCTATGCTAACGTGTAGTGTTCAGCCTGCCGCTTTTGCCAGCATGAAAGTGAGGCAGGTGTGGGTGGGGCCATGGTGCAGCACAAACAGCCTGTCAAATACAATGACAGTACAAACAGCCAGGGCAGCACACTGTAAGATTCTGATGTGCAGTTTTAGAAGGTGAAGTTGTATTGTAAATTAACTTTATCAATATGGTAATAACTCAATCAGTCAATATTGTACCTTAATTTTACCACAAAGATTTCTCTTTTCAATAAGATATTATAAAAACTGTCCCTGCACATACAAAAAAGTTCAAGTGAAGGCCTGGAAACTACATCTTTACTATGTGAAAGCTGTTCTAAATCTCAAGAGAAGTCTCCTCTGTCCAGTTCATTATTGATGTAGCCCACAAAATTAAAAACCAAAGCCACACAAAAATAAGTCCAGTGCAGACCACCAAAGCCATGGCAGTTTTGCCACACACGTGCCAAGTTCAGCGGCACACTGCTACTCGTACCTGGAGGAATGGAATAAAGTCGTCCTGTTCCAGGTAATTACAGCCGGGTTTGGCCAAGAGGTGCACAAATTTAGAGGCGTCATCATGACAGGTCTGCAGCGTTCTGGTGGAGGTGAGGCAGAACAGATGTTAGCATGGTTATTTCCTACTGTGCCTTTTTATAGCTCTCAAAATAAAAATGCAGTGAAGGCTTAATGTATTCAGAAATTACAATGCTGGATCATAGCTGGCTAATTATAAAAATCAAGGAGATGATTGTGGTCTTTTATATGAGACTGTTGGCTCATGAACTCAAGTGAAAGGCTCTGCTGGCCAAGCTCTCTGGAGGTTTGCATTAATACAAGAACATGCCTAGAGCTAGCATTCTGCATAATAATTCAGTAATACAATAATATCAAGCATACATAGGAATTAACAAAGCTAAAATCTGGCAGATTTTGCACCCAGTGGAGAAGTTTGATTGTATTGGTGGGGTTAGTGGGCATTGCTACAATGAAGAAAAGTGGCTCTTACTTTCTCCACATAGCCACGAATTTGTGAACAGACACAAAGCCGGTCCTGTCCCCTCCAGCCAAACAGAACAATGGCACTTTCCAGTAGAGAGGACACTCACAGGCCTGAGGGAGGATACAGAGGGCAAGTTATCAAACTGTAGTAAATACATTTACATATTATTGATAGGCAAAACTGTTTTTAATAGTAAGAATATTTTCCTAGTAAATACTAACATATTTCATTAGTTGAATAAATGAAAACTAAACAAGTCAATGTCACAAATCAAACTGTTACCTTAGCGACCTGGCCCATGTCATCAATGGTGGCCCTTTCATTCGAAAACTGAGAAAATGTTTTCTCTATTTTAGAAATGAGGCTGTCGATGTTGAGATTGGCTTGAGGCCTGCCTTGAGGGAAGTAAAACTTTGGAATGCTTTCACTCAGTGCTGTGGTGACTGGCTCCTCCGTCCTCACCTGAGCCTGTAAACAGATAATCTACACTGATGATACAAACAAATGAGATGTAATTATAGTACAACCACAAGTATCCACTATTCTATTAACAAAATAACTACATGTCAATTGAGTAAACAATAGGTGAAGAAATCAAGGCCTTATCTTAATCTTGATAACAAATACAAAAGCTATATTGTTTCCACTTGAGTGCACCTTCAAATATCAAGAATAATTAATAAAAATAAAACAATGAATGTAAACAGTACAGACACAAGTCCCCAGCTCTTTCTGTCAGAGTGTTCTCAAAGGATGTCACCACTGTCAATGGGCAGCTCTGTTCTATTTATGCCAGTATGAGACATCATTGTAAACTCTCAGCCCTGGTACTGGGCTGGCTCTTCTTCTTAAAATAAAGACATGATAAATCTGTGGACTACAATAAAATCCGTCACAAGAATGTGTGTCTGCAGCAACAGGCAACAATTAGAAGATTTGTACACATCTCATTACAGTCCAATAGCAGGTCTAACTGAACTGTGGAAGACAAGTTATTTGCAATGCTCATGCCAAGTAATTTATATTAAAAATAATTAAGCAGCTTAGTTTACCATAAATATAAACAAGCAATGTCAGTCAACTCAAGGTAATATTGCTCACTTGTGTCTCACTGATGGTGTGTGTTCAAAAAAGTAATGCCAAGGCCCTACTACAGCAACTGGGCCTCTGCCTTACCCCGCAGTATCTAGCAGGGCAATTGTGATGAGTGGAATAGCACCAAAATATTGTTCAAAAACTAAAAGTAGCAATCCTCATAACATAAAAAAAATACAGATACATCCTATTATTTTATTCTTGGTATATTAAATCAGTATATCTATTTTAGTTAATTTTGTTTGTTTTTCAGTTGTTAAGAAGATTAGTGTATTATATAGAGCTACTCTTCCTTTCACTTTTTAGGGTTTACTCAGCTTGAGCAGGTGCAAGACATAAAGAGCAAACAACAAGTGACTTTAACATAAGAGAAAGCATTGGCCTGGATAGTTGTGCAATGTTATAGAGTACTTTGTGAGCTTATAAACCATCTGCGTAACAATTGCTGCAGATCTGTACCCCTTGTGTGTTGGTGTCAGCTATGGCTATAAATGGACATAAACATATCCTGCTGCCCGGCCCCCTTCTATCTCACAGTCTGGTGTGATGCTAAATGCTAGCAACCTGTGCTATTGCCGTGCTTAATGACATACTGCACATTTATAAGGATACAGTTTTAAAAAGGACAGAATCAAAGCAACTGCATCTCTTAAATTACTCACTTTCTCTACATACAAAGTAGAGAGGTAGAAAAGAAACAATGCAGAATAACAAGTAAGTGGAAAAGAATATCTCGAATATCTTTCAACCTCCTCATTTGCATATTAGAAACAAACTTAAATACACAAGTGGAATTGTCACCAAGAGGAAGACACAGAAGCACCTGCCTGTCCTTGCTGGAAAGCTCTGAGTCTTTTCTTGAAGCGAGAGGGCAAAACAAAGTCACAACCTCGGGCCAACTGGGCCAACTCTTTCCTCAGGTCGGGGTCCTGGCGTAGGGAGAGCTCCTTCATCCTCATCCTCGCGCTTCACGTGACCAGAAACATAAACAAACTCAATCCAGTGGGTTTCTCCTGGGTGCACTGATCACTGCTAGAGCAAGAAGATGTCCCAAGTTTTGTCCTTGTGCTCTGTCTGAGTTGGAGCTTCCTAAAACAGAAGAGCAGCTGCCACTGAGGCTGCGCTGTCCATGTGTAGAGTTGGGCTCTGCCTGCTCGGTCCAGCTGTCTGCACACACACGTCCGGAGCCCTGGCTTCAGAGCGGCTAGGGAGATAAGGACTGACGCACTCTGGGACTCTGTGTGTGCGCGAGGGGTGGGAGGGGTGAGAGCAAGTGATCTGCCCTTTCCAGTTTGCATTCCTCACTGCTCATAGAAGGTTATGTAAAGTGACAGACCTGTTGTTGCAGCTCCTGGCCACCACATGAGCCAGCAGATGATAAACTGAGTGACATTCACTAATCACCAAAGATGTTATAAAAACAAAATAATGCACAAAAAGACAATTGCTAACAGTGTCGGTAAAAGATGCTCAAAAGGGCAAGGGTAACATTTAGTTTTCCTCTACAAGAAGCAATAATTGTAACAAATGTCTGTATGTGACCATATAGATCCATACAATTTAAAGTATTTGTTTTGTTTCTAAATTGACCTGTCTTTTCCACTGGGCAGCAAGACATTCCACATCTTATTATAGTTGATGGCAAAGGGGGAGGGGGGACATGTCAAATTGAAAGAATGATGAGTGAACAAGTCTGTGTCTATTAAAAGCTATGCCAAACACTGTTTAGGCAACCTAAGAAATTAGATCAGGAGAGACAAGAGTTTATCTTTAGTGCTCAAACAAACTTTCCGATCCCCAATTACAGCTATTTCCCATAAAGGCACAGACCTAATGCACTGGAAGTGCCTGGCCTTTTTATGCAGAAATATATAATTGAATTTTGCTGCTAAAGACGGTCAATAGTTGTATATGAGAGTGTCATAAGTTTCCATTGTTTTGGTCAATACAAAGTTCCTGTTATCATCCACTCAGGGCTCTGCAGAGACCTGATACGCTGCAGAATGCACAAATATAACATTTATGTTACATTTTTATTTATCATCAGTTTAAACAAACAACTGTCCAGAGCAAAAATACCCCCAGACGATCACATGGTGAGACAGCAGTGGCATTGTGTCATTTGCAGGGTTTCTGTGTAATTAAATAATTATGAGGTAACACACAACTGTAAAATATGTTAATATCTTACATAAAAAGGGGAATGTTAAAATGCTTGAAAGCAGAGCTAAACAATTCAGATATAGATTTGTATATTTTGCCTGGGCCATAATTAGAAAACAAACAGAAATTTAAACTGCTAAACTAATTAGGGATGCAATGACACCAACAAATTAGCTGGATCAGGTATCAGTTACAAGAAATTTGTTCCGCCTGTTTGGGCCTTTAATTAGATGCAATAAGACTATTTACAGGCTGATTCTAGCCTAGAATGCACCATTCTGTTTGAATTATTTTATTTTATTCACAACTTTTATTCACAATGTGGTCCTGTAGACAGTTAGACATTCCATTTTTTTTTATAAATAACTGTGTTTTTGGGGGAAACATGCCATTCTCTGTCCCTACACTGGTATTGGTTAAAATAAGTTAATAAGATGTGGCAGATACTTAAATCAAAGTACTGATATGGTATCAAAACTAATGCAAGAACTACATGTATTTTAGAGCATGTAGTGAGGTCTAGACTTACCAATTAGCAATTTACTAAGGGCATCCATTGAAAATTATTATTTTTAAATGTATTTATTAATTTATCATGCCACACAGAGATCCATGAGACCTTGAGCTTGGCTACAGAACATCTAATCTGCAAACAGTTAAAGCTGCTTTACCCTGAAACATGTGTGGTGTCCGCTGTATTACATAACATGTCAAACTGTGGGGTTCAGTCTTTCACTATCTTGGTAGACTGGTTTCCAGAAAACTTAATGGTTAATAACAAAAACTAAACTCTACAAAACTAAACTTTATACAGTACTACTTACTAAAACAAGAGATCTTAAAATAAAATCTTACTTTCAATATCATGGATTTATTCGCACCAATGTATTGGGTTGTATCAGGATCAATGAAAGATTGAAATTAAAGAATTACTACACCCCCCCACACAATAATTAACAGTATTCTTATTGCTGGTTTCTCATATCTGGATTAGAGCCAGATGGAGTACCAAAGCCACATGTAGCAGTAGCAGCAGCAGCAGCAGCAGCAGCAGCATACAATCCAAAAAGCTCTGACTCAATCCAACACAATCTGACGTCTAAAACCAGGATTTGGAATTGATTTGAACATGAGCTAGAAATAGGCCTGACCACTGGAAACTAAACAAGCAGAACAAGATGTTACCAGCTATCTTGCATAAGGTGACAATGGAGAGCTGAAGAGTTCATGTAAAAAAGAAGACTTTTCTTATCCATCACAAGTAAAGGTACGAGTCAGAACAAAGACAGAAGAAGATATGGCCCCATTACGCAAACCTATAGCAGATAAAGTGATCACAGTCCACATGACAAACAAACCCAATCAATACTCAAAAGAACTCTTTGTACTCCTAAAACAGAGTGGATATTTCAGTTTAACTTCAAGGTCTGAGTTTGTGGACTATGACTCCCAAATAACTCACAAGAAGCTCTTTAGCACTTAGCAAGAGGTCGCACAACTGATAAAGTGACCCTAGGCCCTTTCTTCAAATAGCTTCCGTGTCTCTGGCTCCCTCCAGGCTGTTATAAACAGAGGCCTCCAGGAATACAGGCTCCCAACTGCAAAAGGATGTGTCAAATTAGGCAGCATATAAATAGGTAATTTTAATATAAATAACAGCATGCCTAACATAGCTCCAATATAAGCCATGTGATGACTAAATATTCTGCAGAAGAACTTTAAGGACAAAAGAAGAACGAGGTCAAATCAAGCTCTGGTTTATGAATTCCAATCTTTCCTGGTAGTTATTCAATATAAAACAACAAATGGACATTTTTACATACAGATAAGCATCTCCTGATTTATGGATACAATACATCTAAAGTCAAATGAAACTGACATGTACAATGTTTTGGCAAAAATAAACAAATCAACACTGGCCTGCTTATTCTGCTTTTCTTCTACTTTTGTTTTAGGCTGCATGGTGAGGCAGTCAGGCAACTGGCCCAGAGCAAAATACTCCAACAATCTCACACACTGATTTTACTGTAAGCATAACATCTCTTGACTGAATATTCTTTTAACGACAGGCTTTACAAGTTGAATATGTAGAGTAAATTACTGAGAGTCTGGAGTGTTGCCCCACCTCATCTGACCAACACAGTTCTGGGTATCTCATGCCCGCAGCGGGGGAGGCAGAGCTATCTATAACGGGTTCTGATGTCAAAGTCAGACCAGCTGTTCCAAGCAGCATCACAGCAACATACACCGGATTTTTCATTAATCCTTTGAAGAATGCATATATGCAAGAGTTCATTTTGTTGTCTTAAAATAGCAGTATTACTTTATCCCACGTCACAATCTCCTTAATATGAAAAGACACTATGGCGGCGTGCCACTACCCACGTCACAGTGGATCATATGGTATGAGCTATTCAGCAGCTGCTTTACATTAATAAGAGGTTACAGGGTTGAAACGAGGGCTAAAGATCACTGCAAGAAAAGAGACGTGGAAATGAATTTCTAAAGTTTATGCAAATCTGTCAAAACTATCATGTCAGACACAAGAGAATGAAAAAAAGATTATTTTGGTTTTGCCTCTAAGCCAGCTGATTTGTGAATGTAATAGAATGCATTGGAAAAACCCTCAAAGGGGACTCTGCATACATTCTCTTCAAATGCAGCCAGGTTTTCTCAGTATGAATAATAAGATTAGTCTCTTCTGAATGATTCACAAGCTATTGATCATCTTTTTCTTTTCTTATGGCAGAAGTTAAGTTTACAATTCCTTGCTAATTAAAATACTACATATTACAATACATATTTCCTATTCCCAAATAAATATAAGTCTGATACTGTGTTATTCGGCTTGCCTGCTTTATAGCTCCACACACAACCTTGGGTCTTGATTTGAAACTTTGAAGACCGAGATTTATCAGTGACCATTTGTGCCCTTTCTCGTGCCATCGTTTAGCACGTCAACAAGCAGGAGAAGGAAAATTCCCAACCAGCATGTGCAAACAGCTGTTTCCTCATGTGCACTATCGTCACACACACCATTGTCAACAATAAATCCAGTTTATACTTTCTTTATTCTTTTACGCACTAGAGTGGAAAAACAGGTCTTGTATCATTTATTTTTACCTTCCTTATAATTCATTAATCAATCATTAGATTTAACAAACAAATACAGGATTACAAGCAAAAGAGGATCTTACATCAAATTAACCAATGCTTTTAAAGGAAAGGGAAAGTAGCTCAACCATATCATTATTTATATGAAATAAACTTCCACAGTGACTAATGTCTGGACAGGAGCATGACTATTCAAAGTTTCTTTTATTATAAGCAACTCGGCAATCCATTCTGTGATAATCTTACCATTATATCCTCAGTAAGTGCTGAAATTAATCCAGTCTCATTTATGTCAATGTAAAACCTTTCAATCAACACTACTTAATTAATCCTTCAATCAAAGGAATTCCTCATTGAAACACACATAATGACAATATTGAGTAACATAGTAACAATCACTCAAATCAAAATTAACCGCACAATATAAAACGTCCACAACAAAGGTAATTTATAGCTTTGCAAATACAAAGCAAACAAGTGCCACAATTTAGTAGTTTGGTTAGTTTAAAAAGTTCATAGTTACATAAGGTAAGTACGACCTTGAGTGAAGCTGACACACCTTAATTCAATATTTCACAAAGCCTTGAAGCCATATACCCTAATAACCTACCAAACTAGTTAAAGCTTGCATAAATGTTGCATAAGTTCATGAGAGGGAAACTGAATGTAAGCTTTTTACTTCTGATGGTTTCTTGAATATGCCGTATATATTGTGTGTGAGTGGTACCTTTTTTGTGCTGACTGATCTGCGAAGTATTCTTCCACTAGGCCCAGTTACTCTTGTGTTGGCGCTACTTCCCGAGGGCAGGGTTGTGGTGGCAGAGGGGGGACTAGATGCAGTGCTGAGGGGAGCAGGTTTCTTCTCTGCTTGATTCTTTTTACAGGCCACATTGTTGTTTTCAGTTAATGACAATGACGTCTGATCAACACAAGCATCTTTGCACAATTCAGTGTATTGGCCATTTTTGATTAGGTGGAGATAGTCCTTTAGCATTGACTGTGTGGAAGGTTCACTCAGCCAGGTAAGAAAGAGCTCATCCACCTTCATCTTCAGAACTGGCTGAAGGATTTGAGGAGATGGCATTTTGATCAATGGTAGATACAGGAATGTCTGAGAAAAAAAACAAAACAAAAAAACAAAAACAGAACTGTTTGAGTAAGTAGTAGTTAGTTTTAGCTACATATCCACAGCACACATCATTTTTCTATAGGCTAAATTGTCCATTTTACAGGCAAATATACTATATTGTAGATTTAAATAAATAAATAAATAAGACAGAACATGAGACCACAACATTTGCATTTGCCATGTTGGTGATGGGTGGATGATTTGTATTTTCGCTCACTTGATAATAAAAATAAGCCCAGTTAAATATGTAAATGTTAAGTGACGTTACATATTTACCACGTTTACACAAATATCTGTTGTGTTCACTGTGCATGACCTGGTTTTGGGAACATTATTGAATTTTAGCGCGAAGCCAAAACATCAATATATTTCAGGCAAGAGAAAATATGCCCACTCTGAACCCGGAATTGCCAATACGAAAATTTAAAACTCGTATTACGAGTCGAAAAGGCTGATAAAGTAGCTGTACTAGTTACATTATAGTTGAAATTAAACAAGGAACAAGCTGATGGCGCTATGATGCTATGCTGTTTTCAAACAGGAGCTAGGAGGAGCAGTAAAGGGATCAACAAGTCCGTTATAGCTAACACACATACAGCGATGATGTGCAAATGCGTCTACTTACAGAGAGAGATTAACAAAATAAAGACATATCCACTACACTGTTGATTTTGATGTGTATACAGTCTATGGTAGACGCCGACAAGTGTCTTCCTGGCGTAACTTTTCTGAATCTCGAATCGCGTTCCCGTGGAAACATCATATCGCGAGACCTCACAAGAGCGGCAGCACGTGGAGGGAAAACATGGGGGTTTGGCCGGGGGACGGACACTTTCACTCAAGTCTTCTTTTTCATTTCACAGTCAATGAAATGCGAATAATAAGTAAGTTTCTTATCATTATATTATTTTATGATGTGTTGTGTGACTATAGTTCACAGTCAACATGGCAATTGTTTATTTATTTAAAAAAAAATTATAATAATGCAATTAGCATTTTAGCAAATTAACTGTCAAAATTTGCTAATTTCCTGCACACAGTTTTACTCATAATTTTACTAACAATTAATGTTTTTTTTTTTCTTTCTGCATAGCAGTATGATAAACGTATCAGTGATAATTGCTGTATCTGATGCCCTTGCCCCCTCCCCATATAAAGCTCTGCACAAATGGGGTAAGTTATAATTTTTGATTTCAGATGTACCGAAGTCTTGATGTTTGTATGTACTGTTTGTATCTTATTTCCTCAATTAACAAAAACAACAACGCAAGTAAGTTCAGTCAAAGTTACTTAAGTGGGTGTTTGAGATTCACATTATTCTACATTTATAATAATCAATACCAGTATCTGTTCAACTTAAAGTAAAATACATATAAAATATGGAATTTCATTTTAAAGACTTAATTGTGTTATTATTTCTGAGAAAATGAATATTCCCTGACAGCATTTGTTATTTTTGCACAAACTTAATCTATTTGATAGAGCCTTAAAGCTGTATTTCATCACAATGGACATCAGGGATACTTTTCAGGCTAAATCCTATTAATAACTGCACAACAAACGCTTTTTTCTTGAGAGCAAATTGCAGGTTGTTGCGTGGTTGTGAAAATTATTGACTGAATTTCTCTGATTGCTTCCCTTGATAACACCACCAAATCATATCAGAAACATTCAAAGACGACTTAGGCGCAGCACGTAATGAGTAAAACCTCTTTGTTCTTTCCAGCAGCGAGCCATACATGTGTTTAGAGCCTAATCAATATCAGAGATGAGCAGTGAAAAAGTGAAGATCTTGAAACTTTAAACTTTGCAACTTTTCAAAGTGTAATTACAGTGTACAAATAGGATTTTACCCAAAGCAATGTGCATGTTGTTTTTTTTATGCCTTGAAGGACATTTCAAAGGTTTGGACGGAGCTGAAACCACAGGGGGACAGCTGGTTAGTGTAGGAAAGTGTTAGTGAGGAGATCATGGCTTCGGCATTCCCTTACTGCTGTCAGCTATGCTATATGGGTGCTCTGTGAAGTAAGTGATAAGCAATCTTCTCTAATAAGGAGAGTAAATAAAGTTAAAAGTGTTTTGTTGCTGCTGTGCACCATAGAGACTTACTTGGACCATACCATACACTGCTCGCATGGAGGAATAAGCAATAAGCTATGGTTGTGTTAAAAGGTTGTTTGGGAGTATTTAAGTTCACAAACAACTTTGTTCTCTTGGCTTCTTGTAAAGTTTTATTTCTGCGTTTAGTGCTGTTAGTTGACAGCACAGATTCCTAAAATGATACAGATCTAATAGTCTAACAGCAAACTGAACTGAAACAGTTGGATGCTCCATGTTATGATTTTAGGAGCATTTCAATTTCAAATATTTTGGCTACTTTTTCTTTTAGTTTTACATGTGATTAAATTATGTTAAATGTATGATAATATGTACTCTTGGCTCTCCTGGTCATTTCCCCTTAATTGTCGTATGCTAAAACGTATAAAGAAGTTTCCCTTCGGTAATAGAGTACATGTGTAAAAGTTATTAGGATATATTAGGAGTCTATGGCTTTGTACTAATTTGTCCAATTTTCCTTTTTGTACCCCTTTGTGTATATATTGTTCTTATACAGCGCAGTGTGATTTTCAGTAATGACACATTTAAAATTTTGAAAAAAAAAAAAAAAGAAGGATCACATTTTTGGAGCAGCAATGCATTCATCAAAGAGTTACACATTCTCGTGTTTGATATGAATTTCAAATAAATTGTCGTGTAGACCAAATGCTTTCCTTCCCAAAATGGCTTTGGGATACTGATTAGCTCTTCTCATAGTTTTACTTTTCATTCCTGAACAAAATCACAGACAGAATAAAATCTTCAGTCAACATTTAGATTTCTAATACACGAAGCCAACCCAAGACACAGAGGAGGAGACGTCTTTCATTAGGCACATCACTGCGCTCTGAAGCTTGTGCCTTCCATGTGAGATGACTTTAAAAGAGAAACAATGCCTCAGCCTATCCAGCCTTTGGAGATTTTCACTCTCATCACATATTAATGAAAGAGGTTTAGAGGAGAACCTTGTGCTGAACGTCACGTCAAAAAGGCTTTCTTTGTGCTCACTTTTATGACATTACAACGTCAATGGTACATTATGTTTTGAGCATAGGGAGGAAATATTCAATTTATAACAGCTGTTTGACTAAACACTACACTAGAATTGTATAAGTTGGCATTTTAAATTGTTTTTCAAAGGTGTTCTTATATTTAATCAGATAAAAAAAAAAAAAAAATTGTAGAAATGGTTTCCAGATGCATAATTATTTATATTCATAATTCAGCCTTTAGTCCCTTTTTACCTTAATTTTTTTGGAAACAGCTTCTCAGTGTTGCTTTTGTGCTCAATTCACATAGGCTTATTTAATTTTGGGTTGTAGAAAGTGGTAGGGGTGTGCAATCGATATATCATGATGCTAAATTCGG